CTGTCATAGAACTTCTGTGTCTGTTTTAATAGAAAAAGCTTTCCATTTATTCTTGAATTTTCAAAAAGCTTCCATTTTCATTTATATATAAACAAACTATAAAAATCTTTCTTGTTTTTGTGTAAATATTGTAAATTACAGCCTGTGGGTGAACATTCTTCTGGTTCATTTAATCAGTTAAATGCTCTATTAAAAGTTCAAGTTGTTCACCGCAATTAAGTTGCGATAAACTCACACGAATGAACTAAAATGTTAAGTTGAACATTTTCACGACAATTGAATTGAAACAATTTCTTATAAGAACTTTTCATCTCATCACCTCGAAATCATTCATTGTTAATGAGGTTTCTTTCGTTTATTCTTCTTTTGGTTTCGAGGACGAAAAGGAATTTTCTTAAGAGACTATAAATGGAACGACATTAAAAAAAGCTTTTAAAAAAAAGTTACCACAATTTCCCCTCGCATTAAATATTTATTGGCAATTATATTGAGTTGTGTAATGGCAAAAGTATTGCGTATTTAATGGAAGTAAACAACATTACGGCTCAATTATCATCCTTTTTAGTCTCGTTCGCTTCCACTCCAGCAGAAGTTACTTGATGAATGGCCAATTTATGACTTCGCTTTTATCTTTTAACAGTCAAACTCTTTGTGAATTCTCTCATTTTGATTCCTCTATTTATAATTTTCGTTATGATATTACACTTTGAACTGCTTCAGTGATGGTGATTGAATATAATCTCTCATATTAAAGGGCTCACCCTTCTCCATTTCACATCACAAAATAAAAAAATATTTCCACTCAAATGCACTTGAAAAGCTTGAAAATTTTCATTGCTACTGGTGAAAGTCAATAAACTCAATTTTCACATTAGAAAATATTTCAATACTCATTGGACCATCCATCAATATAACAAAAACGTTAACTTTCATGTAACACACGATGAAAGAGTGCACTTTGTTGATTAAACCTTTTACATTATATTATGAGAGAATGTTCACTTTTGGAAATCGATTGCTTTTTAAGTGGCAAATCCATCAAGAGTCAACTGAATACGCTTTTGAATACATTCATGACAGTTTGTCAAACATTACTTGAAATATGAAAAGTGACTTGTGGTAATGATGTGAACATAGTTTACACTCAACAGTTTTCATGACTCTGGAAATGCCTCCAATCATGTTAATTAAAACAATTTATTCAATGGCTTCTAATCCATAAAGATTGAGTTTAATCAAAATGTCATCATTTTCAAATGAATTGTGATTCCAATTGATGATGATGATGCAGTAAATAACATTCTAACATTGCCATTTGCATTTATTCGTATTTCGTGTATTTGTTTATGCATTTGATGAAAAGCATGGAACATAAAATTGGGTCTTATCTACCAAGATTATGTTACTAATTATAATGAAAGCTTGCTAATTTCATGTTGTGTGGGTGGTCATTGAGATGATAAGAAATCCGAATCGTTAAGTAATCGATGTGAATAAATTTATTGCGACAATTTATCTCTGATTATTTAATCGCATTCCAATTATCATTCCAAATTGAATTGATTTCAGTTTCATTTGTGTATTTAAGTGGAGACATTAAGTTGAAGGAAGACATAGCAGGGTAAGAGGTCAAGTTACGGCAATCAATTCTGTTTGACCCAGTCTACAACACATTACCAACAATGACATGAAATTGTTTCCAAGAATTTCTCATGTTAAACTTGAGACGAGAAAAAGTTCCATCAATAAAAAGTTCCACGAAATTGGAAACTTTTTTCCTAAGCTCAACATGCGATTAATGAGTTTTGATTGAAATTTCACATGATCTTTTCTTGCTATTTTTAAAGACATTGCTTTAAATTAAAAATGTTACTTAAAACATTCCGTAATTCATCTTTGAATGATGTTTTCAAGATGACAAAAAGAAAATTCTCATCTTCAATTTCATTTGAAAATGAAAATCTATGATTCTAAGCGAGACGAACTTTTCTTTCTATGTGGCTTCGTTGAATGTTGAAAACATGAAGAAATTGGAGAAAAAAGTTTTCTTTCAACTTACTTTTTACATTTCACTCATTTTCATGTATGAATCGTTAGAAGATAGAAAAGTAATTAAAATAATAGAACTTATTTTCCCATTTCTTTTGTCTGTTGTGTTTCCTTTAAGTAGAATAATAAGGAAGGAAATGAACGACAAATTTTTCTATTACGTTCTTATCATTTTTTTGGTTTCCGAAAAGAAGAAAAAGAAATCTTTTTTCCCATTAGATATTTGTTTTTCACAAATGCAAGTTTTTGTGTCTTGAGCAACTATGCATTAAACTTAAAAGTTTAATTAAATTGTTTTCGTGCGCATGGGTTGATAGAAACAGAAAGATAAGAGAAAGAAGAAGGAAAACCTTGAAGTAAAACCGTGAAAAAAAAACTTTTCATGTTTCAATGAGTTTTGATTGCAATCAACTAAAGCATACAACTTTAAAAATCAGTTTTCATTGCATCCCTTGCTTTAATTGTCGGGAATTTCAAACACAGCTATGATTGATGATAATGAAAACTCTCGAAACTTTCCTTTTGAAATATTTTTTATTATTAAAATTTTCATGAAAATTTCAAGTGAAACAAAAGGCAAAAAATGAATAAACTTAATTATAATTTATTAAACGTTACAAATTAATCAGTTTGAATATTTGATCAATGTTGTGTAAAAATTTAAAATAAAACTTGTGAATATTTACTAATTAAATAAAAAAGTTTCCATCGACAACATAAATTAAATAATAACAAAATGAATCGAATAAAAAAATTTATCTCGTTATGATAAACATAGATAAAGTTGAACTCATAATTAACAAAAAATGTTCATGTCATTGAAAGATTTAATCCATTAGTAGCAGAAGAATAAAAGTTTAATTAAAGCCTCATCCTCGATTTCACAATTTATAAATCATCTTAATTGGAGTGATTAAAAATTAAATATAAATTTCTTTCAACTTATGACTCTCATTTAAAATAAATTCAAAACTATTATCACTTTCATGATCATTTGAAATTGCATTGCATAAAAGTTTATTCAAGTAAATAAACAACCTGAACTGGTAGATGCCTGAAAAGGGAGAGAAAACTTCAACAAAACAACTTTGACTTCATTGTGTGATATGAATATCATTTTCATTATTTCTCGTATCAATTTATTAAATACATTTGAATAGGTTAATGTTCTACATTATTATTTTTTTCCGGTACCAATCTACAAAATGTACAACTTAATTTTCTCTTAATTATCTGTTGTCTCATGCCGAGGGTGAAAAAGAACATTTAATCGTTTTTCATCAAATAAAATGTGTGGGCGGAGAAACGTTTTTGTTGTTTCTGAAAGACACAATTAACATATCAATAATCTTTTCTTTTTTTTCTCTCTTCTTCAACATCCTTAGAGAAATTAATGATTTTATGTTAATAGATTTTTACTTATATTTTAGTCTTGATGCGAACGATAAATTTCCGTATCTTTATCAATCTTTTTCTCTTTAGCTAACAAATCTACTCTGCTGATGACTGATACAGATTAATTTCCTACTTATTGGAACGTTTTTATGAATTTCTTGATCAAGACAAGGATGAGATTAGTTTTATGAGTAGTTTTGATTTGAAGAGAAAAGTAAGAATGAATGACGTCATTGACACTCATTTGTTGAAGCTTGAAAATGTGTAAATTTATGTTTTCTTTTGAGTTTCGCTGATGTGAAGCACAGCATCAATTAATTTCCATTTAAAATGAATTCCAACATGTAATCCGTCAATTCAATTGTAATTCAATCATGTCGATGTTTTTTTATTTATTTCTTTTTGTCTTGTCATCAATTCCTATTGATTCGATTATTTCACACACGTGGGAGTTTATTTATTTACTTTTTTAACTTTTGGCTTGTTTAAAAGCTTATAAATAAATTAAATTTCTTCCTGATCAAATTCTCGTGAGTTGCATTGCAACGCTAAATCTAAAAGACTGTAAATGTTTGGCTTCGTTGATAAGTAAGTAACTATTGATAAAGTCATCAGCATATATTCATTAGATCAATCAATTGTTTTGACACTCGAATTACAAATAATAATAAAAAGAAAGACGTCAATCTATGGAAATTAATTATATTTTGTAGTTCTATAAATATTCAACAAATGAACGCTAAAATTTACTTCATAAACACGTGTAGGTTCATGAATGTGAAAAATTGCTAATATATGCGGCATTGCATGAATATTCGTCATCGTTTCAAATGAAGGGAAAGGAAAATCAATTAAATTTTCTTTCTTGTTCTCACGTCATGTTAACAAATTCTCACTTAAATTTTCGGATCGAAGACTGATTTAAATAATTTAGATAAATTATGTGTGGCTGTTTTTCACCATCTTCCAATATTTGTTTATTTATAATAATTAATTATCACCCGCGAATATTTTTATTTTTATCTTGTCGATGCTGAAGACCGAGAAAATTGAGATTGGTTTGAATAAAAATCTTTGAAAATGAATTCTTTCACCCGTACCGCGATATCCCATCAAGCACCATTTTTTCATATTGAAATTTCAAATTTATTCCGTATTTTTTGTTGTCTTATGGTACTATGATGATGGGCTGGGTGTGGATTTTAAGTGTAAAAACATTCTTCGTAGAGGGAGTTGAGAACTTTATGGAAAAACAATTTTCTTTATTTTGACATCCTGCTGTTCCACGAGCTGCGAGATGGTCATGTTGTTTCCGCTTGAATTCTTTCCTAACTTTCCAATCCTCAACGTTTTCTTTCTAGTGGGTGGAGGACGGGTCGGAAGAATCGGAAGACTAGAAAGTTTACAAGGAGCTTTGAGTTGCTCATAAATTGCACTAACTCGTTCTACCAGTCGAGATCCATACTTATGTGCCGTCCTATCTTCGACAGACGGTGTCTTGACGCAATCATCGCCACCAAACTCACAAACTCGATAATCTATTCCAAGAAAAATGGTGAAATTAGTCAAATGGAAATTTCTCTTATCATTTCATAAAACATTTACGGTGCAATATGGCTGAACTCGATGGAACATTTAAAGAACCCCGACCGGGACAAAATTCCCACACGAAATGATTTCCTGCTTCGATAACAGCTTCAGGTTTGCAAATATATTTTGACCTTTGCTTTTGTGGATGAAGTTTTTGTCTCCTGTGAATGAATTCTTCCATTAAATCTGTTTACATAAGGGAAAAGCGTGTAAACTTATTTACCTTCTCGTTTTTTTCTGTGTCACAAGTGACGCTCGAAGCTGTGGATTTGTTGACGCTTTATCATAAATCGTTGCGTCGTTTGCAAATTGCAAATAAAAAAAAGCATTTTGAAATGAAAAAGCGCCCGTGTTTTTATTGTTTATTCGTTTGGATAACCATCTGCATGTGACAAAGTCAATTAAGTAAATTTGAGTTAGTTAGAACAATCAAAAATTGATTATTAAATAACCGATGACTTACTCTAACAATTCACTTATAGTGTCGTTGTATCTCGGAATAATAAATTCATCCAAGTCAATTAAAGCAACGTGAGAATATCTGAAATAAAAAGAGAAGAAGAAGTGACGACAATGGTTTTACGTGTCATCATCGATTATTAAATTGCTATAAATCATCAAACTCTCACCTGTACATGCTTCGATATAAGCAGTCATTTAACGAGGCAAATAAACCCTCAGTTCGAATTTCCTTTTGCGATTTCATCTTCAAATTCCAAGGCAATAAATCTACGGTGATTTTCGGTGATGGAGCTGTTTCGGTTGTATTCTTATCGCCACTACTAGATCGTCCAATTGAGTTACTGCCTGCAGAGTGTTGTACAATTTTACCCTCCATATAATGCTTCAAAATACATGTCGCTTTCGGTCCAATTGTATGATTATAGAACGTGAAATGTGACACTCCAAGAAGGTTGTTGAGTTCAAGAAATTCGAGCATATAAAGATCCTGAAATATTTTTTTCGTAATCTTAAATAAACACTTCGATTTGTTTGCAAAACAAACCTGATCATAGTTGAAGTGCAACGGCTTTACACATACCGCAATCTTATTGGGAATGTTTGTGACACTATGATTGGCAAAATCAGGATCCTGAAAAGAATTTTATGCATAAGTTTTATGAAAATAAATGATAGAATTTCGAGTTCTTACGCTGTCAGTGTTTCGCAACATAAGAATGTTCCCTGGTGGCGATCGAAGCTTACTGACGATACTAACAGAATATGGAACATCGAGATTGGAATTTCTTAATGGACATAATATAAAACACGCGCTATATTTGAGATTCCAATTTTCTCGAATAACTTTAACTCGTGCCATAACTGAGATTGATCGAAGTCTTGTATAATTTCCATCAACTGGATACCACATTCGACACCAAACCTTTTCCGGTCCACGTGTCTTTGTAGCTCCTATCACTCGAATCATTCGTCCGTCACGACGATCATAAAAAGCAGAGAACACGAAAAATTTGAATCGTGTTCCATTCACAACCTGCCATGTGCCATCTTTTGGCTTCACATCACTGGGATATGGCGGGAGATTGGCTTCAATATTAATTGGCAACATTTGTCCCCAAGGCACCGCATTGGGATCAGAATCTGGAACTACTGGGATGCCTTGCATCATCTTCTCTTGAATTGATGGATCGGATTTTTTACTCTTCTTGAATAAATTTCCAAGGGCACCAACACCAAATCTATGTTCACGAACGAAAATTCCACTGTCATCAGCGTAGTCTTCCTACAATGACGAAATGTTTGATTGTTATTGAAGTTTTTTATTATTTAATATCATTTACCTTGACATCCTCGTAGTCAGGAATTGATTCACTGAATCGATTGACGCTTGTTCGCCTTACAGTTACGCTATTTCTATCATCTATCATGAGTACCTACAAATAACAATAGTAATGTTGCTTGTCAAACGACGTTTTTCCATATTGAAGTGGAGCAAGGAAAGAATAAAAAATATATCATGGTTAACTAAATTAAAACAAGAGCATTGCGCAACATGGTATATATGTAGTTTGGGAATAAGAGGAAAAACGGGAGCATTCAATGAGCCATTGGAGACATGTAACAGCAGGGAAATCGATGGAAATTCATGGTGAAGTTAGGGCGAACCAATGAATAAAGATAAAACAGGAAACAACAATTCAATTTTATGGTCTTTATCGTAAAATGTTTACTTGAATTAGCTAAATTAATGTTTTGCATTACCTCTGTCAGTATGATGATACCAAATATAGCGAAGAAAGCGATTACAATGAGAAATGACATACTGGTGCGCTCTCTCGATCCCCATGTTCCTTTCTTACTTCGTTTCTTTGAGCTTGTCGAATGTTTTCTTTCTTTCTTCAACAAGGGCTCATTTGAATACATTTTCAAATGAAAGCTTTAATAATTATTAGAGATTATTTCACTTGCCACCCACGCATATAATTTCCTTGTGATAATTTTATTCAGAATTGATTTTATTTTATGCAACTTGATGATTTTTTTCTTCTTTTTTGAAATTCACATTTTCATAATATTTGATTCGAGAAGTGATCCATAAAGTCTCAATTTAATTAGAAAACTGTGTTTGTCCACTTATGACATTTCTTATTCTTTAATCAATGAGAAACACCTTTCAGTTAATTAAATATTCATCAACACTCGAAATATTCAACAATTTGTGGCTCCACTGTTGATGTTTCTATTTAGTGTAGGTTTTATCGTGAATGACTGAAGCTTTATTATGGATTAATCTTTTCAACGTTTTGATATTACTCCATCTAATCTTATCATAAAAAATATTTTATCATTAAATGAACTTTTTGTTCGCTTTCAATTCGTAGATAAAATATTTAGTTTAGCAAATACAAAGTTGTTTGAGCAATACTAAACAATTCAAGTTCTTTGAGCACTCTGAACACACTTCAATGTGATGCAGCAAACTATTTGAATCACATGGCGTCTGAAAATTGGCATGAAACTATTAAAACTTTAAAACTCTCAAGTACAAGCGAGAATTTCTTTTATAAATATTAAAAAACTCGTGAGGAAATTTTGTCTTCGTCGGCCATATTAAAAGTGAGATTGAGACTGAAATAATATGAAAACTGTGAGAACGTTTGTGAGAATAGCTTATGGTTTGTAGTATTTGTTGAGTATAACAGGGTTGAAAATGCAGTCCCGACTTTTATCCACACTACACAGTCATAACTGAGAGAAAAACCCTCGAAATCAAACCGAGACATATCATTGAAATATTTTATGAAGGGAGAGAATTTCTGATCAAAGTGTTAGTGGTGCGCATGCTTTCTATTGTTATTATTAATAAATTTCAAGGATTGTCTCTCGCAATGTTTTGAATTATTTCCTTTCACATAACATAAGCCGGCATTGTATTTAGTAGAATTTATCATTTTTTTATCGAACAAAGCATAATTCAAGGTTTTGAAAAAAAGAAAATCATTAATCAACCTACTTTCGTCGAATGGAAACATAGAAGTTAACTATCATAGTTGATGCACTTGAAAATTCATAACTGATTTGTTTTCATTGATATTTCGCTCAATTTTCTGGCATGTGTTGAATTGAAAAACGATTATCGATTGCTGCTTTACATATTTATGTGGGCTGAAATTTTTGATATATAAGATTGACGTTTATTGAAAACAAACATTCAATTACACCTTAGGGGCGACATTAGATTGCGATTCAAATTTGTTGGAATTTGAATAATGAAATGATTATCTTGTACACTTTAATTGAATTTTAAGCCTTATATGCAAAATAATGTTTTTGTTAGGCGTGCATAACTATGACTTGAGAGAATTTAATTAACATTTTTCTTGTTATGAGTTCGAAACATCTGGTCAACCGCAACATAATTTTCCATTACCATAACCAAAATACATATTTCCGAAAATTCTCTCGCATTTTCCTATGGCAGCAGACGATAATGCACAAAGGAGGATTATTAATATCAATTCATTATTATTTTCTCGGTTAAACTAAAATTTCTCTTGGAAGCTGACCTAAATAACGTGTGTTTGAAACTATGAAGCTAAACCAGCCCTATGCGACAATAAATTCAAACAAGTATCACGAATGCACCTTTTTAATAAAGCTGACTTAAAGTGGAATTTAATTTTAAAATTAAATAATTTTCTCAACTCTCGCAATCCATTCAAGAGTCTTGAATAAGTTTATTGGATTTTCCAGTTGCTGTTATTGTTTTCGTTATGAAGCCAGAAGTACTCGACAATGTTCAATGGTGAAAGAAATAATATTAAAGACGTTTTGTTTCCAACAGTATCAGCATACAGCAGTGAAACATGCACCAAATAAAAATTCACTTAGATAATTTATTATTCAGAAAAATCTCCAACAAATTTAAAAGTATAAGAAATAAAATTCAATTGTTATCCGACTATGCAGTTTATGCAGCTATTTTTCTCTTTCGTCTTCATCTTAAGAATTCAATTGAATTAAAAATTCAAATTTCCGCTTCTATCAAGATTGTTGTGAAAATTATTCTCTCAATTGTGATAGAATTTTTTATATTTCTTTCCTTCAAAACGATTTTTTTATATTATACGAAGCAGTTTATCATTGAATTGATACTTATTGTGATGAAGAGGATTAACAAATTACAAATTTCCACGCTGCGCTTGATCCATCTCGATTGCTTCAAAAAGTGCTTTGAAATTACCCGCTCCAAAACCCTGAAAAAAAGGAAAAGCGGAAAATTAAAAATCAAAATGAATTTACGTCTTTTTTGTTGACATTAAATCAAGTCGGTCTCACATTGTGATTACGACGTTGAATCACTTCACAGAAGAGGGTTGGTCTATCTTGCATATTTTTTGTAAAGATTTGCAACAAATATCCGTTCTCATCGTAATCGATTAAAATTTTAAGCTTTCGAAGCACTTCAAGGTCTTCTTTGATCTGAAATTTGTCAGCCTTTAGACGTTCTTTCAGCATGTCGTAGTATGTGTCAGGCACTTGAAGAAACTCCATCCCTCTCATTTTCAATTTTGTGATGGCTTCAATAATGTCGTCGGTGTTCAATGCAATATGTTGAACTCCACCACCCCCATAATAATCAACATATTCTTGAATTTGTGATTTCTTTTTCCCATTTGCTGGTTCATTGATCGGCATCTTAACAGTTTCTTCATAATTTGTCACCACGATTGAACGAAGTGCCGAATATTCCGTATGAATTTGCGAATCATCAACCGACCAGAAACGATGGAACATCAAACAACGAACATACCATTCAGCAACTGGTTCCATATCTAAATCAGGTTGATTCCCTACGACGTGATCAATAAACCGCAAATTGATTTTTGGCAGATATTTTTGAAGCGCATCGTTTACAATGTAATGTGGTTTGTAACCGGGAAGGAATATTCCTTTGTATCCTTTCCGGTCAATCAAAGTGTGGGTGGTGTCACCATACTAATAAAATATTCACTTTTTTAGAGAAAGTAATTTAAGTTAATTTTTTCGTCATTCTACCGTTTGAAGAATCGCAAATCGAACACTTCCAAAGTCATCGGATTCTGTTGTGACATCATGAAGAATGTTAGCGCCACGTTCACGTGCTTTCGCAACGATAGCATCAAGATCTTCAACTTCAAATGAAATATCTTTGACACCGTCACCATGCTTTATCAAATGTTCTCCGAACTCTGCGTTGTTTGTGTCGTATGGCGAGACAAAAATGAAAATGATCTTCAAATTAAAACTTTTATGAGCGATCATTAAAATTATTTCAGAAAAATTTGCATAAATTACTTTATTTTGCTTCACGACATGTTTTGCGTTTTTTCTGTTGCCAGTTTCTAAACCTTGATAAGCAAGATAATCAAATCCCATTCGCGTTACATAATATGATGCTGCTTGCTTTGCATTGCTTACGTAAAATGTCAAATGATCGAATGCAAGAAATTTTCCAGCTTCTGGCTGTAAAATTTATTCAAAATAATTTTCTCAATTTCACTTTCACTGCTCTCCAACTTACTTTCGGTCCTTTATCGGTGTACGTTGTCTGTAGGTATTTAAATTTCAAACCGGAATTTTTATAATTTTTCCACAACAAATGTCTGCTAACTTACCATAATTAATTAATTTATTTTGGCTTTCCAAAATTCACTTCAAAATTTAGAATGAAACTGATCTCGCGTTGTTGATCGCGCCTCTATTTATTCTAACGCTCATCGCTAATCGACGAGATGAGTTGAAAAACTCGTTCATGATAAACATTCGATTCTTGAATATTTAGATCTTAATTTATTTGCAACAAAACTGGTTTGATTCCAAGAATTAATAAACACCTATTTATTATCAATTCTTCTACGTCATTGACACATGTGTCGATTCTCTCTAAATTGGAGGTGTGTGCTTCAAACATGCGTTCGTCCATGCCTCTTTACACAATGCTTTAAGTTGTTAAAAGTTTCCTGAACAAAAAGGACAATTAATGGAAAAAAACAAAGAAATATCCGCGGTATGCGATAAAAGCTTTCGAGCTTGACATTTATTATGTCATTCATCAACCAAAACGGAAAAACGAAAGAAAATTTATGGCAAATAAATCATTTTCCAGAATGTTTCTTTTTTACATTTTTACTAAACGTCACAAAGAATTTTGTTTACAACGCTTGCGAACTTTTATTATTATTATTTTATTCAAGGATTCTAACTTAAAATGAAACTGGTTTAATGTGACGTTGTGTAGTCAGACGACAATATTGAGACAAAATATTTCTTTTAAAGTCTTTATTTACTGATCAACATTTATTTATTAGCTTTCGTGATTCAACATACAATTATGTATCGTTTTGATGACAATTTCCGAAGCTTCATCTGTGCCACAATAATCCGTCGCACTTTTCTTTTTCTCTCTTCTCTTGCATTAAAAAATTCCTTTAAATCATTATGGTTTGTAATTAAACAGTTTGCATTCATCATGTTCTACTTTTCTTGTAATTTCATTTAATCGTAGCTTTATTCTTCATTTCTTTTTTTTTGTTATGCAATAAAAAGCGTAATTAATTTAAATTCTTTCCTAACAATGAATTGTTTGTCGTTGAGGTTCAAATAACTTCAATCCAACAATCATCCCAAGCCTTTTCACTTGAAATGTTACACACAATTGAAATTGCAATCTAACTAAAACACAAAAGATTTAAATATTCCTACATTATCCTTAAAATAAGGAGAAATTTGTTTTGATTATGGAAAACAGGGATTGATTTGCTGATCATCAATGCAGTTACATTACGTTAATCAACAACAGATTTAATCACAAAAAATAAAATCATAAGAATAGTAAAAAATTGTCATTCCAGCATATTTTTTAATAAGTCGTGAGAAAACTGTTGGAATTTCACGTAACTTTTGATTTCATGTTGACAACTTTAAAACGAATTAAAACGAATTTAAACGAATTAAAATCAAAGGCAAATCCCTGATTCAAAAAGGAAGAGGAAAAGAAATTGTGTAACGAATTAAGTAAAAACCTTTTGATAATTAAATATCACAATTGAAAAATAACAAAGAAAATGAAATAAAATAAAGAGATTTTCATAATAAATGATGATTTTGTTTGATCGATTACGTCTTTCTTTTTCTTCCGAGATAAAGCGTAGGCAAATAAAAAGAAGATATTTGAGAAATATTCAACTGGATGATGATTGTTCGGATAGAAGTTTTCTAGAACAACTTTCAAAGCAAAATTCTAATTTATTTCAATTTTTGTAACATTTCTTCTGTCCATCCCATCATCATCAGTTGAATTAATGTTTTTATGCCACAATATTTGTAAGTGGAACAAAATATCAGGCAAATATTTTCCCCACCATCGACATTGCGTCTTACTTTTTCTTTATAGATTGATAATCTGATGGAAGTAAAAATATTCCATTCTACAAAGCTGGTCCTTCATTGAACTCATTTTCATCGCTATCAGAGAGATAATCCAAGTTACTTGAACTAGGCTGGTCCATAGAGTTGGCGATAAGTCTTAAATTTTCAACGCCACTTAAAAGTTGTCTGTCAAAACCAAATAAAAGTCATTAAAGTGATGAAGAAAATAATTTTTTTTTTGAGTATTTACCTTAAATTATTTTCAGCGGAAGCTGCTGCCATTCGAAGATCTCTTGCCAAGTTCCTACTTTGTGAATTATTGTTTGATGAAGCGCCAACTCCACCAACAGCTCCACCTTCTCTTAACGCTTCATTTTCCTGTCGCAATTGTAGAACTTCAATCTAAATTAAAAAAAAAATATTTACAACGAGAAAAAAAAAATTAAATTAATTTTCTATTTACCGTTAACTGCTTCTCTTGTTGCTTGTATTTATTTGCTTGTGCTTGAGCTTCAATTGCTCTTTGATTGCTTGCAAAGAGATTCTCTTCAACTTGTTCCATACTTTCCGCCAACGTAACATTGTATTGCGTTTCTAAGTTCTTTGCATGACTAATCTCATTTTCCATATCAACAATAATGTGTCGACTCTCATCAAGTTCCATTCTAAGACGTTCATTTTCCTGTTGAAGTCGAACGATAATCGATTGGTTGTCTTCCTCGTGTGAAATCGTTGCAACGTCTGCTAGTCTTCCCGAAGAATGAATCGGTCCGTCTGAGAGGAAGTCAGGAAGTGTTTGCATCTTGTCAATTGCTGCTTGATCTCGTGTTATTTCCGGTTCATTATGAGGCCCATAAGTTTCTTCACGTTGCACAGCAACATCAGATAAATTTGCATTGTCCATGAGATCAGGCGGTAAATGTAACTCTGACGACCCAGATCGATGTGGTCGATCAAGTGATGATGGAAGATCAAGTGGTATTGTTGCATGATTAACTCTTCTTCGTGTGTTAGGCGAACGATTAAAAGTCAAATCTAAAGTGTCACGGCCATTGTGCATGTCTTGCATATGATTTATTGAATCACAATTTCTTGAGTTGTAACCTTCATCACACATATTCGATGTCGAATTGTCATTGTAGTACTCCATTAATAAATGATCTTGAACGAAATCAGGAAGAATTGAATTGGACGAATTAACATTGCTCTGTGAGCGTTGTGCAAACGGTCTAACACCATGTTGTTTTCGATCAGATGGTTCAATATCATAATTGGAGTAAGAACGTGATGACGGAAATTGATATTCCATGTTAAAGGAATTATTACTACGTGATCCGTGCATGTTCCTTTCATCAGCCAACTCCGAAAGACTCGATTGGGAATCAAAGGAAGAAAATTTCGGTGATCTTTTCATTTTTGGGTCCGGTTGATTGTGAATGACACTAACCGATTGAAATTGTGGAATTTTCGGACGTGCGCCGGTTGAGTTTAAGGAACTTGTTGTGGCTGATTTTGATGGCGATTGAGACGACGATTGATGTTGATTCGTCGTCATCACATCATTTCCATTATTTACAATATTTGTGTTGCTTTGACTATGATTGATTGAGTTGCTTGTCGTTGGATCACGTCGCAGAAAATGTTTAAAAGAAAATGGGTTTTCTTTTGGAACTTCTGTTGGTGGTCTAAAATCTTTTTTTTAATTCAAAGAAAAAAAAATAAGAAAATTGCAAGAAAAAAAATTATACAATTCGTTTTTAAAAATATACCCGAATTTTCACTAGTTGAAGCCTTTTTGACAAGGTTCGGAATTTCATCACCATCACTGACATCATTTGCGTTCAACTCGTCTTGAGTTTTCTTTTCATTTGCCATTTAAGAATAAGATTTTTTATATTCACTCGTATTTGTTTATTATTTCAGTATGATGAGTCCATATGGCCTTTGATAAAAATTTGAATTAATAAATTCCGTTAAATTTAAGAGCAAACTTTTATAACTATTTACCTATTTGTACATTTTCATTATTAGATATTATATTAAACATTAATAAAATCCACAAGTTGTTCATGATTATGGCTGAAATCGTATTAAACAATGTAAACATTTTCATTTCACAAAAAGAAAGCAGAAATTTATGAAAACGATTTGTTTTTTAAACCATTTAAAAATCATTCCAAATGTAATTATTGCGACCATCACAACCCCTACCAAGAAGGTAGGTATATTTAATTAATATAGGTATTTACTTCAATATAAAAATCATGTTTCAAAAGGATATTCTAATATTCGCTTTGATTCGGTGAAAAATGTGGTTGAACGTAATTCAATCTCGTCATATTATCAATATGAGAGAAAACACCAAAAATTATTGAAAATCGAATTTAATTAAAGGATATTTTATTTACAGGAAATCTGATGAGCACAGACATTAAAAGCAATTTACATGAAATGTTTCGAATAATTCTTTTCTTACTTCGTTTGTACTTTGATTGAATATATGTATTAAAAAAATGTTTTTTACTATGAGCTTTTTTTCCACTTAGACATCCTTAGCAATACTTGAATTATGAGTGGAAGCTTGTGATGAAACCACGACTTGAATTAATTAAAAATTTCCATGGTGAACAACGTTCTTGAAATTCTGATGTGAAAACATGAAAAGTCAAATAAGATATGAAAAAGGGTTCGCATAAAAAGGGCACAAAGAATCACCATTGCGCAAAAATGATTTAGTGCTTTATACAAGCAATCGAATCAACTTGCTATCTCGAGTACGTCGTCGACTCCTTAAAATTAAAATCCCAAATTTAATCGCTGAATAAAAACACAAACAAAACGAGCGAAAAAAATAACAAAAACAGCTTTTTTCCGCCTTTAATGGAATTAAATAATTTTCGAGATCGTGAAGATTCTGATTTTTCGTTTGCTTTCATTCATGTTGTTGTTTTTCCCTTTAGAATATTTAATTATTCCGGTCTTAATCAGTTAAAACTTGTGTTTATCGGCAGAAATAAGAAAGGGAGAATGTAGAGAAAGAAAAAAAACGAGAAATGTATCTACAAGAATTATTCATTATGTAAAAATTATCAGTGAAGGAAGTTTAAAATAAGAGAAAAAGAAACATTTTTGATCCTTAAAGTAAAATTGAAGCTAATTATTGTAAAAGTTTACTCATAGCGAATTCGCACAAAAACTTCAATAAGACTTAAAAGGATTCTGAAAACCTTCAAAAAAGTTTAAGTAAAAATTATAATCTACATAAAATATAACACTGTTGACAACAATGTCAGAAAGGAGAAGACAATATGTAGATTAAACGTCATGACCAAAGAACGAGCTAAAATAAAATAACGTCAAAGCATTGTTCATAATTAAAAACCATTTAGTTTCTCAGCATCATAAAATTCTTTTTCATGACTAGGTATTTGAGAATGAAGTCACTGAATATTCTATGGCAAGCGCGCGTTTATACTTAAGCATAATATACACAATAGTTTGATATAACTTTCCTCCACTTCGCTGTGCTCTTTTAAATGTCGCTTGAATAGCGATTTAAAATTTCATTATAATATAATTTTCTGTGGTTTCCGCTTTTTGTATGATTTTCATTTAATGATACCGTATTGTAGCGTATTTAATTTCTGCTATTCGCTTTTCCCATCGTCATTTTTCTAAAGGGAACATTTTAATTTTCTAAAGGTATTAAATTTTGAGTAGTTCTGTTGAGTGAGTAAAAGGAGGAAATTGTTAGCGTAAATTGTCTTTTAATGTTGCAATGTTTCTCCATCTCCTTTCATTTTTGATATCAAACGACAAAAGAAAATTCCAATGAATGTCTAACATTTCATAATATTTTCCCTTTATCTGATGAAACCGCCTTTTTTCTCTGTCACCTTTGCGTATTTATTTCTCGCTCATAGACTCAAGGGAGCGTTTTCAAATCGACTCTTATGTGAGAGGTTCAAGCGACACTTTCTAAAGAAAAGTGTAAACGATCATAGCAAATTGGTTTGGCATATTAAACTCACACATCAAATTCATATCTTAGACACGTACTCGAGGCATTCATAATCAAACAAAAGCGGAAAATGTTGAAATAATTTTCTAGTTGAATAACATTAAGGGACAAAATAAGCACAAGTTTCGTCTCCATTCTTAGTCCCCTCCCTCTGAATAAAATAATTAACTCGAACATAATTTCTTAATAACATAAGAATCTTAATATTTTTCTTTCTCGTTTTTGAAGCTTAGGGGAGAATGAAACAACTCGACATGACTTGTCTTTGGCTTCGTGATACTTTTAGATAGCTTGAGGTTTCGTTCTTCTCTTTCGAATTTCACATTGACAACTATGAGTTTGAATTCGTAATGGGTTAGTAGAAACATTAATGCGAGACTACATAAAACATTTATTGCCTTCATGCTTCTTTGACTTTAAAGCTGTAGGACGTATTTCTTACCCTTTCCGCTAATTGAGCTGTCAACGAACATCATGTATGTCTCTCTAAACCTCATTGAGCATACCCCGGGGACTGAACTTACCCCAACCAACTTTTTGTTATCACACCAAGCATGTCTTTAAACTGTCAAGACATTCTAATAAGGCGAGAGATGTTCATATATTTGTTTTACATTAACGAGTAACTTTTTTTCGGTTGTTTTGTTGTTTTTTGTGCCGACGAGGGATTTGAAAGTTCGTACAAGGGAGAGACGACAAAAGTTTTTTTTCCTCTCTTTTTGTCCCTGTTTGTCGAGAAGTTTTTCATGTTTTGCTATCAACCGGAATTTGTTAAAAGCTTTATCATTTCGGAAGAAAGAGAAAAAAGCAAAGTTTCTAATACAATTTTAGTACGGAATTTTGTAAGATTTTGTTTATCCTGTGTGTTGGAGAAATTTATGATAATCACTCGTCTTAGTTTCGAGTGTTTGCGATATTCTTTGAATATCTTTAGCGGATAGTGTCTAGAGATTTATGATGAAATAACATGAGGATTTATTTTTGAAATGAGAGATTTAAAAGTTCCTTCTTCTAAGTCATTTATTAAAAAAGATTTTGTTCAAGACTTTTCTTCCTTTCTTGTTGTTTTGTCATTTTTTTCTTGTAAAAAGTTGTCTTCATTTAAAGTTAATGGATTTCTTTTTCAATTTTATTTCTATCAGCTTATCATGATGTTTAACGTTTCTTGTCTTCCTTGAAGCATCCCTAGACGTTTTTATTTACAGAAACCAGATGGGAATTCGAAAATAAAGAAAAATAAAAATGAGAATAAAATTGCAAGATGATTTCGAATTTTTTTTTACTTGATTCTCAAAGTTTATTTTCATGAGACGAGTTGAGTCGTATGTATAAATACAATTGCCGGCTGAAAGACGAACCACGCACGTTTTAACATTCATTGTGTAAATGCTGGCAATTCATCAAAAATGACAAATTGTTAAATTAAAGTATTTCCTCCTTCTCTTCATGAGATAATTTAATACTTTTTTTCTTGCTGCCAGTGACGCTGCTGATGTCGTTTGTTGTAGACTTTGTCGACATTTCATCTCATCATGCAGTAAAAATGAGGCAAAAATTTCATTTAGCTTTCGCTTTTCTATCTTTCTCTCTCCCTTGGTTTCACTCTTCTTCACTTTTCTAAGCATCCATCGGCTTGAAGCCAAATAACTTAGTCATACGGGATGTTACGATGTAAGGCATGACAAACAAATTGCCTATTTGTAAGCCAATCTTAACATTCCTTTCCGTTCTTCATCTCATCATGGTTGCACAGATTTGCCATCGAAAAGAAAGACGGAAAATAAATCCGAATAACATTTTTTTTTGCTTTTGGGATTTTTCGTTTCGCTTTTTTTAACTTAAATTGTTTGAAATCATGAAATTGTTTAAATCCAAAGCCCTTCGGGAAGAGAAAGCTTTTTTTTTATTTCAAACCGCGACTCCATTTGTCATTGTTCCCTTCGCCCTTGAAAGGATGTGCCAGTTCAGCCCTACAACTGCCAGCATCATTTGCTGAAAAGAAAGAAACATTGCAAAAGCTGCAAAGTTGAGGTTTAATGTTGTTCTCTTATATCCACTCAACATTGCATGTTATCTCAACATAAGTATTTCTAGCAAAAATATAAAAACCATGCACGCAACTCTTCCCCCATTTTCTCGTTTTTACGAGATTTTCAGGAAATCAGCAAAAAAAGAAAAAGAAAAAAATAAGTTAATGTTAATGATAAACTCAGGGCCCTTGCAAAACTATCGACAACACTCTATCGACAATATCTCGATGGAGAAGGCTTTTATGGTGAAAAAATCATTGCTGACAAAGAACCATAAGTTTTTTTTTCTTTTGTTTTCGAAATGTTAGTTGACAAGAGAAGTGAATGGAAGGGAGAGAGAAAATAATACGATAGTTCATATTAACAATCTTATTTTTATTTCATAATTTTCTTCTCTTGTTACCGACCTGAGAATAGAGAAAATGTGCGACATGACATCAAGGTCCAGTGAAACTCGACACAGAGTGGGAATAAGGAGAATGTCTTTATAAATCAAATGAAGTTTATGGAAGATACGGTCCATGTGAACGTAACATGTGTTCACTTTATTCTTTTCCATCTTTTCAGTTACATCTTTTTTAGCTGCTCATTCGTTTGGCTTTCTCAGCTTTACTATCCCTAGTAACATGTGCTTTACCGCGCTCTTTCTCGACTCAACATATTACTCGACTGATGATGATATAAAAAGCTAACCTCATGTTGTAATCGTATGCTTCAAAAAAGATACAAACGACTTTTATTCCTTTCATCGCAAACAAACAACAAGCAAATATTGCAATGAACTCGACTCAAACTTTGCTGAGTGCTTTAAAAGTCTTTGAAGTTTTGAAGTCTCTCATGCGTTACAGTTTGTCATATTGATTATTCATGAAACTTATTATAAACTTTTTACACTTTACAAAATCTCAAAAGAAATCCTAAAATTATACGAAATTTAATTTATCTATCACTGATTAAATTATTCTGTCACAGTTGGAAGTTTCATCATAAACAAATTAAGTGATAGAATGGCATGAAAGAAAGTCAAACAAAAACTCGTTGAACTCCATCTCTGACAAAAGAAAATCGCGATAAAAGGAAAGTTTATAGCAGAAGCAGCATGAGACAAAAAAAAAAGGAGAAAGAAGAATATTCGTGTGCGCATTTTTTCCTTATTTGACATCAAAAAATAAGTATAGAGAGAAGAGAGAGAGAAATGGAAGACGAACAAATGTGTGTGAATTTATCATTTCGCCTTTGACTTTACGACTATGAAATGTATTTTATATACCATTGCTATTTCATGATGAACGACTCTATAGCTTCGATGTCGCAATCTCTCGACGTCGTGTGTGCTTTGAATGTTTGGAGAAAGAATGGTATGGTGAGTCTATGGAGAGCTATAAAAGTCGATGCTATAAAGGACACAAAATTGGAACAATAGCCAAAAACTTGTAGACGACGGACGAACGAACGATGAACGTTAAATCTAAACCGGAGGGAAAACAGATAATGTATGGAGAGAAATAATAAAGAAATTTTCTATAATTGCCACAATGATTTATAATTCTCGCTTGGTGTAGTGATCTTGATGGTGGTGGAGGGAGTTGAAAAGACGAACGACGAAAATGAAAGCAAAAGAGACAAGAAACGCACGAGAAATGAGTTAATTTGTCAAAGCATGTGCGGATGAAGTCCGGAAGACGATTTCAACGAAATGAAAATGACAGACACACGACCGGGTCAGAACTGCGACTAATTATCAGCAATAACGGAAGAGCAGCGAGACTATTTTCCTTCATTATTTCGTCCCTCCTTATTTCTTTGAATGGCTTGGATTGATTGCTCGAGTGCATGAAAGCATAATTCAATTGACTTCATTCAGACTACTCGGAACTAACTAGATTGTCAACAAAAAGGACGCTGAAGATGTTGAGCGACTCTTGAGCTTAATTTTCATGCTAAACCCCTTCCCTTGTCTATTTCATTCTGTCTTTCCACAAGCGTACACGTTTCGTAACTTTTCTTATTCATTTTGAACCGTGATAAGCTTGAAGCTTCCAAGAAGGTTGGAAATCTAAGTGAAGCCAATGGTAAACAACTTGCTTGTCTCTTTTTTTATTTTATTATTAAATTATCTGCAAACATAGGAAAGAAAAAAGAAATTCCATATTCAAACTAAATTTTTATAAAATTTCCAAGTTTTTTCTTTTTGAAGAGAAATAATAAGCATCGACCTGGTTTGTGTGCAACAGATTTCTATCTATAGAAATCAAAATTTTCCATTATTTTGTCTCCCTCAGCTGCTGAAAATATATATGTGAACAAATGAAATAAAAAAAAGTATAAGAAAGGCCAAGACCAACAGTTGCTGAAGCAAATAAAAATCTCAATAGAAAAAGTTTCTTTTAGCAATTCAAAGTTTTCCACATTTTTATTTTCACTAAACAATCTCTCTGCAGAATAAAAATTTCGTTTCGATATTTGGAGGAAAGCAAAAACGAGAAGAAAAATTCACAAATCTAATAATTTATCGAATCTTTATTAAAATAATTTTTTTCTTCACTCAGTCTGCATTCAGTCGTTTTGAAAAATCTGCGACAAAGATATTACAGAGAACGTTGTTGTTGTGATATTCGCAGTGAAAATGCTATAAAAAAAGGATTTTATTTTGACAATAAAAAGAATTGGAGATTTCATAAACCTTTTCTGATGTTTATTAAGAGTGTCAAAGGATTTAAATGTGGGAAAATTGCCGGATTATTGTATCTTGAATTGGAATTTATTTTTTCTACGTCAGTTCAGTGCTGTCGGGATATTTCCCTTGTCAAATAAGATCATTTCACGAAGCGGAACAATAATCTTAAACGTCGCATTGTTGGTAGATGTTTAAGCGACAGTTTTATAAAACTTTTCCATTATTTTCCATTAGCATTTTGTGTGATCGAATAAACTTTACTTGCGTTGTCAATGTTTAGCAGCTCATAATAGAATTTGTTTGTATTTAAGCAATTTCACGCTAGAATATTAACGGCAAAAGTTTTTCATATCATTGCAATTTGCATCGAAAAATCGTCGTCGTTGTCTTTGAAAACGTTTTTGTGCCTTCAAGAAAAGTTTTCATCATCTTTATGCATCTTTAACTCTCGAATCTTTCCACCCACATCTTTCTTTTACTCGCTTTCTCTCTTTACAACTCCGTCTGATGCACATGATAAACTTTTATTTCTGTATTAAAATAAGATGCAAAAGTTCTCTTCGCTGTTTAGAATGTATGCCGGGAGGTGGGAAAGAGTAAAAATATATTAACATCCCATGACAAGTACAATCATTAAATCCTTCAACATGATGATGACAAGAAAGAAATTGAAAAATTACATTAAAATCATTTGAGATGAAGTTTTTCCTATTTTATTTATCTAAAACATCATAAGCAAAAAAAGACGAGAAAAATTCAATTTCTTTGATGCACCAAGCATCATCATAACTGTCAAGATGATGCCACTCCTTGTATTTAATGTAGTGACTTAAAGCAGACTTAAAGAAAATATTTTTTCCGAAGTAAAACTATATAATTAAAGTAGGTACTTCGTTTAAGAATCTTCAACCACAACTCAACGTCTCTCTCCGATTAAATCTGTAATGAGTCTGTTTAGTTTTAATTGCTGGACGGTGTTTTCTCATTGGTACAATTCAACATCATCTTTCTCTCGTCATCATTATCATTACAACAGAAAAAGCTTCCAATAAAACGAGAAAGGGATGGTAAATGGCAATAATAAAACATAGTAATGGCAATTAAAGCTGAATGGTTCCTTCGAGACTTGACTGTATATATATTTTAATTAATTCGGTTTTTGTGTGTGATTACTGTCGTCCTGTTGTTTTTAATTTGTCACAGTCTCTTCTTCATCTTTTTTTGTGTCTTAACACTTTAATTCAGTTAAGGAATAAGTTGAAAACTTTATCGTTCTCTCTTATCAAATACTATTTGTAATATTGTTATGTTTACACAAACATCCATGTTGATATCTTTCAATCCTAAATAAATATGTAAAAACAATAAAAGCAGTTACGAAGATGAACGAAAATTAAATTTTTTAAAGCACGAATACAATTTAGTTTTCCTTTATCTAGTGTTTTATTTACAGAACTGATTTCCACACAGATTACAGTTTCTTCCTTTCTTGAACTTGTTGGTTTTTGTACGATGCAGTTTTCATGTTTTTTGTTTCATGCTCTTATTTTATGTTTTGTTTGCAATTTTCAAACTATAGTGTTTATGCTGCTTTTGTTGTGTTTTTCAAAAGCTTGATAGAATTGTGGTGTAAAATGAAACATTGCTTTCAACTAGGAAAGAATGACAAGAGATAAAGAACGATGACACTTCTATTTCCTTTCGTAGCATCAAACTCTACAAGAGGTTCTGAATAGATCATCATGAAGATCTCGAAAGGAAGTAAAAAGTATAATCAGGATGTGTTGTACAACTCATCTCAGTTACGAATTGTTTTTCCCTTTCTTTCTTCTTTGTGAAATTCGAGAAGCATAATTAAAAACTCGTGATAATTAACAACATAATAAGCTCCCGTAAGCAAAGTAATTCCAATGTTATTCAGACTTGCCTGCCAGCCTGCTCTCTTTTGTTGATGGCTAAGAGCAAAATTATGAAAATTAAATGGCATCAAAGCGTATAATATCAAGCTTTATATATGCAAGTGAAAAGTTTAAAACGGTGGTGGTGGTGGCTAAGCTTTAAAGAGATTAAATAAAACACTCTTGCTCCCTTCTAGGGATTATATAGTCGGCTTTCCCTTCTCTTACGCTCACTTCGATGATGGAACATTAATTGTTTTTACTTGACATAATTAAAACAGCCCAAAGTTGATAATGAAATGAAAGGATCAGGGGATAGCTCTTATGAAATAATCCCTTAGGAGAAAACTTTTAATTACAAATTTTCGGTTTTTGTCATTTTTGTCTCTCCTAATATATCCGATGAAAGCATATTCTCTTCCTTTGTTGTCTCGCCAGATTTTGATTGTTGAAGAGCTTTCCTTTTCCTTTACTTGATGCTGTGCTTGAAAGGCTTAGAAATACGTAAACAATATTCAACTAATCCATTTTAGTCTTGGAATCAACGACACTCTGTCAATTGACTGATTTAAATATTCAAATCTCCGTCTTGCGGTTGTCGACATAAGTTTCCAGCATAAGCACAGATTACCTAATAAAGATTTCTCATACTAAACGAGAAACTTTCATCTTAAATGAAACAAGAAGCTTGAAAAACTTCCTTTCGATAATATTTGCTTAAGATTTTCAATCCCCACAACTTTCTGTCTCGTGAAACTTTGAAAGTTTCCTTTCCACAATTTTTCTATGTAGACATGACATTAAAGTTTAATTTCTTTTAATGTTGAAACAACCTCAAACTTTATTACTGTTTAACTACTTTTGATACGAGCCTCTACTCCTGATTTAATTGCATTCCACTAACAACTTAATCTCAAAATTCAATTTAATAATGTGAATGTGTGTCCCATAAAATATGAAAATCTCATGGTAAAATATTTTAATTTGCAGATTGCTAGAATATTAAACATACAAGAATTCTACGGTTGCCTGTAAATACAAATAAATTGTTATATCATAGAAAATGATCTGAATTAACATATTAATGTGGTCGTTTGCTAAGCGCCTCACTATCATGCATATGTGAAATGGTTGTTAATTAACTTTATGACGGCAATTGACACTGGTCGTCAATTAGTCAATTGAATTTTTATAACAACAACTTTTGACGTTGTTTATGCAACAGAGTAAAGAACAAGAAAAATTCGATTGACGCAACTGACGTCAAACAATCAGCAAGTGGAAAATTGACCAAAATTCAGTCAACATCATATGAAATGTTCACAATTTTGTTTTATTTAACTTCTCAAAAGATTAGTAATGAAGCCTCACATACATTATTAACTTCGTAATAGAAATGACCCAAGAGATGTGACATTAATTAGGGAAATAGTAATAAAATGTGCTCACTTAACTATAAACTTTTTCTTTCTGCTTTTCATCATATGTCACAAGCCGGAAATGTTCGCTTATTGCTTCCTCGTTGTTTAGTTTCATTGTCTCAAGATCCTCTTTTGTTTAGCATATAACAATGCCATGACAGCACTTTATAGAAATTAATCATTCATTATTGAGCTTGCTTCGGTTGTAATATTAGCGAAAATCAATCAAGAGCTTATCTTAAACCATGCAATTATTTGCTTTTAGATTCAACATAGCAATTTGAAATTTCTTTTCCATTATGGTTTTAGAGTGACTTTGAAATGTTTCGATATTTGCTTGTGAAGAGATTTTAGGAAATTCATTTGCTAGAAATTGTTAGAGACAGTTGAATGTTTATACAAAGTCAATAACATAAAATTTTAATTAGCTCATATCATCATAATCATATGAAGGTAAGTTAATATATTTGGTAATTTGTGTGTAGACAAGCTTGTTGACATTATTTAGATGTTTAACTTTACATATATTGCTCCCTCGAAACTTCTAATATATTTAGGTACTTTAAACAAAACATTCTTAATAATAATTAACTACATCATTCAAAGACGATAAAACATGGAAGAAATGAAAAATCTTTTGAACACGTTTAGAGAAAAAGTTTTACAGCAAAAGTTCATTTTTCAACTATTCATCATAATAAATGTTTCGAGTCAATTGAACTATTCAACTACTTCATTTATTTTCCCGATATTTCCCGGCTCTTCAAGAAAGGGAACAGCGCATTAGAGAAAAGTTTTCATTTCATTAGCTTGTAGGAAAACGGAGTGCTTGAAATTCCCGACGATGATTTATATGAGTTAATAAAGTCTGTAGAAATGTTTCGTATGATTTAACTCGCTCAGTTCGCAGATGCACAATGAATTTAAGACGAACATATTTTTATTTCCTTTCTTTATCATAAAAGAATTTCAATTACACGCTTAAAAGAATATTCGTGTGTACCGGTTGGAGCGGGCGAGGATCGAGCTGGAGGGGGGACGAAGGAGAGAGCAGATTAGTCTGGAGCGAGCAGTGAAATAGATTAGATTTGTGTATTATAAAAGAGAAATAAATAAGTATTATAACGTCGAAAAGACTTTAGTTTTACTTTAATTCACGCCGGAACATCGTGTATCAACATTAAAGCACAGCAACAGTTGCTGTTTATTGATATTTCAAATATCAATGAAGTTAAAACGTTCTCAATTCATTTTTAAACAAAACGATTCCGGCAACGAGTTTATACAGGAAGGAAATATGCAATCTCAAAGCAATTAATTAAAATTTTTGTTTTATTATTTGAAAGAAAGTAGTTAACCGTAATAATAACAAATATGATTTCCTGAGTAGGTGCATATAGTCAAGAAGCACTTTAAAGAAAGAGAAGTGGGTAGGTCGGTTTGTTTGGTTTAAAATTTATGCAAGACCAAAGCATTTTATTATATATTTATGTATGTGTATGAATAAAAGTATGAAAAAGTAGCCACTTTTGCCCCTGTGGCAAATATGGTCATATGAACTATAACTACACAAGACTCGACTTGAATTAACGCTACAACGAGAGACTTTAGAATTATTGTAGGAAAGAGCAACATACAATGCTGAATAGTGAATAAAACCATAATTTAGAACTGTTATGGAATAGCAATGGTTTGTTATAAGTTGAAAATTATGACTCAGCTTTTTTTCCAACTCACATAGACCTCTTCTTGTTCTTCCTTGCTTCCTTTTCCTCTTAACCACATTTTCAAGGGATGTTTGAATAAAAAAAGTAAATATTTTCATGTAAAATTATTGCTTGAGTCATGGTTGGAGACGAAATTACTTCCACCACTCTCTAAACGCCTTTGAAGGCTTAGATTAGATTTTGTGTCTGTTAGTGTAAATGTTGGGACGAGCCTGGATGATGTTCTGTGATGTTTAATGTGTTGAAACCACTGAACCACCAGTTTAGCACCCAAACAAGCTTTCTCTCTTTATACACTTTTAAAGATCATTTTATACTTTAGACCGTTTCACGGATGCTGTTTCAAAATTTTTTCTTTGCCATATGTTGAGATTCGACTTCGACATTCTGCAGCAATTACCGTAAGGGTGAAAAATTTACGGTACTTTACCAACAAACTTTTTTTTTCTGCTAACGTTGCTTCTGTTGATGCTACATTGATGCCACATGAGTTATTTTATGTTCATCATCCAACACAAGAAAACAAATAATAAAGTTTTATAAAACAAGGAAAGATCTTTTTAACATTATGCTAGAAATAGAAAAAGAAGAAAAGAAAAATTAAATTTCCATGCATGATATACATTCGGTTAAAGATTGAATTCTTTTTCCTTTTCAAATCTATTTTAACTCATTTTTCACATACAATTGACGCATATTGAAATTTATAAATCAAAAAATAAGGAAAGGTGCCGCAGGGGGAGAAAGAAATATTTCAAGATGATATTGAAACGATAGATACTTAATATTTCATCTTTAATGCTGATTTAGGTGGATTGGAGTGAAGGTCTTTCACTTTCTAGTCTTTCCGAAAGTCGGAAGGTTGAATACATGCTCTTTATTATTCGATTATATCGATACGCAGCTCTTTGCACAGCTCAATGAATTTTTCGTTTACTTTCTAAACAATCTTTCTCTAGGAGCTTGACAGCATTCTTTTTACGAGCTGCTGGAAAATTCTGAGACTTCACCATAAAAAGATTTGATGATAAAACTTTCCAATATTAACACTTCTTCAAATGGATTTTACTGTTTCTCTCGTCTTGAGAAATCTCTGAAATGAACGAAATTCGTTTTCTTTTTCGATGAATTCCATGAGCTATAACCTGTCATATCTACATCAATTCTACGCATATTGTATAATAAAATCTTACACAAAAAGAATCAAAGATTGAATGAGATGCTTACTTGCTAAAGAGAATAATGATATCGAGATTTAAAAACGTGATGCTATACGATATCATCCATAATCCGCTATAAATACGTAGACATTGATTTTAAGATTAAATGCATGAACTCTTGAGCACGTTACGGAAAATAACACGTCACACAAATAATTGTTCTTCGTTTATTTGATTTTCCTTGATCCCTCAATTATTTTACTTCCCAACTTGCCACAAAGAAATGATTGCCTCAAATATAATGTTTAACTGTATAAATAACTCAAAGTATAAAAGGATCGTTGATGAAATTACACAACACTCAATAAAATTGATTTGATTTCAATGGCAATTTTGATGAAGGCTGGTGGAATAACAACTCAATATCTATATAACCCAAAGTGAATGACGGTACGCTGTAGAAATTATTATGATAAATTTGATATCGACATATCAGGCAACATGAACATCAATCATACGTATAAAAAAAAATATTTTATTGAGTTTTCCGTAATTTTCAAGCTATTGGAATGAAAGAGTAAGAGAGAAAGAGAGAGAGATAAAAACTTTTCCTTAACAGTTCGAATCGGAGTTGAAATAAGCAATGGATTTTTATTGAATGTTCATTTTTCACTCAACAAAACTACAATGCATTAAAACATCGTTTTTTTGTCGATATAAAAGAAAAGCACGAAAAGAATCTTGGTTAGAAAAAGAGTGCTAGGTGAAAAATCGCTTTGTAAATCGTGCTTTGGGTTTGTAATTAATTCCCTTCTGCCAATTTATCTTTTCTCACCTTTTAAAGTAATTTCTTCGTTGTTACAACCACTGCTGCTGCTGTTGCTGCTGTTTTGGCTTCTTTTATTGTATAAAAAAAGTTTTTTCATATTGATTTATATATTGCCTCGTCCAAATAATCATGCTCATAATTTTTCTCATAAAAAAAAGTTGAAAATCCTCACCGTCATCGCGGGAGGGCGGAAATTGCTCCATCGAAATGTTCATTCGCCTTCGCATTATTGTTCGAAATGAAATTTGATAAAACTCAATAAATAATTCTCATTACTTCTACTGGCCCTTAGCTTTATCTCGTCTTTTTCATCCCACCTTTCGTCCTGTTATTACACTGACGTTGAGCCATAAATAAACAAGAAAAAGTTTTGACACATAAAAATCAAAATGAAACTCCATAATCCAATTAGACCCAATGCGGATTCAGCTCATGCTATTGTAACCATAATCTGTGTTATGTTTCGTTTTATCATAAAAGCTATCATTTCACTCCATTTTGTTGCTATGGAAAGGAAGAAAGACTGAGTTAAATTAAATTCACATTGCGAATCACACGAAGAAAAAAGTTTTCTTTCTAAAACCTCAAATATGATTTTAATGAACGACTAAATTTTTATTCCAAGAATAATTGGACGATATTTTCGTCTTAGATAAATTTCATCTCGTCCTGCACTGAATATTTTTAGTAAACGCAAATTAAAAGAAAGTTAAGACAATGTGGTTTGTGGTGAATAATTTATATTTTAAGGGTATTGCTCTTTATCTTATGTATGAATATTTCCTATGCTAAAAAAGTCCAAAATTTATGACAAAACATTTCAAAAACGGATTTTCCTAAATTTCATCTCATTTCAATCTCACATTTTCAATCTTCGTTCTCAGTCAGTGTTGAAGAGAAAAAGTCAAAATATTACGTAAAGTCGAGCATAATTCTTATTTTATGTGAAAAATCATGTCAAAAATATGCGTGATTTGACACCATATTTTATAAGGCGAATACAAGGAATTATGGCAAAGCTTGAAACGCTTAATGTAGACGGATCTGTTTTTTTTAGGTATAAAAAAAGAATGAAAAAGAAATTTTTTACATGTCGACGGCAAACGTGAAAGAAAGAGAAAAAGGAGGAAATGGTAAGCTGACTCGTTTACAAGTTGTTGTTTTCTTTTGTGTAACGCTTTCGGTTACTGTTCCGAGGCGCCCTGATTTATTCTCGTACCTTAGTGACAAATTTACGTTTATGACCAAAGTAGCAAAATGTGGAATTGAATTGCTCTTACGCCCTCAACTATTATACTAAGCCATTCATTGTTCAGCTTTTATTTTATTACTAAATATCATTTCGGAGCAGTGAGTGTAGTCATGGAAATTTACTTCATGATTCATGGAAAATATGATGTAAAATGTAAAGTACACAACTTTACTCTCTTGTTGGCTTTACATTGACTTCACATTGTGTGTATTACGATTTGTTTCACTTCATATACATTTCTATAGTCTTCATAAGTGAATATAAAATAAAAACATTTTCAAACTGAAACTGATTCCCTTGTATGAATTTACGGGTAAAACAATGTGTTTGCCATTAAACACAAAAAAAAATTCAATTTTCGCTTTCGTATTTATTTGAGAAGAAAAAGCTTTTCAACTGAAAAGTTAAATTGAAGAGAATTTATTTTATAACCTGACACTTTAAGTTTCAATTTACACATTCTACAAAAGCTTTCATAACATTTGTTTCTATCTTTATGGATTAACATGAACATCACATAGCATAAAGAACGATATGTTGCTAAACATGAGCGGTGAAGTGAGTGAAATTGAACAGAATGAAATTTGAAATGAAGCCTTTGTGAATGATGAAGTGAAAGTTGGCTTGTATGTTACTTTTAACAAGCTATGAAGTATAAGTTTGTGTTTCTAATTGTTTTTATTATTTAAGTATTTGAAGGTGAATCACGTGAATTCCTTCATATTGTTCATCTCCATGACATTTAAAATGTAAAATAGTTTCAACATGCCTGACATGAAATGTTATTAAGCTCGAATCTTCTCAACCTAAACTGCTTAAAATACTGCCATTGCCTCATCCCTTTCACCCTCCTTTATCGTTACTTAAATTCTTAATTGACTACAGCAGTTTTGTAATTCAATTCAAAATGTTCGCAGTTTAAGATTGCTTATTTATTCCAAAGAATTTCACTTGTTTCGTCTCTATTTTCCAACCACATTAACATTAATGGAAATTTACATAAATCATGTTTTATTGTTAGGCAAATTTCTATATTCTCTCGAATTTTAAATTCAATTTTCTTTTCGTTGCTTTCTATTGTCCTATTTTTCCTTTTCCTGTCTAACAAACATGCAATCTACAAGCGAGAAATCTTTTTTGTAACTTGCCCTCTTCCCGTTCTCGAAGTATAGCGCGATGAAATCAATTTGCTCGGTTTGATTAGAAAATTGCGTTGAAAGCCGATAGATTTAATTAGATTAAATGCCAGAGTCGAAACACTTTGAACTTGCTGGGAAAAAGCGAGGAAAGCTATAAATTATTAAACAGTAAAATATAAAATAGACGGAATTTGCCTTTTTAACTTAAGTCGATCTTTTTCTTAAATAAGGAAATGTTGCTATTCATGCTATAATGTTTATTTCCAACACAACTCAACACCCCCGACAGCCCACCCACAAAAAAAAGGAAAAATTAATTACATTTCTTTTTTTGTATGTTTAATTTTCGAGATTTTCAGCTAACCTTGAAGTTCTATTCTAAACCGAATTTCCACTGCTTTTACGAAGGAAAGAAATAAAAAATAAAGAAATTCTAAATTTTTCACATATTTGTTCTACTTTTCCGGTGCTTTACCTTCTCCTGAAAAATTCCCTTCATGTATAGGTAAATGAAAACATTTACAATTAATGTTTGAGCATAGAAAATTTTTCCAACCTTTTTTCCTTCATTCCTGGTGTAACATTGTAAAGAACATGAGGGCAGATCAACTCCCACATTGAAAAGGGTATTTTATATTTTTTAATTTCGACTTTGCACCTTCCCTATAGCAAGTTGAAGAGAAAAAGAAATAAAAAACAAACAAGAACATAAATAAATTTTCTCACATGAAGGATAAAAGCGAAGAAGGTTGGTTGGCATTGGTGCGGAATGAATGAGACATTTAGAGCGTTGTTAATTGCCGTGTTTCATATAACTGTGGATAAAAACAATACCAACATCTTCCACAGCTTTCAAACTTCGTTAAAAAAAAAAGAAAGAGTAAAGCGTCACTTTTATTAGATTAACATGAAAATATTTGAGTTGAAAGCAGCGTATGAGTACTCAAAGCTTTCATAAGCAAGAGAAACAAAATAATGAGGCTTGAAAATTCCCTAAGTCAACACAAAAACATATTGCAAAAGAGTTCAGAAGCCGCAAGCTAAACTCATACTCGACGTCAAATTTACTTCCTGGAATGCCTAATTAAATAAATTTGCCATACATATTTCATGATGGTACTGTTAGGAATACTTCAACTAAGTTTAACACACGCCAGATTGTGTTTTGAACTTATCAAAGATTTCATTGGAATTTTCAATTTGACATGTTGATTGTTGTCAAATTAAAATTCTAAATAAATATTTCATTAAGTTATGTCACGACACTACACATATTTTCTCACTTTGATATTCTTTGACATATATCAAGATATCTGCTTACATTTGTTGTAGTCAGAAGTCATCGATTTCATCAAAGTCTGTAATTGGCTTCAGAAAATTCATGTGGTAAAATTACTTCACTAAATTCAAATTATTTCAATGGTTGGTAAAATGTTAGCTGGAGATGGAACACACAAAGCCATTGTTGCCTTTTCATTTTGGTTGGAAAACTTATATAATAAGTAGCAGCATGTGTGTACGGCATGAAATGAAAGCAGAACGTGTATTGGCTACACATTCAAAATTGTTTACATTCCCAAAACCACAAAACTTGTTTGCGTTTCATGTTAAACGATACAATGAGAATAATAAATGAAGAATTATAATCAACTTGAAAACAACTTCTTTAGAGCCCCTAAAAGTCCCCTCCTGCCAGGAATGATATGATGTTAATTAAAAGTGTATCGAAGCTTGTAAAACGATTTTACGGTTAGAAAGAGAACTAAAATGTTAGATGTGAGAGCGATTTAATAAAAATAAAAAGCATTGCTTTTCAACACCTTTCTCTAATACGTGAAACGTGGCAATTGATTTCGAAGTTCTGTTTGCCTTCTTTCGGTCGATGAATTTTGATCATTAGTATCGCTTTTAATGTTTGCTTGCTTCTCATAAAACTTTTATGATAAAAAGTCAAAGCAGTTTGATAGAAAGAGGGAAATCGATGAAATGTTGATGCTTCAGTTATAGTTTTTAAAGGCAAAAGAAGAAAACTTTCATCATTGTTTTGATTCATAAATGTTTGCCATAACAACTTTGAATTATGATGAAACTTTTCACAGCTTAATGAATTTTTTGAAGTTTTTCATGGAGAACGACTAACAATTTTAGCAACGAAACGGTTTATGTTAATTTAATTCTTCGGTTTATCCATTCAGGATTTATGATTAATATCTCTGCTCATGAAAATATTCGTTAAATCAATAAATAAAAATTTCCATTGAAAATGAATCAAAAGAAGGAAAAGTTTGATGAGAGATTTTCGTTATTGGATTGAATGTTGATGTATGCATGTCAGATTTTTAACATATCTTTTAATCTCTCATTGAAGATGAGTTTTAATTATGATTGATGAAGAGAATTTTCATGTAAAGATAGCTTCTGGTTAATTTAATCGTTGTGATTGCACTCAACTGTGAAAATTTAAAAGGCAATTGGCAGCGATTAAAAGGATGACTACATAAGCATATGATATGAAGTTGTTCAAGCGTAAAGTGATAAAAAGTTGAATTAATACTTACTTTCCAATTGATTGATTAGTTCATCATCACGTTAACTCAATTCTTGGTCGATTGATTTTCTAAATGATATAATTGCTCAATATAAGTTGACATAATCGCTACCTACGAAATGACTAAGAATGAAGCAACAAAAGAGCAGTACCATCGATGCCGTGCAAAGCTTAATCGTAATGACTTAATGAATCCCTGTGGAGAGTAAGAAGAAGGGAAATAATTTCTCTCTTTCCCTAACTTATTCTTTTACTTCGAGAGCTGGAGTTTTAACGAACCATTTCCTTCTCCACTTACATACGATTCTCATGCGGACTCGTCGAGTCTGCAAGCGCTTTTTCTAATAATAATTATGGCAATTATGTCTTTCGCATAATAAAAAAAATATTAAGTTCGTTTGGTATATTTACAAAAGTCATGCGATTATCTTATTACGAAATGAATTCTTTGTTGTCGTCGTATATTTATTTTATAATCTACAATGTCCAAGAAATTTTTATAAGAATGACAAACATTTATCACTCGATTTATTTGTTCAGTGACAGAAGAAGGGAAAAGTATTTTTAATAAAATAAAAAAAGGAAGAATGAAGACGAGAAGCTTTACGTTGTGCTAACACTCATCTAATTGCAAGTTCAGATATTTCTATTCTAATGCTGTTTTGACTTGCTGGTTTTAAATGGATAGCAACAATGAGAAGAATAACTCAGCGTGATATGGCAGTGTTGATATTGAAGGAAGACAATGAAAGAACACGACGAAAGAGAACAAGCGGAAAGATATATTATACACATTTCACTTTGAGCTGTAATGAATTGCCACTTGTAATAAAAGGAGGAAAATTATTATCATCCTAAATTCTCCTACAACGAACGATCATCAAAATCAATTACTGTGAAATTGCTTGGGAGCGAAAGGAAGCGATATTGTTAGAGCGAGTCATACAACTTTTTATATCTTCATCTGTCTTTTTGCGAGCTTCTCAATCGTCCTACAGCGTTTTTCCTGTTGTGTTTTACTGTCCGTTTTATATTTCGACATTTAATCTTTACCAAACAAGGTTTCCCAAGATCAAATGACTTTCGCTTGTTGTCACGGGCGTCTTTATATCGAATCACGTTCGTGATATAAAGCGATATTAATGGTATTAAAACGCTTTATTGATAACTACCACTTAACCAATCTAAGCTAAATCACCAACTTGTAGTGCTTTGTCTTGCAACACCAATAAAAAATGATTTATATGTCGAAATAAAGCTTCGACTTGCTTTACTCGAAAAATCTCCATGACGACCGACGAACAGATAAAATATGTCTGAAGTTTTCTTTTTCGCGGTTTACTTATCATGATTTCCATCTCCATGGTTTCTTTCTTATGAGATTTTTTTTGTGATGACATTCAAGCTTTATATTCGAAGAAAAAAATTGTCCTTAAGCCTTAACAAGGGGAAAGTTTTCTACTTTCCTTCGTTTTTCCTGGTCATTTTGAATCTGATAATCCTCCAAGGGCTTGTGTTTTAATGTTAATATCTCAAGACTTTCATCGACTTTATGGCAAAAAAACATTACTTTGAGCGGCATCATAGAAAGATTTCACTTCCATTTTTCCCTGCTTTGTTGTTAATAGCATCAAATATCTTTTTAAGGAGATATAAATTTCGATGCCTTATTTGCCTTTTAAACCATACATTTTGTGGCATTCTCTTTTATACTTTACGGGCAAATTAAAAGCGAAACAAATTCTCTTTCCTTTCATGCCGCCTACGAAAGAAAAAGACTTTTAAAAATTGCGTGGTTTTATGCTATTTATTATATAACAATCTCTCTTAAGTACTGAAGTTGTTGATTGTTTTCATAAGAACAGGTTTTATGATGAAATGAAATGAAAAAAACCTTCTCCTAATTCTTACTAAGCTGTATTCGACTTCGTAACATTTCATAGCTCAACGAAAATGGATGGTTGTTAAATTGTCAAATGATTATTGAGATCGTTTCATGAGGAAATTTTTTTTAACGTATTTCAATGGCCAAGCTGCTTTTTGCAAAAGAGAAAAATGATTTTCTATTTAAGTATCTGACTTAATGCAAGCATAACAATTTCTTTTCTCTACAGTTCTGTGCTGGTCTTTATGATTTTCAAAACCTGATTGTAAGAGTTGAAAGGAATTCTTAATTTAGTCTATAAGAGAAGAATAAGAAGTTACATGGATGAAAAAATTCCATTTGCGCAGCTACTTAAAAAATTTACTGCAACATAATGAACCATCATTCGTTTTAGGAAAATTCTCAATTGGATTTATACATGCCTTTCCCTTTTTTCCATTATTCTAGCTTCCTTCAAATATTTTTTTCTTCTCGTCTTTTAAGTCTTACTTCATATCATCCCTCCTTCCTTTTTTTTCATTTCTATTTGAGGATTAGAAATTTTATTACGTGAAAAATGTATAAAATTTTATTTTCCACATAATCTCAGCACTTAGGTAATACCTACCACCGAATTCCACCAACAACAATGTTCTTTTTGGGGAGAAAGTAAATGTGTGTGGATATGCGATGTGGAATATGTTTCTTGCGCTTAAATGAATGGAGTAGAAAGCTCTTCAGAATAGAATGAAAATCCAGCTATTAAACGAATATTGAACGATGAGACAAAGATAACAAAAATGTTGTATGAGTAAAAGTGATGTCTAAGGTGTTAAAATTCTTTTCTCAATCTTCAAATAAAACGGAATGAGTTACAAAATATGCTAATTCGACAACATTTAAAACCGAAAATGTTGGATGCAAAAATGAACGAAAGGCTCACGTATTGAGCTTGTGCTGGAGACAAATTGATAGGATAGGATAATAACTATTCTTTTTAACTTGATGTAAGTATCTTTAAATCGATAAATCGAAATTATATGAATTAAATCTAATAGCATAGCGTAAAAGTTTCGAACGTATTTAAACACTCTTTGAAATGGATAATAATACCTTTAATTATGGAATTTCGATGAATAAACAGACGCCATTAGTTGCTACCTTGTTTGTCGGATAGATAAAACTTTACATTTACCTGGAGCATGTGTGCAAATATGTAGGTTTGAGCGAGGGAGGGAAACTTCATGTAATGCAAAATATAAGAAAATATTTATTCCGTTTTCGTACAATATTCAAGTTATTATTACTTTTATGGGTAATTTATGGCTCGTAGAAGAAAAATAACAATTTCTTTCCTTTCCTTGTTACTATTCTTAAAACCTGGTCAAAGTTTTCCACCTCCTGCTGCCTAAAACTGTAAGCTGAGAATGAGAACCATTCGTATGTAGATAGATAGTTTAAAAACTGTCGGAAGAAGATCGAAGGAAAACTATCTAGTAAAATATTTCATAATGCTAAGACTGTTGTAAATATTTTCTGTTCACTCCCATTCGTTTTTTTTTCTGTTGCCTCGCCAAGATAATATATGACATCGCCTAGTTATAAAAAAATGTATCTATGATATATTTATCAGCCTCGTAAAATTTTTAACCATAAAATAATGGTAGAGTGAGTGGAAAGCTTGAGGTCGTGAAAAAGTATACACTCAAGAACAAGGCGGAACGTGAATGAAATAAAAGTTTAAAGTTGTCGTAAAACATTGGAAAAATCAATAGAAACTACTCGCAGGTATTCGTATTTCTATGAGCCATAACGCGAGCTTTATTTTCATAATGGATATATAAAAACAAAGTTTTCCTGTTTGCTTTACACAATGTTTAAAAAATCTGATTTAATAATGTAAGGCACATTGTTTAACGAGGAGTCTTGAAACAAGGCAAATATAACAATATTCTTCTAATTAATAATCGTTTTACAACAAAGCTTAATTAATGACGTTGTCCATTTCAAAGGGAAACAAAATAAAGGAGAAGAGACTTGTTTTCTTATTTTTACTAAAAATCATGTCGAATTGAATATTCTTTAGTTCCGCTCTACCTAGTTTTTCTCCTTTGAACTTTTCTTTATTTATTCACTTTGTGATGTTTACAAAGTAATAAAGTGACATTCGTAGCAATCAGGGCTTGAAAATTGTTTGATTTTATGTTCTTCCAATTTCAAAGTTTATGTTTGAAGTTTTTAACAAAATTCCTATCTCTGATACCTTTACGAAGGCATGAAAAAGAAATGAACATTTTGATGCATAAAGCCTGAAAAAATATATCTTGTACATACAGCATTTTTCTCGTCGTGAATCTTGAAAAAATATTTGCACATTAAAAGCTTTTTGAAAAGCACAACATGTCACCAGGGAAGTCAAAAACCCGGGAAAACAATAGGAAGGGAACGATTTCTTCGTGCTCTTGTTGTTCATTTACATTTTATACATTTTGTTCAGCATTTTCTTTATTTTTATTCAACTCAAGACCGAAGCATGAAAATGAAGCGAACATCACTGAACAGAATGCATGTTTATGGAGAAATTGCTGTTTTGTTTTTATTTTCTTTTAATATTTTTTTATTTCATAATGCTCTAAGAGCCGTTCAGAAAAATTATGACCGTATAAATGGAGAAATGACAATGAAAGAACATTAAAATATCTTCACGTTTTAAAAGCTTCTTTTTTATTTCATGAAAGAAAAATGAAAAATTTTCTTCTACTTCTTTCATGTTTCTTTTTTTCTTTTTTTCTTGTTTTTCATCGCAATCCTCTTTGTGTGTTTTTGTATCACAATCTAAAAGCAGATCCATGATGGATTCTCAAACGGAAAATAAATGATTTGTAAACATCAAGCTGAGTCAATAAAATTAAATTTCTGATCTTCGCACTGCAACGCAGCTAGGGGGCTGAGAAAATCGATTTGGTGGTGTACGAAAAAAACACGTTCATGGTGACATGAAAGTGTGCTACGTCTCCATATGAGTTTGAATAAATTCTACACCGATTCATGACAAAAGTGAAGTGAAAGTTTTTAAATGTTTAATCGAGATCATTCATGGACATTTGTAGTTTCTGCTACACATGCCATCGTCACTTCTGATTGAAATCAACCAGTTTCTGTTCTTCCACCTTCATCACGTTTTGTTGTCAATTCAGAGTGGAAGGAAAACTTTTCGGAAAATACTTGCGAAAATGTTCTCATGAGATTAAAGAGCGCACAATCCCCACCACTTTCTCTCATTTTCCCACCATTTCCTCTCTTATCCCTTCCACTTTTCTCTCATCCAAATGAATTTTCTCTCAATTTTCTCGTCAGCCAAATGAAATCTTAAAAATATCCAAGTTGAAGCCTTGCTCGAAGGTTTTTGTTTACCTTTGGAGGAATTCTTTATGACATAGTTTATACGAAAACTTTGTGACAAATATTTTTAAAGAGACATTTTTTCTTCTCATTCATTTTAAAGTTGTTCTTCTATCGTAATCGCGATTCAAAAATGTCACCCTTTCTCTCCTTTTTAATGAGATGAATGTCGACCAACGAAGACACGAGACATAATCCCTATCTACTTTCACTCGAAGTCTTGCGGAAACTATTTTTGATAAATTTTCCACTCCTCAAAAGATGGATAAGATTCTTGCTTTCAAAACAAACTTAGAAGAATCTGAAAAGTTTTTGATGTTTTGACTTGATTACATTTTTCCTACCTTGACGACATGTCTCAGTAATCTGAGTTTCCCTTTACTCTTTTCGATAAATAAAAGACAGTTGAAAGTATTTCATTACATATTTAAGAGGCTAAAGTTGATAGAAAGTATATTCTATATTTATACTTTTGTTAGCTTCATAGATACAAAGAAGTATCATGGATCATGTACGCATTTTGATTTATGATATTATGCAAAGTTTTGTAAAATAAGTTCATTCATCTTCGCTTTATTCTATCTCTCTCCGTTTCTCTTACGGTTTTAATTTTAATAAAACATTTCCATAGAAAAACAAGTGCAAATAGCACAAACCTCTAACCCTAAAAAGCTCGTTTCTAACGATAGTGAAAATCCAAAGTCCCAGAAAATAACTTATAAATAAATCATGATAACAACTCAAACTAAAAAAAGTTGATCCCTGTTTTTTTCATTCCCGCTTCGCATTTCGAGGAAAAGTATAAAAAAAATTCAATTGAAAGTCAAATAGGTGAAAAATTATCCGCACCTCCCACGAAGTGAGATTACTGCTGTGGCAAAAACCAGGAATATAAAAAGAAAACTATTTGAAATTACATCGGAAAAGTTTTCCATTTTCATAGAAAAACAAAAGCTCCTGGGATGTATTTTTTGTTGCTGTTCTATTGTTCATGATGGTGAAATCAAATTTATGAAAGAAAAATATTCGAGCGTATTTTTTTTCGGAAAATTTCTATTCTCGAAAGAAAATATTTTCAATTCGGTTGCTCTCCATAAGAATACAATTAAGTGCACACAGAATGAACAACTGAAAACTGACAAAAAAAAATATTAAATTATTCAGTCGGATAATTTTGCAATTTCATAAATTAGTGCTGTGGGGGTGGAGATCTCTCTTCGAAACCATGAATTGCGGTGACTTTTGAAATTCTCACTAGAACTTGAATAAAGCTGCAGAGAATATTCCAATGAAAGATGATGACAGGAATGCATTTTGAATTGTTTTTAATGGTGGCAGAAGGAAAAGAATGCTGCTTCCTTATTTCTTTCCACTCAATGTATAATAATATTTTCGTTTCTCAACAATATTTCTGTTTTATCACGTTTTCTATCATGAAAATATCTATGATATCTTCAGCGTTTCCAGAAAATAAAATTGCATTGAAAGCCTCTTTTCTGTCACTTGCAGTTGAATGCAGGCATGTCTTGTAACATTCTACAGCAGGTTCAAGACGTGAAAAACATTTATAAATAGATTGCTTTCAATTTTGTCCCTTAAAATAAAAACTTTGCCTCTCAATTTGGGAATGCAGTCAACCCAACGAGACACTGAAACTATCTCACTTTGCCAACACAAAAAATATCGAAAACTTTTGAATAGAGTGTCGCAAAGAGCAGAATGAAAATACATTGAAAAGTCTTTAGAATTTCCGTTCTACAAATGAAAGTCGTAAACGTTTTTTGGAGGAAACCTTTTTTTCTTTATTTATACTTTGTAAAGAAAATTGATTATTTCATATGATGTTAGGCAATTTTCCTCAAATGTTCCAAATGTTTTGTAGAATACAACATAATAAAGAGTAACTCGAATGTCTAGTTGAATCAACCCGCTTCCTTCCTGAAAGGAATAAAAACAACTTGAACAAGGAAAAAAGTTTTAAAGTTTTTTTTTTCAATCATACGTAGATAGGGAAATGGGAAAAGGGAAGATTCCCGTCTGAAACTTTAGCATAGTTTGAACGACAATATTTCATTAGATTGATTGCTTTGATTTTCAGTCTGTTAAATGATGTTTCAAGTTTTTTCTCTTTCTCTCCCTTTACTTTAAATTGCGGCTATAATCAATTGAATTTCACTATCGTCTGTAGTACCAAAGTTGCTTTCATTTCTATTCAAATTAAATACATCCCAAAACTTCCGCTAGAAGTTGATGCAATTTTTAACATCTAAAAGCAATTTGCTAGATTGTTCTATTTTCCTTCATTTGAAAAGTTAGAGAAAAGAAATTAAATTGAAATAGAAAAAAAAAGTTTTTCCAACGTCAAGATAAAATGAAGGTTGAAAAATTTACCTCTTGATGTCGATTGATTGGAGAGAAAAACGAAAGCAAAGAGCAAACTCCAACCAATTATGTAATAAATTCCTTTTACTTTACGCTTTTTACTTTTCAATCGATTTCCCGCGTATCTAAACAAAGCAAAGAAGATTAAATGTTGATGTCGTCAATATGTTACGAAGTTAAATAACTGAGAGACTTTGAAGATTCCGCTTCGTTTAGTGTCGTGTAAACTTTTGACTTTGACTAAAGAAAATGTTTATTGATCCTTGAAAGCGGATCAGAAATCGATAAAATAATATTTCTCAAAGAATATCTTTATGCCTGTTCGGAATTCTTTTGACGACGAACAGAATGATAATCGAATGTTCAAGAGGCGTAAAATCAGGGTAAATGGTTGGAGATGGCATGTCATGATCTGTTTTTTTCTCTTTTATTTTAAATCGCGACTCAAGTTTGTTTAGAGAATGTTTAAATTAAATTAAAATGCGGAATTCAAAAGCAATTCTTTAAAATTTAAGAACATGTAATTAATTACCTCGAGAGCTTGCTGACTTGGAATCCGCTTACAGCAAAATAAATTACGATTTAAATGTTCCATTAGACGGCAATAATATTTTGATGGGCGTTAGTCGTTTACAAAACTTGACGTTGTGTCTTTGGGAGGTTGGTAATTAATGATAGACCTTTTGTCATTAATCTCATTTCTTAGCTTATAACTGCCGTCGTTGACATTCAGTTAAGATTTGTGTGATTGCCATTTTAATCAAAATGACAAAGACTTACACTCTCACTGACAGTTTCCATTCGCTTTCATAACATCGAGAATATCTGAGTCAATTTCAATTAACTTCGATATTTTCATCAGTCGCTTTCTGACAATCAAGAAGGAAGGAAAAAAGTTACAGCAGTTAATGCAACAACAATCGGAAGGAACTCTCATTCAATATTTTTTTCTCCTTTTAGCTTTCAACTGTCCGCCTTATCAGTTCCAATTAAGTAAATTACAGATCTGCATTCTTGACAGAGGGAATGGGCTAAGAGCTCATCCATAATTCAATCGTGACACTCAGATAAAAGCTAAATCAAACCATAGCAGCTTCCTTTTTCCCATGCTCTTTCAGATCAATTTCAATTTGAAGTGGAAATTTATTGCAACCTCTCTTCAGCGTTGTGAAAACGAGAACAGCAGCGGAATCTCATTAATTTTTGTTTTATGTATGTAGAATTGAAGAGAGATTTGTGGAGATGAAGACTCTTGTTATGCACAAAAACGAGAACTGACACAGTAAAAAGGTGTCGCGAAGCGTACAGGAAATTGTGACAATTCATGAATGAGCGATGCGACGGTAAATTGAAATTCAGGAAAGTTGTAAGGCTTTATACAGCTGCGTTAAAGTGTTTGGAAGGGATTTTTTTTATCATATCCTTACATTTCTTCATATATTATAAATAAACGTCTAAGTATCTGTGTGAAAATCCAAATATCTTATTTGAATGACGCCCGCATTTTTCATGCCATCACCGTCTTCTTGTGTATAAATATTATCTGAGCAAAAGAAATGAGATATCTGAACAAGTTAAGGAGTATGAATAGAAATAGATTCAAATCTGTTTGGAATATTCTTCGTTTTCTTTAAAGTGAAGAAAAGAGGATCGTGGTATGCAAATTTTCTATAAAACGATGAAGAAGGAAAACCAAATTTTCACCGTAAACCGATTTTCGTTTTTATTCCTTTTTTTTATACCTTGGGTTTGCCTTGCATCGCGTGATTCAACACTTGAGAAGTTTATCAGACGAAAATTCTTAAATATTCTCACATAAGTGTTTTAATGCATATGGGAGTGAATTTATTTAAAATTTCCTTCTTCTTTTACTTTATTCAATTTCAATCTTTTGTTTCAGATATTTCCATTTTAGAGATGGGTTTGAAATAGGAATTGAAATAGAAACTTGTGAAACTCTGTAAGAAAATGAATTCTTTTTAAGGTTTTCCAAGATGAACTTGAAGATGATTGAAATTTAAACTTACACCCATTCCTGATTTGATATGTGTCACATTCTTCATGGTGATCTGATCAGGAATTTCTTTTGAAAAACGACAAAAATATAATTTGAATTGAATTGAATTCTCTCGTCTCTGTGCCATCATCATCGCTTGCTTTCTGGCAAATTCTATTCTAACAACTGTCATTTATAAATGATAACATTTGGCAAATGAGAAATGGGAAATTCAATCAACCTTAATGTAAAATCCAATGTTTTTTTATATGTATGCCATCCTTGATATCTATTTCATTTACGGTTATGTAACTTCATACATTTGTTTGTTCTATTCATGAGAAAAGGCTTTTTTCTGATTTGAGTAAATGAAACAAACGTGACAAAATGATAAGACTTCAATGCTTTGATGTAAAAGTGTAGAAGCTTCACGAACTCAGATTCTGTTACAGATACCAAACCAGAATGTAACATTTAAATCAAAGCCATCACATGTCACCATCCAAAGATGATGATCGCAACATTCTTTACCCATCTCTCTTGCATTTATGTTGTCATAATAATTGACGTAATATTTTCATATTAAATGTTGGAGCAAAAATCAATTTTTCCGCATGAGAAGTTTTCTTTGTAAGATTTTCCATTGTCATTGAACTTTCAAGCACAGCACAACGTATGTGCATATCTCTTGTGTTCATCATTTGGCGAGAACTACATGAAAGTTCAAATATCATTCGGTGATAAATTTGTCTCATTAAAGTTTTATTGTAGAACTTTTCCGATGTGCTTTTCTCAAAAACTTTCCATGTACATAGAAGAGCATTCAAAAATTTTTTATGTGCTCTCAAAGGGTTCTTTAGTCCTTCATTTTTGAACCCAATTCACCATAAGACGAGCCCTATAAATAATAAAACAAAAAAATCTCTCTTTTCATTCCTCTTGACACTGATAGCAAAGCACATGCATTTTATGAGTTCTCATGCGATTCCAGATTCCACTTAAATTAAAATTTATTTCACTATTCTCTTTTTCTTTATTTTGGAGTGCTTGGAAAGCTAAAGGAACATAAATATAAGTTGACATGAATGGGATGATCTTATGATAGATTCATCCAGCGAAACTGCACTCAAGTTTTGGTATAAACTTCATTCATATAAATAAACATAAACAGAAGAGTTTCATAAAATTTTACAGATGAGACTAGAATGTTTCATTTTATTATTGCTAAAGTTTGGAGTTTTATTTCAATGTTCTTTTCGGAAATGTATGAATTTTTAAAGACATTTCAAACAAAGCATTCCGATAAAATATGAATCTGATTGACAGTAAAAATTTCACAGTTTGAAAACGAATGGGGAAGCATACGGATATATGCTTGACATAAATATATGTATGTATGTATAATGAATGATGCAGCAATTTTTGCCAGAAAACATATAAACATGCTTGCCAATTCCAGATTTCTTCTCATATCAGCTTTGCCTTAAATTCACTCAAATAATCAGGAAACAAAAATATGGTGCATGGAATGAAGTTCTGTTGTCGTCGCATTCACAATTCAAATTTCGAAAATAATTCAGTTCAAAGAACATGTTGTATTGTTTCTATCAATGTAGTAATGTGAAACATAAGAAATTTTCCATTGTTGCGAATAAAGTTTAGACAAAACAAAAAGAAATCTTTAATGCTCTCATGCTTCACTGAGCACGGCAGTCAGAAGCATCTTGTTGAAACGAAAGAAACTTTTAAAATTCTTTCAAAGCTTTCCCTCTTCATTGTTGTTTTTTTTTGGCTTTCAACAAGAAAGCACAACACCAGAATGGCGACAGCTATAATGGAAATATACAAATTTTATGAAATTTTTAGTAGTTTCGTAGCGCCTTTCCTCGACACAATACATTTTGTCATACTTGCAGTTTCAGCTTTGAACATTCTAAGGCAAATTCTTTGTCAGAGACTTTACAATGTAAACTTAGAAAGTTAAAAATGTTCTCGTCAGAAATCATTGAACTTTACTGTCGAATATTCTATGCGATTACTATTCATGGTATCTAAATTTAATTTAGTTCCTTAAAATGAAAACTGTAATATTTCTGCTTTCAACATAACAATTCGTAAACATTATTTGTCCTTTCTAGGAAAGGATAAAAATTAAAGTCAGAAAATATTTATGTAATGGCGTTGGGAAAAGAAGAGGCAGAAAAAATTTGTTACATTCCATTAAACGTATTCATTTTTGAAGATATTTTTCAGACGACTCTTTTGTAGAATGAATAACAGCAGCAGCAGAGAAGCTTGTTCTATGTTGTGAAGGAAAGCAAACGAGGGACCAAACCTGTGTTGTTTGTTTGTGTATTTTAATTCTTTCGCCATGGATTTTTTTGTTCAGTCATCCAGCAACCAAATTCAGGTCGAAATGTGATTATTTCGTTGAAAAGATTGAGGGAAATATTTCATTTCCGACTGCCTCTTCATATTCATTTCACGATATAATTTAACTCTGTCTTCGATATCCATCCTGCTACTCCTATAAATTAAATGTCTCTCATTTCACACGTTGCGAAGTGGCTAATAAAAAAGCTTCTCAATTTTTGTCATTTTTTCAATCAAAATCAAATCGATATTCATATCAATGCTCACGGCGATTCTTTTTTTAACTTTTTATGATTGGAAATCATGGAGATTTTTTTATTTGAAAATGTAACTTTTGTTTAAAAATGAAATAAAAATATTATCAGAACATACTCACTGAATCATTCATCCATTCACTCAATCAATTTTAAATTAAAAATCTTCTTTTTTTATAAAATGAAAGGCATGAAAGATCAATTGATTGCAACTTGGAGCTTGGAAGTCTACTTGGCACATTGTATATGTAATATTATTCAAAATATTTAAATTAGCAATCAGAAAATTTTTGATTAAGTTTTGCTATTTTTCCTGGTCATCTTAAGTTCGTTGATTTCAATTTTTCACTCAAATTTAAAACATATTTATTGTTTGCAAATCATTTTCAGATAAACTCATGAAAATGTTTGATAAGTTAGATGCGATACAAATAAAACATACGACACAACTTACTTCTATTTATCTTTTGATTTAAAAACAGTTTAAGAGTTTTATGATGTTTGGTTTTCTTTCATTCATTTCAAATGTAGACTGCAACATTTATATTTAATAGAAAATTTCTACGTCTCATGAAATGAAACAAATTCCAAACACATTCTACGTTTGCTATCTTCATCTGCATGCATCAACACTCTTAAGTCAGTAGTTTGTTGATGGCTACAATTGCCATCGAAATGCACCATAAAAATATCATTCACGTAAATACAATCGCTCGTGTATGCTTTGCTTGCGTTATTTTATTTTATTATTTTTACTTTTTTTTTATTTTTCCTGCTCTTTGCCACCGTTTATTGACTTTTTTTTATGATCGTTTCGGACCATTTAGAACAAGCGCACTCTAATAGCGTATATAGCTTTTTCCTATTTATACATTTCAAATGCTTCGTTTCTACCTTCTCCTTACTCGCCTTTCTGCCGAGAGTACGTGTACTTTATGTTTATTGTGCGATTGTGATATTCCATCTCTTTGCTTCATCCTTAGCATGCTGGGGGACAGCTTAAACTTACTTTTACTTTTCCTTCATTTTCGAAATGAAATTGTTTCCAAACGAAATGAAAACGAAAGGAAGAAGAACTAGCATAGCACTCGTTTCTTTATTTATCAAAGTAATAATTTGAATAAAAAATCTTAGAATGACAGAACAATGACTTTTATATTTATGGAGACCGTGAAGAGAGCACGAAGGAAAAAAAAGGAAAGCCATTTCCACACCAAAGTCTCGAGCACATAAATATTATTACACTTCTTTTTTTTTTAATTTTATTTGATAGTCTTCTACATTCCAATGAAATTTTCGTTCCACCTTTAGACCCATTTATCACGTTAAATTCATCGGTGGAGAGAAAGTAGAAGGAGAACTTTTTTTTCAAGGGAAAAAGGAATCATAATATCGTTATGTGGCAGAATAATAAATGGAAATTGAGCCACTCTCTCTCCACATTTCACAAACCCCACTCGTTTATTCGTTTATTGTGCGGCTGTCGAAAAGCGAGTCAACGTATGTGAATGGAAATCGCCAAATGAAATATGTACGAAGTCAAAGAAAAGGTCATTTGAAAATTTGTTAAATTGAGATATCTCTGACTACTGTCAGTGAACCTGCCAAAGGAATTATTTAAATCTTTACTTTTCGATTTAGTATCAATTTGTTGGCAGATCTTGTGAAGAAGGAAGTTGGAAAAGCGTGCAATTAAGGAAATGACAGCTCATGAATTTCTAAAATGACGACCCTATCAATAAAAGGAAGAAACAATTCAAATATAATTACGATCATCATAAGAAAGCGAGATAAGATTTGAAGCGTTTTAAGGGTGGGAAAATGATTGACTTGCAGAATTTAACCGTTATTGACCTATTTATGCGGTAATCCATAAAATTATAAAATTAGTTCTTCAACTTGTAAGTGTTAAAGGTTAAACTTGACTTAGAGTGATGACTTGAAAGAATAACCGTGGAGTAGAAACCTAAGCATCAAAGTTTAAGTCCAATTAACCTAAATCAACGGGATCGTGTTGCAATTATCAGGCTCAAGGCTCTCAAATAGAAGCTTTTTTTCCTTCTTATACTCTTCCTAGATCAACGATGCAAATAATTTAGTAAAATAACGATGATAAAAAGGAATGAAAATACATTTAATAAAAATTCTTCCTAAATCGCCTTACAAAAAAATCCAACAATCTAAAAAATAAGAAAAAAACAAAATAAAATTTAATTCCCGTAAAAATCCTCACGAAAATGCGACAACATGGTACGACAAAATGATGAACGAAGTGGAAATTTTTACATCCCCTTTAGTCCTTGTCGTTGTCGTCAGTCTTCGTATGCTGAAAAGGCAGAAAAATAAGAAAAAAGGAAAACGAAAATAAGCGAGGGAAAACAATTGTCCTTTTCCATCTTCTTATCACACAAACCATTTTCATGCTTTCCTGATTTTTCTGTCTTTTTTTTTACTCTCCCTTCTCCGCTATGCGTTTAAATTGGCCGAAAGAAGAAAAACTAAATCCTCGAGGAATGTTGGTTCTTTCTAACAGGTAAGCACTTTCCATAAAATCTCGATTTCTTCCGCCTTCCTTATTTTATGATTATTTGTTTTTAAACAAAACTTGGTGCACTGAGAAGAAAATCATTGGACTTAGCGGGGGATTGTCTTTAAATCCTGGACAAAACAAAATCATAACGACTTACCGTTTTGTTGTCAAAATCATTTGTTTTAATTGAATAAACATAACAAGAGCTTTGCCTTTTAACAACTCAATTGTTATCGATTTCATCACGCGATTTTCTTTCCCTTACAATCAAAAAATATTTCCATCTTAAATTAAAACTGACGTTTACCATTTCCGGGATTATTTTTAAGCTAACAACAACGAATAGTTATCGTTTGTGCTTGTTTTTCTTTCAGTGTTGTGGAATGGAAATTTTTCTCCATTTCTTACAGAAAAAAAAAAGATATTAAATGTGAAAATCTGAAAATAAGAAGAAAAAAGTTGTCCCAAGTGAAACGTTCGACTAAGTATGTTACAACATCAAATTAAATGCTTACTATATATTTACATTATTACATTAAACACTCTGTTATATCTTTTTCACAATCACAATTCACATAAGCAAACAACCAGAGACGTAATGGGATAAAAGTTGTCTTAATGTTGAAAAGCTTTCAATAAGCTTTTAAGAAAATAAGCATTAAGATTTCATCAGATTAATCTGGGAGTTTGCAGCGTTAAAACGCGGCCTTGCTGACCATCATCTGTCAACTCATTTTGATCTCCCCTAAAGATGGTCCACATACCATAACGAAACGACGATCTGACGCACAATGAGATTATATGAGAGGTGCTAGGGAATAGAACGGTAGAGCGATTCAGTGAAAAAGATAAATTGTAATATAATCTGATGTAGGCCTCACATTGATATTGCTTTTGCTTTTGCTTTTCCTTTCGCTTTCATTTTCTCTTCAGCTCATTTACACAATGTTTTCTCAGCACTGTCTTCTGCTATATGCTCGAGGCAAATATAATGATTTTCTTCTTTCTCTTCATTTGAATCTTCCCTTTTAATATCAAAACATTTAATTTCTTCTTGTTGTGTTCCTTCTTCCTTTATTTTTGTATGGACAAAATCTTCTCGTGGATAAAGCGACTGACTTGTACAGTTGAGAATGGTAATCTCGTTGTAGATTATTGCTCATTTATATTTTTTTAATTCTCCACTTTATTCACGTATTCTTAATGTTTCTTTCCTTCCGGGTGTGCGTGTGTATATGTGAGTGCTTCCGCGCTGATGTTGCCGCTCGTCGTGCTATTCATTCCTTAAAAAAAGGCATGAATAGAATAAGTAGCGGAAAAATTTACCAATTTTCTTCAATCCACCTTGCTTGCCTATGCTGAGGTGTATACAAATATCTAAGGAAAGCATACGATTCAAGATGTTAAATCGAAAGCGAAGAATAAAACGTCTACATTATTTATTGCCTTATCAAATAAAGAACGTGCCTTTAATATACAATTAGAAATGAAATAAATACGTAGATATGCTCGATTTTCATTTGCTATTCTAGCTGATGTTGCTGATGCTACTGCTGCTACTGTTACTGCTGTTGCTGTTCACCAACGACACAAAATATCTACACAAGCCATCAAACTGTCGTGAACTTATCCGTTGTGTAAACGGGACAAATATTCTTTCTTCCTTTTTCACAACTTACATGTCAAGATGATAAACCATTGCATGGAAATGAATGTCTATTGTCATTCTTTTAACTCGCACGCAGCAGTGGATTTTCCGTTGAGTTTATTCCCCATCCAGTTCATTCACTTCAGTCATCCTTTGCCGAAGCAAATATGAATTTTATGAATCCCAAGTGTGTGTCGTCATCGCTGTCGTGTTGAATAAAGGGAAGAAAAGCTCTTGTCGCATATCAGAAACGTTTTCGTTGAGAAATTTACTGTTACCACTCGACGCGCGATAGTAACAAACACGCGTCTTCTTTTTCCCTTGATATTGTATTTCATATTTTTACGATTCCACCTTTAAATTTGTTTTCAAGTGGATGTAAGAATATTGTAGTTGGGTGGGGGGTTGAAACAGAAAAGTAACGTTCATAAAAATTTCATGTCTATTACATTTCATTCCATAATACAATTGGGATCAACGGCAACGGCTAAATAATGAGACAGTTCACTTGAAACGTCGAACTCTGGGGATGTTTAAATCCTTTCATCTTTTAACCCCTATCCGAGTTTGCGTTTGAGAAATTTATTGACGTTTCTCTTGCTCTTTCAGTGATTCAACATTGTGATTAAGGTCTTGTAAGTTGACCACTGGTGAAAAAAGAATTATTTGAGAATCAATATTAAGCGAGTCTTGGGAACGGTGTCAATAACATCGCTTTGGGCTGATCTGATCTGTTAGTGGACAATGAGAAAGAAAATTTATATAGAGTTAGAAAGTTAAGTTTGTAAAGAAGGGAAATCTCTCGTATTTCAAGGGGATGCTATGGAAAAGTTTAGTGCATGAAGTGAAGAGCAGATGATATATGAGATAACTGCCCTAAGATAGATCAACTCAAAGTATGAAGCCAAAAAGTTTCCAGATGTTATATTATGTTTTTGCAGTAAAGAGAAGTTGTGTGTACACGAGGATAAGTGAGCATTCATAGATACCTTTAATTAACAAAATTTAAGAGCAAATGTGAAAGCTAAGCCAGGCTATGTTGTTGATGTTACATGGTTGATGTGGTATGAATTTCTGTTAAACATTGACAAACCCATGAAATGGTAAACTAACAGGGAATTTAAGTTTCACTACAAAGTTGTCTAAAAATAAGTTTACATTTCATTTATGTACACAACATAACTTATGTACCATTTTATGTTGAGTGTTTCGAGATGAAAATATGATGAAAGAAAAAAGAAGTCATTTCCATTTCTCATATAACAAGTCTTCATCCCGCAAATAATGAAGCATGAATTTTATTACATTGAACAATCATCAACGACAGATATCAAATAGATAAAGCATAAGCCCGAGTCGTAAACAAAATCAACCGTAGTTAATGGAAGAATTTCATTTTTTTCAGCTTGCGTTTATTTCCGATCATTTTTTCTTCTTTTTTCTTCATTTCCTCCATCATCGAGGAATATTCGAGGTGACAGTTATGATTATTGATCACGATATTTCAGCTCGAGTGCAATAGAGCTAAGGAACGGGAAATAACTAAGTATGATGTGTCATGAAATTGCGGTTCTCCAGGGCTTTCCTTACCACAGGGTGAAGGAAGCTTTGCAGCTTAATTGAGGAAGTTGACATGACAAAGGAGGGAAATCGACAAATACACCCCGCTGCTTTACTTTAATACCAATAAAATTGATTTAGTGGAAATGTCGTGCGACAATCTATAATAAATTTCACATCAAATTCTATAACGCGCTAGAGTGTAATTTATCATTCAATGAGAGAAAAGCAAGGCGGAAGAAAGCAAGAACATTGACTTCATAAAGTTATTTGCAAACAATTATCGGTTAATGATTTACTGCTGTTCACAATGGTACTGTCAAGTGTCTGTTCAACTGTTAATCCTTTTAGTCCCTTTCAGTTTCACTCGAATGGTCAATATATCGATACGATTCAAATCTCTCTGTCTTCACAATATGAACAACATCATCATAAACATATTCCATGAATTTTTAATTTCACTTGTAACCGCAACTGTATAAACATTATTTATGTTTGAAAATCTGATCATAAAAATAGAATGTCAACATTAAAATATTCAATCGAATTTCAATTCAAATTTCTTTATTTTCGTATTTTATTCCATCAAAATTAAGTGAAATATTAAACAAAGCTGCATTGACGACTCTATTATTTCATAAAAGCATACAAATGCATGTAATGTGTTATTGTTTAACAATTGAAACGCATATACTATTAACATACGAATATTTCACTTTTATGTTGCATTATCGTATGAAAGAAATCAAACAAATATGATCAAGCTAACAATAAAGGCACAAATCCGAATCAGCATTTAGCAGAAAAGCTTTTCAACAACATTAAATAAATATTGAGGGAGGCAAACTAGAATTAAAATGTTTCGTAGTTTTGTAATTTATGGTGAAAATATTCCCGCATTAATGTTAACACGGCGCTAGAAATCATGTTTTAATGTATCTACACATATCAGAATATTTTTTGCAAATAAACATGATGTTGTCTGACCACTTGGCGTTTTCGCTTACATGCGTTGATGGAAGCTAATATTTCCATATCAAAATGATGATTTCATTGCTTTTTATTATGACTTATGCTGCCAGCAACTGTTGGTGGTTTGATTGCTGCATTTAATTTTCTTTAAAGTGACTTTGCCTTTATTTGAGTTTATTGTTTGTTTGCTTTTCTCACTTCTTTTGCCAGCTCAATTTATCACATTATTGATTGCCTTCTTTCTACCTTTTTTTTGTTCTCTCTTTCCTTACGCTATCTGCCTTTTTTTTCGAAAAGCTTCTTGATGCATTGAAAAGCCATTAATTTAATTGAATTTTCCCCTTATCGACCCTTTTCGAAGTGGAAAATATCTTCGAGCACCAATCTCATTTAAAATTCTGAAATTATATAAGGCAGCAGTATGTTTGTGCATATACTTTCCAATATTAATTTTATTATTACGTGATGGATTATGTTGTATCAGTGAAACTGTATCAAATATCGACAGTGATGAAGGTGGAAAGAGAGAAAGAAATTTGAATTTTTTGTGCTTTCATGAATTGATGAGAATATTGACATCTAAACTACGTACAAACTTTTCACAATTAAAACTTTGAGTGAAGATTTTATTGAAACGTTTAGTTGAATCAACGTTTAATGTAATTAGTTGAAAGATAAACTTCAAAACTTCTTTAAAAGATATTTTTCTATTCCGGGAAACGCTGCAAAGCGAAATCTGCAAATTAATTTCCATAAAACAATATTTTAACATACATGAATATTATTCCAGTGTTCTCGTTTTTTTAGCTCGATGAGAAAGTTGTTTGCATCGTTTTGATACATACGGAATAATGAAATTCAGTGAAATGTGATACATGCCGATGCACAATGAAGAGAGCGAAGAAAAAAGCTCACGTTAAACCACCAAACCGCAAAAAAGCATAAATTATGCATTGCATTTCTGTAACAAACGCCACAAAATGTTTAGTTTTTTTGTAGCCGGTTGTCTGCTTCTCATATTTCACATTGTATACTCATTGCCCGTTGTTTTTACTATCATATAATTTCAACTGTTAACAGCTTTCTTTATATCTTCAACACTCAACATGTAGATATGATCATGGCAATGTGGATACTTTAAAATATATATTTTAATTAAATTATTGTACCTTTTTATGTGCTTTTTTTGGGTTAATGTGTACATGGGGATAATGGAATATTTTCGAGTTGAAGTGAGGAAAAACTGAGATGAACGAACGGATGATCACGTAAGTACTTTACCCAAAGTTCAGTCGCTTTTTTTTTGTTGACAATTTAAAGTTTACACTTGACGATTGTTTACTGTTTAATTTTAATTGTTACGAAGCAATTAATTATCATTTACATACCGTTAAACAAGGAGTATAATTTGCAAATCTCAATTGATGTAAAACTCTTTAATTTTCTGTTAATTGTATAACAAATCAGTTTCAAAATTTATTCAATTTATCATGAAAAGATGAGAAAATCCATAAAAATTAAAACAATCATTAAATTGAAATATTTTTCATAAACTAAAAGCTTTTGACATACAACACTCTTAATTGGCTTTCTTTTCATGAACGGATTTGATGTGAAATGAAAGTTCCAGCTTAGTTATATTTTGAAAATGAATCTCCCGTCATCATTCATCAAGCTAGATGCATTTTTAAATCATCATTTATCATGATTTTTGTCTCAAGATTAAGTCCCCAAATAAAATAAAGTTGATAAATGGTGAAATGGATCATTTGAACTAGGATTCTTTCGCAAATGATTAATGAAATGGAATATGAAAAAGAAAGCTGTTTACTGTTTGCAGGAGAAAATTACGACATCAAAATCTCATATATACTTAGGAAAAGGACTTTCTGTGGACGATAAATAATCAGCATTTGGGACAAGAGAAGAGACAAGGGAGAGTGGAAAAAAAAAGGCACAGAAAAGGATTTTTCAATATTCATGAGCGACATTTTTCAGAGCATATGCGAACTTTAAATAGATGAGAAAAAGAAAAGCTGGCAAATACTTTTAGCAACAGATATCTAGTAAATCAGATGAAAAATATATGAAATTTTCATTATATTCTTTTTTTCTCATCATCTCGTTTCTTTAATATTTATTTCATTCATTTTTGTCGCTTTTATAACATAGTAATTTTTCACACGAAAAAGCATCACATGTTAGCAGCATAAAAGCTAAATAAAATTGTTTATGAATTATTTATCGGCATGGGGAAAAATAATTTTCGATGTTTCCATATTTACACGGTGCATGCAGTAGATTCGCGAAAATAACTCCCACAAGCCATGAGCGTGAGAGTATGAGAAAGTGAATTTATGAATGATTTTGACTTTTTCGTTCTTGTTCATCCATTTATTGAAACTCATCCATTGGAGAGAATATTTATTAAATCGTTTTTCATACGCTTTCGATTCGCTTGTTTTTCATTTTTTTTCTTCTCTTCTCCAACATGACTTTCAGCCCTTCATCTCCTGTAAACATCCGAACGATCCGTAGCCTCATACATCATCCATGATACCTAAGTATAGCCATCCATACATATAAACATTTGCAACTCGAACAAGGAAAGCAAAGAGACGAAAATGATAAATTGCTTGTTTCCACAAAACGTCATAATTTTATTCCATTTTTTTCTGATATGAAAATTTTCGAAACTTTTGGCATGATGCAGGCAAAAATCGACTTTTTTGTTGAAGTTGATTTTGTGACTCAATTTCAGGAAGCGAAGAAAATCTAGGTACATATATTGACTTTCTCTCATTGTGAGTTTGAGAAAATTATATAAATAAGTTTTTGAAAGCTTATGGAAAATATGATGCTGAAAGCAGAGGCATATTGGCAAAAAAAATGGCTCAATTTGAACCAAATTTCATAGAACGTAGGGCGGAAAAAATAAACAGAGAATGAGTCGACTGTGTGTGAACAAATTGACTTTTTTCAATTATTTATGTAGTCTCGCTCGGTGTCACGGCACTGTGACGATATGAAACGTAAAATAAGGGAAAGAGAGAGGGACAGACGTTGAAATGTTTGAGTAAGCACAAGCGAATTGAAAAAAGTCGTGTTGTTTGTTTGCTGTTAGAATATATTTGTCGATGAAACGAAAAAAAAAATCGCGCGTTTAGGCCATCAATTTTGTATTATGAAACATGATGTAGACGAAATAAAAATATCGTTTCAACATCGGCAGGTTCATTTTTAACAAGCATCGGTGAGATTTCATGGATTTCGTGTGCGTCGCCTCCCTCACGTTTATGTTCGAATATAATTTTTTACAGCGCCCGATGATCTCCGGAGGGAACTTTTCGCACGTAGTATAAAAAGCCAAACGGAAAAAGCGAACGGAAGGTGTTGTTATGATGTAAAGCTCTTTCTCGATTTGTAAATATAAACAGACTTATCGAAAATGCGTCGAGCTTAACACTCACGTTTTCGCAGACTATAAAAGCTTTCGGAGGACTTTAAATTGATTAGCATTTTCATAACTTAAATGGTGGTTTGGATAGTTACCAGCAGATTTTTGATTGAATTTAAATTACCTTTTTGATGCAATTTTATAGCTTATACTGCCATCAGTTGAAGCTCTCTTTGATCACTGATTAGTTTCAGAACGATGCTTTTAAAACAATTTTCAAAAACTTTGTATTGAGTTTCAAACATTGATTAACTTTTGGAGATTTTTCTCTTCATTTTGAAGCCTTTACAGCATTCAGGTACTTAAAAATTCAATATAACATCTATAAAAAATATGTTTACATACAGCACAATGCTGGTTGGGATGAAGTTTCAAGTCCACTCATTTGTTATTGTGTATCTGCTCGTTTCAGCAACGAAGTGAATTAAAATTCACAATACTCAGATTCTCAACAATCGAGGTAAAGTTATTAAAATATGTGCAATATATCACATCGGGGAAAAAATTGTAAAGAGAGATTGTAAATGCATTATCAGAATGTCTGTTGTGGGAACAGTTATTTATTATCTTTTTAGTTTTTCAGATTATTTAAAATCTCATGATGTGAGCATAAACAAAATTTTAAAGCTAGAAAGTTGTTAAAGGATGATTTAACCGCACAAATCTCGACGCTTACAAGTAAAAAGGCATAAAATTTATTACAAGCCGAAGCTTTACAATATATTTTCCAAGAGTTTGTGCTAAGAACACCACATAAATATCTCTTCCATAGGAGGGGGATGAGAATAAGATTTGAAAAATTGTGTGGATTTATATCATGGTGATTAAGGTTTATGTAATACGTTTGTCAGGTTGTTGAGGATGAGACGGGAAAGATGAGAAAAGTATAAATGCTTAAAATGGCAAGAAAGAGAAATCTTTAATATCTTGTTAGACGATGTGTGAAGAGCTGATGTTTCTCCTGGAAAGAGCCAGATGTTCATCCAAGCAGTCACGTTTTAATAGCTTTAGATAAGTGCTGCGACTGGAATGGAGAAGTTTTTTATATTTTAGGATCGAAAACAGTAATAAAAAAAAGAAAACTTTCTTCCAATATTACAGACTTCAATCTTAAATAATTCCTATCGAACTTTATAAACTCTCATTGACAGAAATCAGGAGGAAAAGTTTAAAGTTTTAATTAAAAATATTTTCCTATGAATTTCCTGTGAAGGAATTAAATTTTTACTTCTTTCTTGACTAATGAAATGTCAAGTTAGTCATAAGTAAACTCAAGATAGAACTAAATCAATGCAAATCTCATTACTTCCAACTTTCAGAAACTTCACTTGATTAAAGGAAAGATTCGTGAAAGTTAAGGAAACTTTTCTTCTCAACTTACGAGGAAGAAAGAAGGAAATAAAAGAAAGAGAGAAACTGAAAGGTATTAAATGCCCGCAAGAATTCTTTCAAGTGAATATTAACAGCAGCCCCATGGCGTTTAAGTCAAATTTCTTTTTTCATATCTCTCGACACCTGCTGCCATAAGAAACGGCAAACAACAACAAAATTTTCAGTAATATTCTTCTAGCTCAAGCCATGGAATTTAAATGAAAGCAGAAAAAAATACAATAAATAATCCTTCAAATTCGCCTCCCGCCTACTTTCATCCGCTGTTTGATTGTTGCAAGAATTTCCAACAATGAAGTGAATGCCAAAAAAAAAGAGACATCACTGAAACTGACACTGTCATCATCTATAAAAGTGACAGACCATCTGAAATTCTTTAATTAAAAGTACATTCCATTCAGAAAATGGTTTCTGATTTTTCATACATGTCAGTCAAATACCAAATCTTAAAAAAATGAGAATTTTTAATTTTAGCATATTGAAATGTTCTAACATTTTTTCATCGTTCATGTTCATTCATTTCAAAATTGACAACAAAAGAGGGGAAAAAATATAGAAAAAGCATATACTCGTGTTAATTCTTTTTGTTTCGATGAAATGGTGAAATAATGAGTTGTATTATTTGTTATAATAATAATAACAATAACAAACATTGTTTTTCACTCGTCGAAAGCTTTTTTGTGTTGTTGCATAAAAAATTATTGAAAAACGTGTGAAAGCATTCCACGTCAAAAGCGAAGCAAATGTATGTTTCCATAAAAACAAATTGCTTCGAAGGGGGAGGTTGGGAGGGATTCATGAATATTAATAAGAAAAAAGTAGACGAAAAGAATGAGGATAAGTTAACTCTAATTAAAGATTTGCAAGAATTATTTTTCTGTTTATTTTATTTTCACAATTTTTCACCTCATTCTAATTAATTCAAGATTGAAAGTGGAAAAGCCACAACACCTCATTTAAATATCTATAAAAAAACAAAATTAATTAAAAAACATATCAAATTGCTAAATTAGGAGAATGAAACGAGGCAATAAAAAAATATCTCCAGGCAAATGAATCAATGATGGATGACGAACAAAATTAATACCTAATTGTGTTGCATTTAATTTTATCATTATCGTTATATCATATACGCAATGGAATGTTCACGGCATGGTTGTTTTATGAGAAAATTGAAGCAAATTATCATGTTTGCGGTTGAAACATCAAAATATTCTCATACAAAAAATTGAATCGTTAAAAACGTCCCATAACTGGGAGCTGAATGGATGGAGAGGAAGTTTACGAGGAAAAATCATTAAATCTACAAATGAATTAACAACTGAAATGTTAAAGATAACAATGATAAATATGTTACGAGGCTGATGTATTTATTTTTGATGTTTTGTATGGCTACTCGTTTTATCTCCATTCATTCTCTTCCCAATTTCGTTATCACAAACAATCATTTCAGATCTGAAACAAAAACAAAGCACAAAAAATTGGATATTTATAGGGAAAAAATGTTTTGCGGTGATTTTCCTGCTCCCTCCCATCACATGGGACAGTAACGAAACAATGAAGGAAACATAATCCGTGTAAGGTAGATTTTACTGTAATGGAAATGAATACGTTTGGATATCATGCAATCATATTAAATGTAAATGTGAGATATTGCCTGCTTAACCTGCGTTTTGTGAGCTTTTCTGTTGTCACATTTCATTTGTAGAAAAAAATATTTTTGGGGTTGAAGAACTGACCGTAACAGTTAAAATATGGTGGAACATTATAATGAATTTATTTTTGATTGCTTTGAATGCGTTTAAAAGGATTGTGATATTCGACACAATTGTTCGTCTGTGTTCATTTGAATATCAGAATAGAATTCATTGGGAAAAATATTTCCCCACAAAACGCTGATTCACATAATATGACGACGACAATTAATGATACAAACTGTTGTTTATTTGGATTATTAGCATTGAAACTTGCATGTCGATGGCTTTTGAACAATTCACTCACATTTCTATCTGAAGCATTTTAAATATTCATCGAAACAAAACAAAAAAGAATTAAATTTCCATTCGAATGAAGTCATGTGAAATTATGAAAAGCAATAAAGCGATATGGAAATGGAATGAAATGAAAATTTGACGTGGATAAAGTTGGAATAGATTGGAAATGAAAGTTTTAAATATTTTTATTACATTTTTCATTTTTCTGAACTTTAACATTGTTATCTATCATAAGCTTAACATTTATGACAGAAAGATTTTCCAACTTATGGTGTGGACAAGTTTCAGCCGAACATTTCCGTGATATTTAAAGCATCCTTCATATGTTTAAGTGGAGAAGAGTTGTCTAGACTTGTTTTGCATTAATATTCCCAATGGTCATGAATATTTGAAAAAAGCCGGTCTGGAATGTTTTCGGGCTCGAGAAACTTCCCTTCCTCACTTCTTTCTTCACAAGTTAAACAAGAAATATATTTAAAAAGTCATGTGCTTTAAATTCAGCAGAGTGACTGAACATGCATGAATTTTCTCATAAAGTGAAGTCGTAAACAATGAAGTGGAGAGAAAAGTTTTCACCCTTAACGACAAATTAGTTCTAAGGGATATTAAAACGGCTTTTTCTTTTTGCTTTGATCTAGGTCGTGATAAATACAAATATACTGCAGGGTTTAATGGAGGAGAAGCTTGAAGCTCGCCCTTATAACGACGGTGTATGATTGTTAAAAAAAGCACACGACAGCCATGAATACTTGAACGCGAGACGAAAAGTGGTTGTGACGGATAACTGTTGAAAGGATGTTCGTGTGAATGTAAAGAATGGAAAAAATATGAAAAGAAATGAAAGCTTTTAGTTAAATAAAATTACATTCTCATGTGCTTCACTGAGTTCCAGATGGTGACTGGTTAATCAAAGAACTTCACTAAAAAAATGTTGAAAATAATTATTTGAAAACTTATCCTAATTACTCAATCAATTAAGTGGAAGAAATATGTTACAAAGGCAATTGAGATAGAAAAAAAAATCTGCTTAAACACTTTTCTGAAAATAATTCACAAAATTAAAAACTTTTCGCTTGGCTTTTTCAGACTGTTGAAAGCTATCGACATTTTCTCACGCAATGTCATATAATTTCTCCTAAAACATTGTTGTCGTTCACTTGTTTAATATGAATAGTAGAATAGAGGGAAATATCAAATACTCGGAATTCATTCTCCAGTAAATTATCAAATTATTTTAAGCCCAACCCAATGCCTGAACCCACTAAATCCCCCCAATCTCCATTACCACCACAGCTATGTTTCATATTTTAGCAGCAATAAAGTTGCAGTTCATTTATTTATGAAAGGCTGTTCTCAATGAGTTTGTAATGCAGCAAAACCAATGAAAATCGCTTCAATCCAAGCTCTATTCTTAGCACAGAACAATCTCCTGCATAAAACGAGGTAAAGGAATCATAAATGCAGATTTCGCAGAGCAGGGAAATGTTGAATCCCAAAATTATAATTTTTCTCGCCTCACAATGAGGTGGAAAGGAAAAGAAAAGTGGGAAAAAAGAATGCAACCATTATAGTCGTTACATGATGTAGTCAGGAAGCATTATAATAATAAAAAAATATGTAACGTTGTAGCATATTGAAGTCCCGACAAGCAGACGACAGCCAAGTCTTATGTAAGTAAGTATATAGAAGAACATTTTCGTTGGTTTAACGACACGATCTGTTGGTTTCACTCTAACATTAAACATTAATTAATTCAAGGCACTTTTTCACACACCCACACACTTAGTTGCTTTTTTCACCATTCCCCTACACTTTAACTTGATGGCAGAAACATTTCAATTTGTTTTTCATTTTATGACGTTTTTTCACTGCTTGTCGATACTTCGGTTGCCTTCATCCGGGTCATGCAAAAGTCATTTGCATTTAAAGCAGCCATAAATCTTTAATTGAAATCGAAACAAATTCGTTTCGTGCCAGTTGCAGAATTTTTTTTCTCTCGTTCGTTTTCGAATGGTGGCGAATGGAAAAATTGGAATTACGTGAAATTCTTATCAAATATCGTCCATATTTTGAAGCTATTCGAATATGTGTGACTCTTATCCGCATTAATATTGGCGACCAGATGTGAATTGATCTTTTGTGACGCTCGTTATGGTGCAAGTTTTCAGCCACCTTTACAATAATCCTTTTTTTCCAATTGCTGCCCGCATCGATATGAAATATCTAATGGCAGAAAAGTGTCATGGAAATTTGACAAAATAATAGCAAAATCCTTCTCTGACTGGCAGCATTGGGCTCTCCATATATGACTTATGTCGTCTACGGTATTAAATTTTGACTTGACTTTTGAATTCTCGCTTTTTCCTATGATTCTTGCTCATCCAAGCTTTAGGAGAATAAAAAAATTTCCATGGCAAAGTTTTCGTTACAAATGGGAAATGAAAGAATGAAAAATTGTGAAAACGTGAAGCGGGAAAAAGATGGTTAGTTTAAATTACATTAAATGAAAGTTTAAAGCATGAGATTTTTTAATTACTGTGAAATATATCCAAAAACATTAAAGCTTCTGTTTTTTACAGTCACATGGTTTGAATAAAAGTGATTGTCTCGACTTAGTGGTAGCAGATTAAATTCTGAACTTCTAGCGACTTGGGAAAATGCATGCAACTAAGTTTCTTCTAATTCTTCTACCGGAAGCATAATATTCGAGATTTCTGCTCGGTCAGAAATTTTCAATTAAAATTCAAAACTTTATCAGTCGAAATACGTTTTTATATTTCTATTTACCTTTTCTGTTGCTTCTTCTCTCCACAACTGTAACATATCGTAATCCTTGAAAAAATGTTGAACAAAATTTTCCACATCGTCTCGTAATTGAAATAGAAATGGTAAAAGTTGTTGGCTCATAAAATAATTTATGATAAAACTTTTTGTACATCATAAATTTGCTTCGAATGGAAAATGTTAAATTAAATCATTAAATGAGTTGTGTGTGTGTATGTGTGCTTCAACATTAGCTTGAAACTTTAAAGAAACTTCCTGTTAATGGATTTAGAATTGAGACTTTAAACAGATTTTTTATCGTAAATTCTTTTATGGATTCATCATGATGATGTTTAGACATCACTGGCAATCTGTTTGAAAGCAATAAAAAACCAACCAGCATGCGTTATTATTTTGTAACAAGCACAAACTTTAAAAGTTGTAATAAAAAAACATTTGGAGAGATTGTTTAACAATAAAAACGAAAAACTCTTTTCATTCATTGACATCTTATTTCGGTTTGCGGAAGGAAAATGTGATTGAAATAAGAACAAGTAAACAGATTTCAAATTGAAATGATATTCATCTGATGGATGTGATACGACTCTGAAATCTATGCTATTTATTTCAAAATAAGCTCAAAATATGATTCCTCAAACAAACAGAATTTATATTCAATTCTTCTGTTAGTTTAGAGTTGTTTGTTTTTGTTATATATCTTTTTTTATTCTTCCTAGGGTAAGCATAAATTGAATTTGTTTGCATTAGCCGACTTTTCTTTTAGGATCTTTTATCATATCTCTCACCAGGCAACAGCGCGTCGAAGCCAGAAAAAATAGCCGGAAATCAAGATAAAGCAAAATTTGATGTTATTAAGATATCCGATACCTCGAATCTGTTCATTTTGCTTTGCGGCTTGATTCATTCAAAACAGCTTTCCACAACTCGATCATTCATACTTTCAAACAAATAAAAAACACTTTTGAGGAAATGGAAAATTTATGTGAATCGGAAAATTGGTAAATATTATTGTTTTCACCCTCGCCTATAAACGGAAAGGGATTCGTCGATGATTTCATTCCGTTGTTTTGTGTCATTGAACAGCTTGAAGTGAAGAGAGAGAAAAAAGGAAAATAAATCCATTGAGAGCTTTTTTTTCTAGCAAACAGAAACCAAAAAAAAAGAAGAATTTAAATGGAATTCCACGAGTGTTTGGGGAAGAAACATTTGGAATCGTATTCAAAATAATTCTGTGAATGTAAATATTTTTATTATCCGTTTTTTATTGCATGCAAAAGTCTTCAGAGATTTTTTGCCGAATGCGATTACGACTGTTGTTTTTAGGAGAGATAAGCGAACATTCAATGATCGGTATCGGAAGTGCTCAAACGACCAATCAATGTGAAAGCGATTCTCGTGAGAATGGAGATTTATGGGAAACTTAAGTATCCATAGTGAACCCTCAAAAGTAATTCAATAAATAAGAAACCTCAAGTATTTGAGAGCTTCTTAAAAGCTTGAAATACTTGAGAAAGCTTTTCATGAATGATTGAAATAAAATACTTGCAATTCAGTGTTGTTTAAGAGTTTAAAGTTTTTATTTTCTTTGTTTCTAGGCCAACAAGATACATTTTAAACTGCTTCGTCAATAAACTATTTTAATGGCCATAATAATGAAAGCGATATTCGCCATGGTTGCTAGAATTTAATTAGACATTTCCTCCATTAAAAATTGTACAAATTTTGATGTGAAAAGTTTTTGATTGAAACATTTTAATGCTTTTTCCAATTGAAAAATAAACTCGAATTACCACAAAAGCAACGAAATTTGTAACCAGCGCTTTTGCACAATAAATAAAAGCTACCGCAGAATGAAAAGCAAATAGAGTCGATTCACTCGGTTTGAAAGAAAAATGATGAGTCGGAAAGCATTGAATTTAGAAACTCTTTGAACGATTAACATTCTTAATGTTTGTGGGGCTCAATTTCAGATCGACAAACAATTCAGTCAGTCAGACAAAACTAATGAGTAGAAAATTCATCACTTTAATCAAATTAAATTAAGCATTAAAACTGCGAAGAAAACAAATTGTTTGCCAATTTCCCATCGAAACAAGTCCAAACGAAAAGATGGGAAAATAGAAAATAGAAAATGAATTATTAATCGACATTCAGACTTCAGAAAATTTTCTGTTTATAAATTTGCTTCATTGAGTAAAAACGAAAGGATTCCTCGTTTTAACGATTCGCAAATAAAAAATTAACTTTATACCAGACTTGTTTTTAACCATGGACTATTCCAAACTCCGAAGCGATGAAATGAAAAGAAAAGTGGGTGGGGGAGGGATAAGGGAGAGTGGCAAAAAGGATAATTCAACCATCAAAGCCTTTTTTTCTTGCCTAAACCTCTTTGCATGATCTTTGAAATATTTGAACTCTTTCGGTTTATTAAAATAATTGAGTTTGACGATAAATTTCGTGCTTGAAAAATGAGTTAAAGAATATTCAAATGAAATTATGGAAAATGGTTCTTTAATAGATCATTTTGAAGTGTTTTTCTTTCATTCTTTCAATTTTATAGCTTTAAGTTTTAGATAAAAATGAACAATATTGACTTACTTTGAATATTACGGGCAATGAATTTTAAGGAACTTTTCTACTTATTCGACTCAGGTGCAAGTGTAACGAGAAACTCTTTCCACAATATAATCATCAACAAAATCCATTTTCAATTTTCCACACTGTTTGTTCCTCTTTTTCTCCTTTTAGCTTTTATTTTCTTTCTCTCTCGCTTTTATGATTTCGATAATTGAAATGCAGCTGAGAGAGAAATTGAGTTTTAACAGCTTAACAACGATGCTTGACAGTAGTTTGAGAAAATAGAAAGAAAGGACAGGAGCGTGCTGAAATTGATGACAATTTTTTGTTTGCCTTTTTTTAACAACAGCACATGAAATTGCATTTTCTTCGAGAGTGATTTTTGTATTTAACTTAAAAAGGAAAAGCAATTTCAATTTACCGAAACTTCATTCTGTCCATATATTCTTTTGTTTCTTCACTTGTTATAACAACCAACAACTGCTGCCATTCCGAATGGGTGAAAGCTCAAGCAGAAATTGAATTTTCTTTTTTAAACAAAATGTTTCGATAAATAAATTAAGATTAGAATTAGATATTTCTACCATGCATTAAAAATTCATTTGCAAAAACCAAACTAACATCACGTTGACGTTTTACATTCACGAATTCAAGAGCTGCTTGTTTCGAGAATTTTTCTTTATTGAGTAAAAACAGGAAAATAAATTGCAAGCTTGAGTGTTGAATGTAAACTTCTATCTTGCTGTGAGCTCAGTTGGTTGATTTTCTGGGAAGCACAAGTGCATTCCTCTATTTTCAACATGAACATTCATTGAGTGAAAAGTTTCAACCAAAGTTTGATTCTTCAACATCTAAACTCAGAGATGTCGATTGTAAATTTATGGAATGTTTGTTTTGTTGTAAGTTGAAGAAACAACTTTTAGGATAACATTTTGATCATACAAATTTATTGGAGTTGAGAATTAGAAAGTTTAGTTACTTATCGACATCCCTGTTCGCATTGTGTTAGTTGAAGTCTCAGCGGTACATGTCACCATCAATGTAATGTTCAATTCTATAATTAAGGATTCATATCAAAACCAATACCACACTAACGAGCTGTATTTATGTCCTTTCTCTATCCTATTAAAGATCCTACATTTTATCTTGCAATTGAATCGGAAAATTATTTTTGTTTAACAACGAAAAGCTTCTAAATTGGTTTGCACATGTAATGAAAGAAACTTTTTCAATTTTATTTTAAAAGAAACTTTTGATATCATTCCAAACGAATCATTGCAATGTTTTAATTAATATGTGACTTTATCCAATTAGATAGAAAACATTTTCTTTACTTTTTAGGATGGAAATGCATTACAAAAGTGGTTCCTAAATTCATTCACGAATTTCATTAAATCCAATTTTATGCAAAATAGTTTTATAAACAATTTGCACCTTTGCACTTTCGAGCTTCAAAGCTTCAGGGAAAAATTTTTGCAACATCAGAAACTATTTTTAATCATTGTAAGCTTCAATCAACATGTTCAGTATAAAAATCCAGAAATATCTACAGTAATGAGTTTGAATAACTTTCGCATGTTTTCGCAATGTTGTCTGATTGTATTTTACCTTAAGCTAAAATGAAATATTCATGCAGAAGTAAGGTCAGGTCAGGAATAAATATTCTTGTATCATCATCAATATTTTGCTTTCTTCTTATCTTCTAAGTATCAAACTATGATCTATGATGGAAAATTTATTGATCGTAAGATTTTCTGTTCTCCTTTATCTAGGACAACTTCACCATTGAAGGATGAAAATTAATAATGGGTAAAGGTGAAGTAGGAAATTTCCAACAAACATTACAAAGACTTTCTTTGTTTCTGCTCTTATCTCATCATTTTAACACAAAGTAAAGCTGAGAACGAGGCCTGATTATCAGTGCATACAAAGACAAGTCATCATTTTTCAATGGAATCATTACGCACAAAGAAATCATAAATAGAAAGATTAACATTTTATGATAAAAGATATTCAAAGAAAAACTTCTTGTTACATCTTTTATACTATCTTGTTAATGGCATCCAGCTTAGATGCCAGTTCATTTTCAAATTGTTATAAATATCTATCTCAAGCTTTTAGAATTTCAAAGTTGATGACACAGCAAACTTCATAGAAACTTTTACCAACATAATTTGTAGGCTAAAGATGAAGATTCCATTTAAATAAAGCTTTTGAGGGGAGTGGAAGTTGAAAACTTTTACATTACAAAGATACTATCACAATATCCGAAACATGTCAAGAGAAAATTATGCAAGTTAAAATGACCAAATGAATTTTCATTGTTGCACATTGAAAGCCTTTACCATAACAATAAACTTTCATTCCTCACATGATGACTTTTCTTTTTTCTCTTTCGAGAATTCAACATCTTTTTCCATTTTCCTTTTTTCTCCTTTTTTCTCCTTTTTTCGGAAAATATTTAAACCAAAGGGAGATATTTTAATGGAAAGCAAGCGTGCGACATTAAATTTTGAGTGGCAAAAATTCCATTTACTCGAAACAATAGAATAAGAATCCACTACGCTTCGGGTGACAAAAGAAGAAACATAATTGCAGTTTTTTTTATTCCTTCTTTCTGTTTCACTCTTTCAAGTAAATATCTTAGGGCAGCTGAGAGTAAAGATAATAATTTCATAAATTTTTTACACACATTAAAGAAGAAAACGTGTGGAGAAAAGCCATAAAATATTACCCTGAAGCTATTTCCCTCCAATCTTCTCCTCCCGTGCTGTTGCTGATTCGAAGCCTTTTTTTCCAGAATGTGCATAATTTTCTCTTCGCCCGCCGCTATCAAACATGCTCTCTACATACATCGGGAAGCATTAATAAATTATTTCATGCCGTACTTTATTCCCGTGTGCAACCTTGCTGATTTGCCAGCGGAATCAATGGGGGCTAGCATCGTATAACGAAAATTTTACATTATTAAAAAGCAGCACCAAGTGTTAAAGCGGAGAAGAGGTCGCTCGACATAAAAGTGTTTGAGACAAGCTGTTGAAAACAGCAAGCATCCATATTAAACTCATTCACATTTATATTTTTAATATTTTATAAATGATGACATTTTTTTATGGGAATTTATAGCGGTGATCTTTGTAATATTCAGCTTTTGAGTGAACAAGCAAAACTCGGCGAAGTTCACTTGAATGCTGCATGAAATGCATGTGAAGTGTGAAATTTAAGTGCTGGTGCTTTTAACCGCAAGAGAAGTCAATTGAGATAATGATGATTCATTGAAGCTCTAAGATCATTTTTGTGTTTATTAAAAGCGTTATGTTCTCTTTTAAAGATATCTGAGTCATTAATTTTAAAAACGAAATGGAATTTTCAACTTATCAAGCTAAATGGATGAGAAATTTTAAAACGTTCTTTGAATTCTCTTTTCGTCTAGTTTCGTCTAGAAACAAAATCATGCAAAAAGAAAATTTTTCGCCAAACTTTTCCAACATAACATTAAGGTCTTTGAAAGTATTTTTCATTTCATTTACTTCCGCTAAGTGCCAAATTGTTTAAAGCACTCTAGTGGGAAGAGAAATATTGGCTGAAGTTTTGAAGGAAGGATTAAGTTTCCCGTCTGCTACTCTCGCTTTAATCTATTAAGATTGTAATAGATTTGTTCGTACAACCGAGCATAATTTATCATGCTTTTATTTCATAGCGAAACACAGCGATTTGAGAATCTGATTCAAGAAACGAAAACGAAAGAAAAAGAAGGAAGGAAGTTGCAGACAGACGGTACTGTTACTTATTTCACAAATTCATCCTTAAACGTCTTAGAGAATTTTTGTAATGATGAAATATGTATGAAGGATAATGATCTTAATATAGCAAAAGTTCCGCCCAAGCAACTGAATTCGAATGATGAGAATCTTTTCAGATAGAAAAAAATTTAACTGCATTCAATTTCTTTGATAACTTTGAATCCACTCACCAAACGTTTCGATATCCTTTCCATGTTCTTTATTTCATATTAAGTTAGACATTCAACTTGTAAAAGAAGTTTATTCGTTCACATAGAAACTTTTGTTAATCGAAATTGTCTCATCTTAAATATATTGAAAAACTTGTTAACTTTTAAATTGCATCAATAAAATTTTATCACCAATAATATCACTCTTAGTTATTGCTTATTAAATGTCCAACATTAAACTAAATTTTAATACGATTTATGAAATTTTCATAAAGTTTATCTTCCTGAAGTTATTAGAATTGATGGGAACTGTCAAGCTATCAATTGAATGTCAACTTTGAATTAACTAATTTGTTAAAGCAACAGAACAAACGTCAACAGTTAATTTGTCACATTTTTATTCTCATTCTAACCATGAAACATGAAAGTGCTTTGTAATGGTGGTTCATTGTGTGCTTTCTGTTTGTTTTGGACTTCACTAAAAGGCATTTTTGTTTGGTTGAATAGCACGAATGTTTGTGTATGGAATGTCGACAGACAGAGAAAGAGTTCGACATTCCCTAAACAATAAAAGCAACATCATAACCGGTGGTGAAATGAATTGAATGAAAATGTCATCGAGCGATTTTCCATTATCAAGATTTTGTAAATCAAACAAGCATCGTTGTTGGTCGGAGTGAAACGGTCATTCGTGATTAAGCAACGCTTTAGTTAGTCAAAAGATGACTTGAACATCATAAGAATTGAAGTTAGATTTATTCACAAATAAAACCAGCACTTTACAACTGTCAATATAAAGTTTCAAAGTATATTTTATGCAAACGAAGACAGTAGATGAAACTTTAAAGAACTAAAAAGCTTGTCTGTTCCTATGGGGATGATCTTAGTAGAAACTAGCAAGTTGCAAGTCATCACCATCATTAGGAGTGGGTGAGTGGTTTTAAAATCTCCCGTTTGAAAGAAATTCCTGGGGTTGCTCTATTAATGACGACTAAAGCTGTAAATGTTTTGCAATGAACATGAAAATATTGAAAAGTTGCAAAATAAATCCCAGAAAATTAAATTAAAAAATAAAATTCAAAGCATTGCGTTGAGGATTTTGTGTCAAATTCTTACGTCTTCATTATTTCTTCTCCAAACATTATTTCGAAAAGCATTTGTTCCTTAAGTTACAAAGCTAAATCATTATAATTAATTTTATTTCAAGCTCGTCTCCATGTTTTTATGCTTGAGACAACTTTCCGCATCTTGAAGTGCATTATCATGATTAAATGAAAAGTTTTTTTTAATGTTTCTTCTCCTTTTTAATGCCACGGTCGGATGATTGAATGGAAAACAGAAGGAGAAGGGAAAAAAGGTATTTTAATCTCATAATTTGTTTTAACATTTTTACGATCATTAAGTGGAAAACAACAAGCAAGCACAAAAAAGAGAAAAACCCGTTTTATAGCGAAGTGGGCAGAAATTATGTAATTAAATTTGATCGATCGCTTTATGGCTTTTCATAGTCGAGTGAGTTGATACAACATCAGGGAATGGAAAAACATGAGTACAAAGTTATCGTAGGTCAAAAATGAAGGAAATCCGAGGGAAAGAAAGAAAGAGAAACAAAAACACGATTCGAATGCACGCTGATGAAGTCAGCGCGTGGATAAATGAATAGAATGGTAGAATGGGGAGAGACCATAACAATTACATTTTGTTTTCATTAAACGGTAAGATTTGATTTTATGCCTTTTTTGTTAATGGGATCCAATTTCTCCGTTCATGTGATTCAGCATGATTCCACAATATGTTCATTCTTCTCTCTGTTCTACGTGGGAGTCACAACAATGTAGAAAATTAAATTTTGTTGCTTTCTATTAGATTTCCTTCGTTCTGCTATCAATCACATAAATGTTTTTGTTATAAAACTTAATGAAGTGCTTTGAATCGTAAAATTTTATTGAAGACATTCGCGGATGCATGACTTTAATTAATATCATTGAAAGTGGGGTTCATGGAGAAGTAATTGGGAAAGTAACATACAATTTTTTATTTAATTAAATCTCATACCTTTCATTGTCTTGTCGTCTATTGTGTTGCGCTTGAGAAAATCAAATGAAACGTCTTTTAAAAGCTTTCTTATCAACAACAGTAAAGGAATATTGTTTGACAACAGTAATCTAATCATAACGACCGCAAATGTCTTGGAATTCAATGTCGACGGAGAAACCTTTTCTTTCTCCTAACTTGCATTAACCTTTTTATAAACTTCTGAAGCCATAAGAAAACTTTTATAGCTTCAGCAAAAGTTTTCGTTTTCAACAATAAAATAACGGTGAAAGCTTTTGCAGGATTTCTTTTACTTTTATTTTGTTGACGATTTTCTTGTTGGCGTTCGTTGAGAAGATTACAAGGACATAACAATTGCGTTTCGTTTCGCGTGCTCAAATCGGATCAGGAAAAATAATCAGCTCGATAAAATTATTTCCGGACTTCATTTCATTCAGCATTGCTCGTTATCAACATCGATAATTGAAATTCAACAAAGTAAGACGTTGAAACTAATGTAAAGTTTATTGCATGATAATCAGAATGAAAAAGTTTATTTTCTTTCTTCTGAGAATCTTGTTTGCGGTGATCACGAATTTCCTGAAGTATTTCTCTTTGTCAAAGTCTTCACATTTACTGAAATATTATTTGAAGAAATCTTTTCTGTTCAATTACTTGAAAATTTTCTTATCATGTTGTGGTATCTGCGATTCGTTGCGACTAATTATCTATAATCATTGTTGTTGAATCGAGAAGCGGGAACATTCCTCGACAGAAGAAAACTTTGCGCGCAGACATAATCGTAACGTTAAAAATTCGAATAAAAGCTCATAATTTGTGGTGCTGTTGGGCTATGAAAATAATTTCAATATATTTATTTAACACAATATTTTATTTTTCGTCAGATGATATTTTTTATATCACTTTTATTAAGTCTTGAAATATTTTTTCTTCACTTTCATATAATTTATTTTACTTTCGAACAACAAATATTTAATAAAGATGTTTTTTTTGTTTCTCTTTTCGATTGAATTTTAATGAATAAATATTGAATAAATTGATTTTTTTTTGTTTTCCAATATAGATTTTCGATTGAGATGTAAATGGAATATAAGCGTTTACGTGCTAGGTAGCACAAAATAAAAAAAAATTATTAATAAAGTACAATCTGATTCAATATCCTTTTGAATATCAATCTGTAATAATCATGATTAATAGAATGTGTTTGTATAAACAGCAAACAAAAATGTAACAACACAGTCGAAAGCACTTTACTGTCATATAAGTTCAATTTTTTAAAAACTAAAAGTAGATAAATAGTTTCTCTCTCTACTCCCCCTCACTCTCTCCATTTCTGTTTCTCCTTTACTTTATCACAATCAAAATGTTAATTTTTTGATGACTGGCCGATAGTTTGGAGTTTAGTTAGTAATTAGTATTAATCTACATCAGTTTATCTGATAAATTATTTTCTCTTTTCCCTTTCATCGTTCAGTGAATAACAGAAAAATTACTACCAAGAAAATAATATTTAAACACAACAACAATTTCTTAATTTATCGATTTTTATATTTGATTAGAATTGTTTTTGTTTTTTTATTTTTTCTTTTGTTTACAAATTCCTAACTAATGTTTCAGTTTCTTCAAAGTTTAGACATTAATGTTTGATATAGCTTTAATTTAGGATATAATTTAATTAAAAGCAGATTAAAATTTTGGACGTCACAAGGAGAAATTTAAAAATGTTTAATTAAAATCACAAGCGGTACTTCGAACTTTCTCAATGGCTTTAAAGTTCGAGTACCAGTCCGCGATCTTAATTAATTAAGTTCAAAGGTTAGATGATTAAAATCAATAATTTAGTTCAATGCTTTGTTGTAAAGTTTCCTTAAGATTCCTCATTTATTGTCACTAACATTTCGCGACCTCAAACTCTTTTAAATTCGTTCAATTTTCATTTCGTTCCTAACTAAATTTTTCACCTCTTCAACCTCTCGTGACGACGATATGAAGAATCATTCAAGATAATCCAATAAAAAAATCAAAAAGTAGACATTAACATTTCGACGATGGAATAAAAAGAAGCAGGAAATATAAAAGTAACAGGAAACATCAACTTTTCTTTTATTGAATTAAGCCTAAACATATAATGATCCCCCTGATATTCATAGAATTGCTTTTTCATCAATAGAACATCAATAGCAACTTTTTTTTAAGTAGTTTACAAACAAAAACTGTTATTAGTGCAAAAAAGTTCTTTTTATAAGCTAACTTTGCTCGTCTTTTCCTGTGATGATTTGGATTAATTAAAGTAGATGCAATGACGGGGAATAAAAGAATCGGTTTTCAGAATGTGTCTTCACCACAACATTGCATGCAGTCCATGTACTATCTTTTGCCATCGCGTGGCTCGATTGCCGTTAATTGGTTCTATGTTCATTAAATATTAATTAAATTACAATACTTTGTTATGTAAGAAGAATTATCTAAAGTGTTCACCTGTAAAGACTTAATTGTATCCATAAGAGTTCGCTTTTCGTCAAGAAGCGTCGCGATATCATCTTGCGCTGCTTTCAAATAACTCTTCAATATATCATTCTCTTGTTTAACTCTTTGACTGAATAAATGAACAAATAAATGAACACACAATTGACTTCACTCTTTTAATTTAACCCACCGAATAACTTCCATGTTCTTTTCAGCTACTACAACTTGTCGTCGTAATTGATCATTATCAACTTTAAGTTGTTGCATCACCAGTTGCATTGACAGAACTTCACGATCTTTTTCTTTCTTTTGCCATATCATGTCATCGCCGTCTGAAAATGTTTCCACATGAACTTTTTTCTCCAATGGTTGAAGGTGAAAAACTCCCGACAAATCTCGTGTAATTTTCATTTTTCCTATTGCGATATTTAATGGAACTGGACCTGGTGATGTTATGTTAACTGGCGGACGATCTTCGATGATATTTATTTTAATATTTTCAAGATCAACATTCATTGGAATGGGCGGTGTGATAATTTCGTCTTCTGTCAAATCTGTGAGTCCAATAACTGTGCTCATTTGTATCGATGGAAGTTTAAAGTCAACAACTTTGACATTTAAAATTCTCTCAAAGAAGCAATTGACAGATTTCTTGTCAGTTATTGTCGAAAGATCTGTTGGCAAGTTTAATTCTTCTTCAAATCTCAAAGCAACAACTGGCTTTGCTTCAGCATTGTAAGGTGCAACGTTCCATGCTCGACATCTCGCTCCAAACTTCGTCTGGTTATGAAACATCGATGATAAAGGAACAAAGCAGAACAAAGAAAAAAGCCGTCAATTAAATGTTTGAAAATTGAAAACAAAGATTATCGCTAATATTTATAGCAAAATATAAAAGTTCTATAAATTCAGGAAAAAGTTTTTCTTAAGAGATCAAGAAAGATAGAAAGAGAGTTTAGAAAACAGGAAAACAGATTGACGAACACATAAAAATTTCGTCTAAAGGAAATGTTAACATGCAACATCGAAAGAGCCAGAAGCACATTTAAAAGAAAACAAACAATTGAAAGTGTCGATTTCAGTTGTTTTACCTTTGAAACATCCTTCGAAGAAAAGTTAAAAGTTTTATTTGTTTTTTTTTTTCAAGTAGATCATTATTTACAAAAGGGGATGACTTTGTCAATCAATTAAAACTTTTTTGTTTTACTAGAAACGTTTTAATGACATTTGTAAAGAAAAGCTTTTTATTGAAAGTTGCACTTAAGGACGACACTTTTTTTTTCTTTGAGTTTGAAGTTGAAACGAAAAAGTTTATTTTATTGTTGGTGAAGTTTCACCATCTGTTATCGCTCTAAAATCTACTCAGCCGTGTTATTTAGACATGCACATGACAGAGAAAAAAGCTTGAAACTATCACCGCGACGAACAATGTCCTAGGACGTCGTAACTATTTGAACAAACACAAAGACAGTAAGTACTCAGAAGAACCATTAGTTAGACTAAGTATCACTAGGTTGAAACTAAATATCAAACTCTCAAAATAAAGAAAGAAAAACAATTTTTTTTCTTCTAGAAACTTTCCTTCCACCATTCCAAGAAAACTTTTCATCTAAACTAAATTTAAAAACAATTAAGTTTTATAATTTTTATAAGTACCTTCTGTTTCTTCAGCTGAACATTCTATGAACGGATTTTTTATTATATTTTTATAATTTGTTGGTGTTAATTTTTGGAATGTAATTTTATGGTTTTTTTGGCGGATAATTTGACCGACGTCAACATTCATATTTATGGTCGAATTGAGTTTTAATTATTATGTTATGATCGAAAGTTACAGATGATTGCAAGTTTTTTTTTTGTTTATCAAAATTAATTGTTTAGAAGATAGAAAGCATGCAAAAAAGAAATTTATAAAAATGCAACACATTAACATCTTGATCAAAAATATTATAGTCAATCAATAGATTTCTTTATGGTTATTAATGTTTTAAATATGATAAATCGAATAATGTTTGTTTTGGTTTTGAAAGCTTTAAAATTTTCGACTTATGTAAATGTCGAAGTTCAATTATAAAGCTATCAATATTTTATAAGGAGCTGACGGGATGGTTGAGGGAATTTGAATAAGTTTATGTAAGTGGAATCATTGTTGCGGAATAATTAAATAGACATTAAAACGAAAAGATTATTTGGCAGTATGAAAATAAATTTAGCTTAAAGTCACAATTAAGAAACAAAAATCAAGAGAAAAAAAAGACTTTTTAATTATTTCATAATTTTGGAACTCACAGATGTAAAAATCAAAATTGTATTTACAGAACAAATAAGCGAATACTTTAATTGATCATCAAACAAAAGCATCAGCTCTTGAAAGATGCTTTCATTTGCTACTTAAGAAAAAGAAAAAGAAGGAAAGAAAAAGGCGAAGAAAACGACTTAAAAATCTTTTGAAAATATTTTTTTTCTTGCATTCTTGAGTGAAAGAAAAACAAAAAAGTTCATTATAGCCGTTTGAAGTTAAGGGACGGGATGAAATGTGGGTTCAATATAGAAAGAGAGAAAAAGAGATAGAAAAATTCAAAAAGATGAATGAATGAACGGAAGCAGATGTGATGAAACGAAAAAGAAATTAAAATTTCATGAGCCCAAAAACGAAAAGAATCATAAAATAAAGAAAATGGAGAACTTTTTTATCTTCGGGACATGAGAAGAAAGAAAGTGAAGTGAACAATGAGCTAGCGAATAGAAGTGAAGAAATGGTTAGGAGCAGGAGGATAGGAAGGAAGGTGGATTATGAAATACTGCGTTTTGTACCTGTAACTCATCCCATGGTATCGCTGAACACTGTTGATTGATGAAAAAGAATAAAGGAAGAAAGTTTAAAATAAAGCTTTGATTTTCAAGTTGAAATGTTTTAGGACGAGTCATGGAACTTTTGATCTAGTACAAATGTCTATAAAGTTTAAATTCTAGTACTACAAGTTCCAAGTATGATAAATTTGAAAAATATAAATTGATAAAAAGAAGAAAGGATAAGAAAATACCTCTTCTAATGACACAGCTGCGACTTGAACACGAGCGACCGATGATGATCCGATGTTGTGTCGTATTAATTCAACAGTTGTCAACCTGGTTTAAAAGTCAGCTTTAAATATTAAAGAAACATTTCGACATTAAATGTCATTTTCTCACCTAAAAGTTACCATCGAAACCAAATCTCTTCGTCTTAAACTACTGGCATCAGACGGTTCCGAAGGTGACGACATGTTTGTTAAAAATGGATCCTCACAAACCTCTGAAGCAACTTCAACAGGTGCAAGTTTATTGTTAACATCAGAACTGAATGGATTGAGTTTAAACATGAAATCATTACAATCTGTTGTCGCTTTGTCACTGTCAGCAAGTACAGTGAATAGTTCAGAATCGTCTGAATAATCAGATTGAATAGAAATCGAATCACTTATATCATCAAATGATGTATTTGTTTTTAATGCTGTGTCAATTGATGTCATAAAGTTTGAAAATCCTTTTTTCATTTGACTAAGACCAGTATTAAGTTCTTTTGGAATGATGCTGTTATCAATCGACGTTCGGCTTTTATTCTTCAATGTTGAAGTAGACGATGAGGATGACGACGAAGCATTATTTTGAACAGCAGTTGTCGTTTGAACTTCATTTTCTTTTGGAATGTTAAACTTTATATTTGATTTTGTTTCGATTGGATAATCGAATTTCTCTTGTTTTACTGGTGACGGCGATTCCATAGAACTAAATGGATTCATTCGATTTCCGCCATCAAGTGAGAAACTTCCTTGTTGCCATCCACTATTCGTCGTATGAAGATCATCACCTAAGCTCGCTGAATCAGGAAGAACACTTTCACCATCACCTCCACTTGATTCCTTTCCTGGTGTTTGACTCGGCATAATTAACGTCACTTCCACTTGTGGAATAACACAACCAATAATCACCGATTGATTTGCATTCTTCTCTTGCATAATTCGTTTACTATCCATCGACAAGAATGTTGTTAACTCGTTTACCTCTTCAGCTAATCGCATGAGAAAGAGGAATTGATAATGATCTAATTGTATGCTTACTAAATTTCCAAAATGAGCTATGACATGCAAGTCAGCTGATTTTTCATCCACATTCATGTCACTTGTTGATTTCTCATTGACGCCACTTGTTGCTTCATACATCGTCTCATGGTTATTAACATTTTCATTCGTTCCTTTTGAATAAACAACCGAATCGAGACTGTTGAACATAAATGTTCCACCATTGTGCGTCTCTTTTGTGAGTGACGACACTGATAAAATCATTTCATCAACTTTTGTTGATTCCATTGACGCTTTTGGTGGTGGTTTTAATCTTTCTTCCATTTTAACTGCAATGTTATCATCGATTTGTGATTTACCATGAATCCAAAGTGTAATTGGAACTGCATCGATAAACGGAATTGATCGATTTACACCAATAGAACGAGCGCCAAAGAAATCAATCCAAACTGGATCAATCTTAATGCACCAAACGTCTCTTGTGTCATTCCACAAAGCATAACGTGACATTTGATTCAACGATGGAATTGGTGAATTTGGTTGTGTTGTTGATACATCAGTGGCAGCAATATGCGAAAGAATTCTATCAGTAACAATCGAAAGATCGTCAGATTTTGATGGAAATCCTGACGAGAACACGAGAGTTCCTTCTTGAAGTGAATGAATTGCTTGTGCAAGATCAGCTCGCGATGCTCCCATTTCTCTTATATTTGTTACAGCAAATCTTGACACTTGTATTTGCATATTTTTTGGGCGATCCTTTTGCATTGCTGAAACATCACGTGATGATTCAAATATCAGTCTTGGCATGATGGCTTCGAGTTTAACGTCCATGTACATCAACGATGGTTCAACTGAATTTGTTGTTGGTGAATTCATATTATCTGCAACGTTTGTTGTCATTAATGACTCATGTAGACCCAAGCCAAACGATGCAAACCAGAGACAACTATCAACATCGAAATTCACTTGAATTGGGTTTAGATAAACGAAACACTTTGTCGGTGGCACTGAAACAGACAAAAACAGTTTAAATAAAATAAATAAGAGCAGGTTTATTACTTACATGGAAACACAAAGTCTCCTGGATAGTAAAAGTATGTAAACTCGGCATGAACTGTTGGCATTTCCGGAGGAAATGAAAATCTTTCTTTATCACCTAAGAAAATGAAGAAAGACAGTGAATGTCAAACTGTTTCTTATTTATATCACAAGATGTTTGATAACCATTGGTGTAATGATAAATTAAAAAAAAATTTCTATGAAAAGATGAAAGTTTCACCTGATCGACTTTTCTTTTTCCTTTGAGCTGTTCGAAAATGTTTTGTAAAGCAATTTAAGAAGAAAGGAAGTTTTTGAGTTTTTCTTTTCTTAGTTAAAATCTCAAAGCGTTTTTAAGTTTTTGGGAGAAAAACTTCGATTGGGTTGGAAAAATTGCAAAACGAAAGCGAAATGAAAAGAACTCTCGAGACATTGCAATTTTTCAACCCAATTTCAAATGAAACATACCTGAGACAAATTCTTTTGGCATTTGCTTCTTTCCTGATGTTGTAACACGATATAATGTGAAATCTTCTATTCTTAATATGACACAACTTGTCATAAGCTTCGAAAAATTGTCCAACACATGCTTTTTCATTGGTGAAGACATTTGAGCTTGAGTGGGTGTTGAAGCACCTGACTGATGACCATTTAATGGGTTTGGTGTTCGCTCAAGTGGAGCATGAGTTGGTGGACGATTTGGATTGCTCAACGTCAAAAGTGATTCTTTAAAATTGTTCAAAGATTGTTCTAGCCACATTGCAGGTGGAACACTCACTTCCTTATATTTTGGCCAATGCGCTCGATTTGCTTTCGCAAGATGATAAGGATAATAATCAATTTGAAAGCCATGAATTGATATCTGAAGCGCTCCACCATCTTTCAAGTCAGGATGTAATGATCGACCAGTTCCAGCATCATCACATAAATGTAAATCGATCCTTTGACTAAAGAAGTGATAAGAAGTCTCACGAACATCAAATACACTGAACATTTTCTGTGCTTGGGTCATGATTGTCGCGTTCTCAGAAGGACGGGCTGATGATTGATCAAGATACGATTGATATTCTGGAAGTGTTTCAAGTTTCTTTTGTGCTTTTTTCCTTTGAATTGTTTTATTTGATTCTTGTATAAGTCCCGCTAAAGAGTCAACGAAATGAAGTGCTGCTTTCAATTGGGAATCAGTCAACACCCACAATAAGTCATCAAGAATTAATAAAAGTCGAGATGAAAGCACACTACAATCTGATAATTTCTTTTTTATAGTGATTCGACACTTTGCCTGATTAGTTAACAGTCTTAATGGCGTTAAATTTTTATCTTGCGTTGAACTTGCTTCAATTCTTACAGTTTGCCACGAAAGTTCCTTAAAAATAAGAATCAGACCACGTATTGGATCTTTCAGTCTCGTGAAACGAAGCTCTGCAGCTAACCACTTTGGTGTACGTGACTCAACACGGATTCTTGACATCTATGAATGAATTAATTTTATAAGAAAAAAAATTCTATTGAACTTTGATTAATTACCTGAACTGAAGCAGTAAACGCTGGACTTTTGAAGTTGACATTTACAGTATTCACAAGAATTGTGATGCCATCAATAACTTTATGTATAAAGCTATATTTGCCCATGGGAACACTGAGTGATTGGATTCCACTGCCAGCAGTTGGTGTCCCCGATCTAGCAATTTCACATGTCTCTACAGAAATATTCACTTCATCCAACGATAATGTGATTGGAACACTTTTAAGTTTAGCCCATGAAATTCTAAAGGAAATATGATTGCACCATGCGGATGTTAGACGAAGCCATGATGGCAGCTCGAGTAATTCTGTCAAAACATTTTCATCTAACTGTAGATTCGTTAATTCACCTTCACCCTTAAAGGTCGATATATTTATCTTATCACTCGAAAGATTTTTTGTATACCTAAATAAACACAAATGTCATGATTAATTATGAATGATTCAAAATCTCCTAAAATAAAAACAAAAACATGAATCCATCAGTTGAATTGTCAAGATTCAAAAGGACAGCTAAACCAGTCAAGCGTGTGAAAAGAAAAACAGAAACCACCGAGAAAAGCTTAATATCATTGAAGAGTAAGCATGACTGGGGGTGGTGTGGGTGAAAACACAACAGGGTAGTACTTTCTTTCTTTTTATCGATCCACTTTCATAAAACAACGAAGGAATTTTTCACTAAGAATTTAATTAAATCAAGTTAATTATTTTGTCAAGGCATTGTTATCTCTTCACGGTTATCGCGCTGTAATTGCAAGAGACTTAAACAACTGATAAGAAGCTTAGAATAGAAACGTTTGAAGAATTCTTTGACTGAGATTATGAATCAGAAGGAAAAAAATCAATACACGCAGTTTTGGAACTTTATGAAAATAAAGACAATGAACTGAGTGAAAGGTGAAGAAAGTCATGAGAACTAAAGTTAAATATTATTCACACATCTCAATGACAAATTTTCTACAAACTTTAAATTTGTTATTTAAAGAAATCACTAAATATAAACAAAGAAGCAAAGGTGCAAGATGGTAAGAAAACTTTTGAATTTTTTTCACTTCAACAGTCACAATTAATTGATGATTCTTATTATTCACCTAGATAAATGTTTTAGTAATTGGTTTTTTATAATTGAAACCATTATAACTATAATTAACTACACAAAATATTTAAAAACAAAAACTTTTGTTGACGACGACTTTTAATTTTTTCTTATTCTAGTCGGTCGATTTCGTCAGTTAAGTCACACACATTTTTTCTTCATATATGAACATTTGAACTCTTGTCGCATTCGTAACGGTTCAAAACTTATGATTTGAAAACCAGAATGTCGTTAAAACTTAAATGCAGAAATTTGTTTTCTTTGTCGTTGGATGAAATAATTTTATTTATTATTATCAAAGTAAAATGGCAAATTGATGAAAATTACATTAATCGTTACATGTTGTATCTTCGCCGCCTTCATTTGTAAGTAAATACACTGAATCCAAATGTACTTTCGAAAGAAAATGCAATTCTAGTTCAAATTTATCATTGTATACGCATTTGCATAAAGGACAGATGAAAGTCTCTGTGCCGTATTTAGTTCCACCTTGCGAGGATCTATTTGAAAAATAAAGAAATTATCTTAATAATTCATTTAAATTAAAAGAATGAAAAAAATAAACTTACATTTTCAAATTTTGTTCAACTTTTTTTAAGTTTTCTGAAAGGCGAGCAATCGTTTCTTGATTTTTTGAAGATAGAAGTGGCATTTTAATGAGATGATAAGTTCCACCGTCAATGAAAGGCTCTTCAAATGTTTTTTGCTCATCATCAGGATAATTACACCACTTTTCAGTCGACGAAACGTATGAAGTTGGCAACAGCAAACGTTTCTTACCAAGAATATTAAAAAGTTCATCTTTAATCTTCTGCATCAATTCTGCTTTTTGTTCATCTTCCAATGAAGGAATGTCTTCAGTCGGTTGTGTCATTAACAAATACGACATGAGAAATCGTAAACGATTGACAGCAATGAAATCTTCTTCGGTCAATAAAATATTAACAGGCAAAACTGTGTCATGTTGTGAAAAGAATGGAGCACAATTCATGTTGTGGAATCCTAAGCCAAATTTTATATACTCGAATCGTGTTCGATCTTTATTGTATCCAAAAGTAACTTCAGGTGAAAACATCATTGCGAGCAGCACTGGTAAACCTTTAATGTCAGGCATCAAAGAAGTTTCATGTATAACAATTCCATTTCGATTTTTTGTCATATTTGCAGCTACCAATAAACGGCCATGACGACTTCCAGGGTCACTGATTAAAATAACAGAATTTACTGACAATGGATCAACAATAACTTCTGTGCATCTTGATTGATGAAGAACAGGGGAAAGTTTCGTTTCCAATGGAGATAAAGGACCTTGCAAGAATATTTTCTTATCACATTGAACCATTGGAGGTGGCGAACAGTAACGAACGATAAGTTTGTTAATCTTTCCAGCAAATTCAACATCAGCTCCATATTTTGACACTGATTTTTGATTTTTCTTACGAATTGCATGATCAATTTTACTTGGATAACTTTCATCACATTCGTGTGCGAAATTTTCATGAACCAAGGCTTCATTGACAGCGTAAAACGTTTCAATTTGTTCGAAGTGTCTTGTCACTAACTCAACTGAAGCAATATCTTCAACAACTGAATAAACTTTAGCGTAACATTCCTTTCCCAAAGCTAACTTTTTGAAGAAATTTATTGCTTCAATTGTCCACTTTCCTCGTGGACATTTCAAATGCGATGGTTCGATTCCACTTAAAGTTGCTTCAAAACATCGCTCAGGATAATCAAAAATATCGGAAAATTCTTCTGTGATGTTATAAAGTTTCGAGATTTCTATATTTGCTGTTATTCCGTAATCAAACATAAAGCATTCTGCAATTTTAATGTCCTTTGAGATGTTCATAACTTTGGCACGTTTAAAAATGTTTTCATGATGAGCAATCAAAATTTGATGAAGTTCAACGTTTTGAATGTGACAAATTGAATCCTCGCAAATGTTTTCAAGTTTTTTTAATATTTCATCATCAATTGGTTGTAAGAAAAACTTTCCACAATGTTCAATGTGACTGACAACAACCCACGAACCTTCAACGCATGTTAATGGCAACACGCAATGTTTCGGATGTTTAATTAAATTTTTAATGTCACCAGGGTCGTCTGTGATGAGAATGTCGTTGTCTTTGGCATATTTAAGAGTTGAAAATGAATCCATAACGTTAATATGGAAGCTTCCTGATAAACGTCGAAATAAAACAGCTTTATAAACTTCAGCAGAAATATTTCCAGCAACAAATGATTTTCTTTCTTCGTTCTTACTATCAATCATGTCGTTGGAAAATTCCACGAAAACTTTCGACGATCCTCGATCGAATTTAACTTTTATTTCACTGTTTTTCGTTGCAATTCCACATTCGATTAACTTCTGCTTGAAAATTGCTTCGTAAACTTCACCAACAAAATTCTTCTCCATTTTCTTGAAATAAATTGTTTTCTTCGGATCTGATCCACCAAGTTCTTTGTAAATCTTCTTCTCTGTCTCTTCAAAAACTTCACCAGCTATGAAATAATTTGGAATAAAAGCAGCAGCAAAGCAGATCTTCAACACAAATGGTTTTTCATTTTCTGTCCATGTCACTGAATCACTTCCAGTCATTTTAACCATTTTCAATTCTTCTAAACGTCTTGAAATTTCTCTCACTAATCGTCGCATTTCGTGAAGATTCTTTCGTTCAAGATGAAACTGTTCACACCAATTTTCTTCAATTTTGTAGTCAGTAAAATGTCCTTGTTCGGTTTTATGTTGCCATAATTTATAAGCATTAATAATTGCAATGATGTCACTTTCTGATTGATCAGCCCAAGTCAATTTATGAGAATAATCGTCGAGTTTATTTATGAAGCTAGTTCGAAAGATTTTGCCAATGTTGAGACCAGCTCCAATGATGATTGCTTCATCCAAAACTGAGTACAAATAACCAACGATAATGAATTTTGTGATGCGAGCATCTAATGGAAGATTTGCCATGATTCTTCCGACATAAGTTAACTTTCCATCTTCAGAATGGAATTTGAAATTTGAGTCAACTCTTTCTAAGCCACCAAGCTCTTTAAGGACTTTAACAGCGTTGATGACGTTCTCTTGCAGTGGCGGAGTCAAAGCTCTCGAGAGCATTTTCAGTGGCGGTTCAAAATCCAAAAGTTTAATACGAAGAATGACATTTTCAAGTGGATTTGTTTTCATTTGTGGTTTTGGATATCTCGAAAGAGTTTGATAAAATTTTTGTTCGATTAAATGATAAACGACGCCATCACAAACTCTTCCAGTTCGACCCGAACGTTGGTGAAGACATGATCTGGCAGCCCATTCCATTGTTAATGATGCCATTATCGAACCTTCTTTGATTGCCAGAATTTTGCTCAAACAGAAATCGATGACGCAATCAACTTCCGGTCCAGTGATTGTGACGGAACTTTCAGCAATGTTTGTACTCAGAATAATTTTAGGTTTATTTGCTGGCTTAAATGCTAAACGTTGATTTTCAGCTGAAAGACTTGAGTGAAGAAAGCAAATGAGACAAGAATCTGCTACTTCCTGTTCGTTTGTAAGAATGGCATATAATTGATTGATTTCATGAATTCCAGGTAGAAAAACCAAAATAGACTTCTTGCTTTCACTCAGCCTTTTAATAACTATATTTTTTGCTAATTCATAAGTCTTCAACGTAATTCCCGGTTCATCATAATCAATATAAGCGTAATCTTCAAGCTTTAAGTCATCCAAAAAAAATGTTTTAATCTTAAACGGCCGTGGAGTTTTAAGTTGAATTAATTCTGGTTTTAAAATTCCTTCATCCAAATTAAATGTGAAATACTCAAAGAAAATATTTACTTCCACTGTTGCTGACATTAAGATGATTCTTGTATCAGCTGAATTAGCAAGAAGCAAATCACGGACAATTATTAATAAGAAATCCATGTCGATCTGTGAANGAAATTGTTTTAATCAGGGGTCGGAAGCTTAACGATTTTTCGCAAAAAGCTTCCAAGCTTCCGCTTCGGCTTCTCAAAATTCTGAAAAAGCTTCCAAGCTTCCGCTTCGGCTTCCCAAAATTCTGAAAAAGCTTCCAAGCTTCCGCTTCGGCTTCTCAAAAAGTTGAGCTTCTTTAAGCTTCCAGCTTCCGCTACCGCTTCGGCTTCCGACCCCTGCTCTCAATTTAAACATTTAATTAAAACAGAGTGAATATTCTTTAAATATGAAAGAATTTCTGTATTTAATACAACTTTTAACCGGAAAACAAAATGCGACCAAGCAATTGTCTGAAAATAACGAATTGCAAGGAATTCGTTTCGCTCTGAAACTTGCTGTAAATGGTCCACTAAACCATCTTAATGAACATTCCAAGACCACTTTAATCGAAGCCTATCAAAAGCTGAGTGATTTCTTGTCAGGCCAGAGAGTAACAACATCAAAAGGAGCGATTGCCATAACAGACCATCCTGAAGCTGCAGATTGGACAAAACTTCGATTAGCTGAAAAACTTATTGTAAGTTTCTTCCTTTTATTTATGATTAAATAACTTCCATTTGAAATGTGATTTCTTTCCGCAGGATAATTATGAAAAAAACCCATCAAGTTACATTGCAGCTTTAACAGTTGCTTTATGGCAAAAGTTTCCTGATCTCGGTGAAATCTTCATCATAATTTCCAGTGATTGTGCCGGAACTTTCAGCAATGTTTGTACTCAGAATAATTTTAGGTTTATTTGCTGGCTTAAATGCTAAACGTTGATTTTCAGCTGAAAGATTTGAGTGAAGAAAGCAAATGAGACAAGAATCTGCTACTTCCTGTTTGTTTTTAAGAATGGCATATAATTGATTGATTTCATGAATTCCAGGTAGAAAAACCAAAATAGACTTCTTGCTTTCACTCAGCCTTTTAATAACTATATTTTTTGCTAATTCATAAGTCTTCAACGTAATTCCCGGTTCATCATAATCAATATAAGCGTAATCTTCAAGCTTTAAGTCATCCAAAAAAAATGTTTTAATCTTAAACGGCCGTGGAGTTTTAAGTTGAATTAATTCTGGTTTTAAAATTCCTTCATCCAAATTAAATGTGAAATACTCAAAGAAAATATTTACTTCCACTGTTGCTGACATTAAGATGATTCTTGTATCAGCTGAATTAGCAAGAAGCAAATCACGGACAATTATTAATAAGAAATCCATGTCGATCTGTGAAAAGTTTAAATATTTTAATAAAAATAATTAATTTTAATTCCTTCTTATCTTACATCACGATCATGAATTTCATCAAGTATTATATGAGAGTATTTGTTCATTTCTCTCTCCTGGACAAGCTTTTGAACAATAATGCCAGTTGTACAAAATAAAAGTTTTGTTTCCATATTTTCTTCGTCAGTTTTTTTCGATAAACCAACCTGATAGCCAACCAGTTTTCCCAATTCAACATCTCTTTCGACAGCAACTCGGTTGGCAACAGTAATTGCAGCAATTTTTTTTGGTTGACTTATGAGAATGTTGCAATAAACTCCTCGTTGCTGACAGTCATCATAAATAAATTGAGGGACTTGCGTTGTCTATGATATGATTTAATGAAATAAATGTAAATATACTATTCTAAATAATTACCTTTCCACTTCCAGTTGGTGCTGTTATAATAGTCACAGGTGCTTTGCTGATTTTGTCGATAATTTCTGCCCGATATTTTAATATTTCCAATTCGTTTGTTTTTGATTCATTTGTGAGATTAGGTTTTTCTTGTTTTTTCGCGCTTTCTCCTCCAATGCTTACAAATGAATCAAAACATGAAAAATCACTTCTTTTACCGTCAGTCATGATGCATTTATAATCAGTTATCTAGTTTTTCGTTGTTTTCCTTTATAAAATTAAATATTATCAGAAAGAGTTGATGTTGCTTGAAAAATCTACAACTTTATGGGAAGAAAGCTTTTGGTCTACCCAAGTAGATCTTAGAAAGAACTCGCGGGGTAAGTCAAAACTTTTCAAATTTAACGGATTTCATTAACCATAATTTTATTAAAAATTATTTTTAGTCAATAATGTATTCTAGCTTCAACAAAAATAAACGACAATACAAAAATAAAGAATAAAAGAAAGTCAATGCTTTTAAATAAAATATTTTATTCTCATTATCCAATGTTATTTCAGGTGATTATGAAATGCAGTTTTTAATATTATGTGGACTACAACAATTTGCTTTCTTATGTTTCTTAAACAAATTAAACAATCAAACAATCATTTATTTTTAAAAGTATCTAAGTAATTTAAAATGGCCTTAATTTTAATACACAACATTCGAACAAATATTTTGTTTGATTTAATTTAATCGCTCGTTGACAGTTTTAAAAGCAATATATGATGGATTAGCAATTGCTTTGCTAGGATTATTAGAGGGAACATTTACGTAATTATCACTAGAATTAAAAACATTTTTATATTCAGGTTGATCTGGCTCATCCAACTCTTTCTTGTTTGAAAAGCTCATCTCTGTATACGCATTTGAATTTTGAAGCTCTTCATCTGAATCCGCATGAACTAATGCACCATTTTCACCCCTCTTCAACATGGGAATCTCTTCCGGAAGTTCTGATTTCTTATTCGGATGTTTTGCTCTATTCTTAGGACTAGTATCAAGATTCTTAGTGATTGTGGGTGAATCTGGTCGAACATAATCTGAGTTGTGACCAGCGCCTGAATTATAACGAACAGTTCCACTTTTGGGACTCATTGACAAATAGTCAGACATGGAACTATTCTTAACATCAGTTGTACTGTTTACATAAAAGATTTCTTCTTCTGCAAGTGGTGGCTTTGGTGCTTCTGAGGTAGGACACGATAGTTGAGTTAAGTAGTCCGGTCGACCCGTCTGATAATTGTTAACATTAGCAGTCATATACGGTTCATTGAGATCAAGGTAATGCTGGAATTAAAAGTAAATTAAAAAGATATTTTATTTAAATAACTTTGTAAAGAAAATCTTACATCTTTGACACTATCGTGAAGGAAGAATCCAAGCCTTTTTTCTAGTTCATTGAATAATGGACGTGATTCTGGTTTTGTATTCCAGCAATTGAGCATGATATCGTAAATGTCTTGATTAGCAAATGATGGCTTTTCCATTCGATATCCATCTCGAAGCTTATAATAAAGATTCTGATTGGCTTCCATTCCTGTATAAGGAACTTTTCCTAGCGAAAACAATTCCCAAAGAACAATTCCTGAATAGAAAATAAAAATCTTTATTATAAAAATTAACACATCAAAAAAACTTCTTTCTTACCAAAAGCCCAAACATCTGAATAAGTGCTAAACACATGATCCGATATTGATTCAAGAGCAAGCCATTTAAATGGCAAAGGAGCTTCGCCTTTCTTTTTGTAATTGTCATTTTTGTACATTGATCGTGCGAGACCAAAGTCACAAATTTTCACAATATTATCATCAGCGAGTAGGATATTTCTTGCAGCTAAATCGCCATGAAGAACTTTCCTCGATGATAAATAATCCATACCACGAGCCACTTGAAATGCCCAACAGACTAAATCACTTGTACAAACAGAACGTGCTGGTCCCTTGTAGTCCATTCCATAATTTGATCGCCAAAGTGGCTGATCAGAGTTGTTTGACAACATTGCAACATCTTCACCTTTTTAAAGACATCAATTAGCAAGTTAAGTCAAATATAAATGAATATATTCATCAACTACTTACTTTGTCCCGTTGATGACACCATCGTGGCTTCAGTGTTGCAACTGTCAATTTGCGCGTTTTGGAAACCTGAATGTCTGACATAGCCTTGAGAATTTAAATGCGCCCCGGGATTGACAGCACCCATTGGGCCACCACCTGGCTGAACCGTATAAGGGTTTCCATCGCTACAGTTAATGTAATGATTTTGGTCAACATTAATGTATTTATGATTCTTTGGCTGTACTTTATCATTAGCAAAAGTCACACGAATGTACTTCAAACCTTGACTACGTTTCAACCACCATGACCATTAGTTGATGTTGACAAAACAATGAATTTGCAGTTATTTATTTCCAAACCAAATAGCCATCACCACATCGTTTAATTTTTTTGTCATTATAGGAGAGTAAGCGGAAAAAAGTTTTCAAGAAACAAGTGCAGTGTTTGTTTTTAAATTATTTTTGTTAGAAGAAGAGAAAAGAATAAAAAAAATCATGTGATTAGTTGTTAAATTATTTAAGTAGCTACAGCACTAAATAAAAAGATCAAGCATGACAAAATATGTTAAGAAGAAAAAGCTTTCAAAGGTTCCATACATAATGAACAGACTTTAGCTTAATAATAAAAAAGTTTCTAGAAAGCTGTCATATGGAAAATTTGAGTTTCGCCATTTAAAAAGTTAAAGCAGTAAAATTCCTTTTTTAAACTCTTCCGTCCCTTGCTTCAACTATCACCATGCATCGTCAAACGAAGCCAAAAACATAAAACATTAAAATAAAACTCTTTTTATCATCCAATTAAATCATAAATTTAAAATAAAGCTAAATGAAGATGTCAAGCATAAGTCTACTCATGTTCAGTTTTGAAACGTGAGATTTTTAGCAATATGAACATGCAGGATAATAAATAATTTATTTGAGTCATAAAACATCTTCACATACCTGTTGTAGGTGTTGAAAGCGCTGTTCTTCGACCATCTAAAGTCGTTCTTCATTATCATTGGATCGATTTTTTCGTTTCGAATTTGATCGACAAAATAAGGCCGATGCTTGACCAGGAAAGTTTGAAGATTCCCAAACTGACAATATTCGACGATGACCATTAATTCACGTTTTGCTATGTTCTTCGTAACTGCACCAAGTAAATTAACAACATTAAGATGTTGTCCCAAGTGAATCATTATCTTCAACTCGGATACTAAAGCTTTCATGACTTCGTTGTCGGTTTGTTTCTTCACCATCTTAACTGCTACAGTTGATTCTTCTTCATATGGGACAATTCCTTGTGCGATGGCTTTTACAACAACACCAAAAGCTCCTGCACCGAGTTGCTTGCCTAATTTTAATTTTTCTCTCGGAAATTCTACGTCTTTGTTGTAAGGTAACAAATCGGCTTGTTCATCCAAGTTCATTTCAGGATCGATACTTTCAATGTTTCCTTCTTCAAAGTTCGCTAAACCAGCTGCCTTTAATTCAGCAATTAATCTTCTCTCACGACGAACTCGAGCGCAAAGATAAATCGATAAAATGATTAAAATTAATATGACGCTAATAATTCCAATGACGATGCCTTTACTAAGATTTGCAACTGGAGCTGTAGGAAAAAAAAAAGTTAAATTGACACGTCATTTTAATTTAATGATATTATTCACTCACTAGGAATTTCTAATGCGACTGTTTTAATGTCTGATCCGACACGATTCCAGGCGACACATTTATATGTTCCAACATCTTCCAACTTGAGAACAGAAAATGTGATGCTTGAGTTTGCATTGTCAATCATTATGCGCTGTAAGCTTTTATCATCAGAAGCAATTTCATTGACTGTGAAAACTTCATCGTTCTTGTACCATAAAAGATTTGGCACAGGCAAACCTGATACAAGACAATCTAATTTCAAAGATGATCCGAGTGTTTGTTGAAGTGTTGACTGATTGAAATTTGAAGTAATAACAGGAGCTTCTGTGTTGTGAACAGCGATAGCAGCTTGTAGCGTATCCGAATGTTCTTCAGATCCTTTCACCAACGCTTCACACACATAAACGCCTTCATCTTCCTTCGCTATGTGTCTGAATGTGATTGTCTTTCTCCATGAGAATCTCGTATTCGTTTCTTCAACAATGAAACCTTTCAAATTCTCGATTAATTCACCGTCTTTTCTCCATATTATGTTGCTCGAGTAATTGTAAATTATTGCGCCACATTCGAGTTTAATTAAATCACCAATGGCAATTTTCTGATCTTCATTTAATCCAGAAATCATGAAAGGTTTTGGTAAATCTCCAAGCTTCACCTGACCAGATGCATTGTCAGATCCAAGACGATTTCTAGCTTTACATCGAACTGAACCAGGTTGTGATGGTGTAAATTTAATTTCTGATACTTGAGCAATCTCTGATGATTGTTGACTGTCAATTTTTTCATCATGGTCTGGTTCCTTGTGCTGTGAATATTTCAATATAAAATTATTAAGAAAATTCTTTATAACTTAAATTACACCGAAAAATGTTAGAGACAAAGCTTTCTAAGCGAATTTATGTATTGTTAGTAATACTAACCGGTTCCAAATCCAACTCTACATCTTCAATCTGATATTTTTCGATTATTTGCTAAAGTCCAAAAACCAACCAAAATTAGTTTTCATTTATTTAGTAACACCATGCAAAAGCTGAAAGATTTCGTGATGTATCAACTTACGTGTTTGTTTTTTTCTTTCCTGCAACTTGGCCATAAAGATAAATCTTGACATGGTTGGAATGACCATGTGATTTCAGCTTCTGGATGTGCTAAAACTTTGCAGATCATGTGAACTTCTTCACCAGCCATTACATAAACATCATCCATACTAACAGTTGGTTTATCTAATTAAAAGAAATTAAAGAATTATTTTCTAAAGAACAAGCTTTGAAGTCAACTTACCAGAAACGACAAGCTTAAGTGAAGTTGTGAAATTTCTTCCAACTGTTGTTGCAACTAATGAATAATTTCCATAATCATTTAAGTCAGGGAATTTAACTTTAAATTTATATTGATCAGTTCTTATATCGACGTCATATTTGTTTCTATTCATCACATCCATATCGCTTGATATTTGTTCATTATTTGGATCGTATAAGTAAAATGTCGCTGAAGGAAATGCAGTATATTCAATTAGAAATTGAACTTGCTTCTTTCCTTTCTCAACTTTTATTATGGGATTTGTTGGATGAAGTTCTATGACTGGTTCTGTTACAAACGTCATTGTTGCTATTCCAGTATTTGTATTGTTGTGATAATCCATCACGGTACATTTATAATCGCCTTCATCTCGATCTTTCACACTCTGTCGAACAGTTAAGTTCAAATGTGATTTCTGTCGATTGGTTGGCTCATGTTGAAGTTCAGACACCGAGAGATAATCATTCGAAGTTAGAACATGATCATTGTGATAGAAAACAGCAGTGTAAGGAATGCTACCCTGAAGTTCAACATGACAAGTCAACTGAAAGTCATTTCCTTCGGTAGCGAAGAACTTTGAATCGCTTGTTATTTTCGGAGTTGGAAGGTAGCTTGTCAACGCTGTAAATTATAATTTTATTAAATTATCATGATAAGTACAAATTTATTTATTAAAGAACAAAAAGTTAAAACAAACTTCATGCCACTTTACAACATGCACGAACTTATATTGAAGAATAATTTAGTTAGTGTCCACATTTATTGTACATTAATGAATGACAGGAAGAAACTTTTAAGCATTGTTAATTAAGTGTGATGTGCACAAGGATGTAAGCAAAATAAATATAAATATAAGATGGTGTAACTGTATACCGCATGTTTACTCAATAACTAAGTTGATTTATGAGTAAGTTTAACTAGGAAGTATCTACATAAAACACAAAAGGATTAAGGAAAGAAACTTATAAATGTTCATTATTACACAAACGACAAAACAAATATCTAAAACCAAAGACAAAAAGTTGCAACAGAAAATTCTTGAATAAAGTTTACCTGTGCTTCGTTCAACTAAAAATTGTGTTCAAATGGAAGATTGAAACAGAAGAAAACTAAAATTAATTTGATTTTTGATTGAAAAGTTTGTACAAATAAGTTTAACCAAAGCTCAAACCAAAGAATCACAAAAAGAAAATGAAACAAAAAAAGAACTTTTAATGAAAATGTTATGAAATATTAAAAACATTAAAGTTATGTACTACAAAGAAGCTTTGAAAATCTATCTAATCAATAGAAAAGCTTTGAAGAAGTGGAAGAAATAAGTTAAAGTTTGTTACACGTGCGACTTTTGACGTGATGTAATTTCAGTCCCAAACTTGATCTTTTTCTGTTTGTTTTAACTTTAATAAATTTCACTCCACTTCTATTTAACCCAAACAAAGATAATCTCATACAACAAATTAACATAAACTAAACAGCTCGAACGATAAAGCTTCATTCCGATGAATCCTTTACGAAGTTTTCCTTTCTTCGAAATGACCAATTAATTAAACGATTCGGTGACTTAATGATATGATGACACCACTGTAATTGGCTAAAGTGTCAGGAAAGGTGAAGTCATAAACAAACACCTAAATGAGCCATAAAATGTTGTGACTTGTGATAAATAAAAAAAGGAAAGAGTGAGTGAGAGAGAAAGAGACAAAAAGGAAAGAAAGAGAAGCACCCAAAATCACAATAGAAAAAGAAAAACCAACCACCAGCATTGGCAAACACACACCCTTGGATTTACGATTGATTAGTCCATCACCAGACAAAAATTTTTCGAGACGCTCCAAAAGCTCCAGTTGCACAAACTCCGGTGAAATGGAAGAAGTGGTAGTAGTTACATCAATAGTTGTGTTAATTGAAAATCTATTCTCGCTACTACAATTCTCATTCGACTCACAATTTTCGTTTACAATTACGTGGAATTGAATCAAATAATCATCTTGATCCACGACTCGACATTCGTAAAAGCCGCTGTCTTCAACGTGACCAAAACTTACGGTGAATCCTTTCTCGGGATCGTAGTCGCCTTCAATCTGTGCCTATTTATTTATTTTTTTCATGTGGGAGGAAGACGAAAGGAAAAAAAGGTCAGTTAAAGTTTAAGGAAAATTTACAAAAATTTCTTTTTCATCTCGAGTGGCTTCTAACAACTTTTTCATTGGATTATTTAGGACGTGCTGGAATTAAATTTCTTTTTTCAAGGATTTTGATTTTTTTCTCATTTAGTTTTGATAAATATCACTAATATTAAGCAGCAAATGGATACATATATGTTGATCAGAGCATAAATATGTGAATATACATGGGGGAAATAAATGTTCATATTTGATTAAATAATTCATGTAGCCAAGGAGAAAGTAAAATTATTGTGAAGGATTTTGGGGCAAGATTATATTTCTTATGCAACCAGAGTTGTTATTTGACGTATTGACATAATATGCCAGCTGCTGAATTCTTGTCTGATGACACAAACATTGTTGTGACAATAAATTGAAATGTTTCTGACATTGAGAGTTGACTTCAGTAAGTTGAAATAAAAAGTGAGAGACATTTAACAACCTTGCAAAAACTCTTTCTTAATCTCATTTTACGAAACATTGTATGCGGTGATTTTTCAGTGAAGTTGAATATGCAAGTACCTTCACTTTGTAAATACTTTTCTCACTTGACTAATTATAAATTTAAAGGACGGGAATTAAGCACTTTGTACACGTTATTAATCGGATTCAAATACTTTTAAATATGGTAGATTGATTATCGATAGATAATTTGAATAACAATCCATTTAAATCGAAATAAAACCTACGATCAACATCAAAAATGAAAAGATAATCCTGAGTTTTGTTGTGAAGTGTGAGTACGCACTGAACAATAGCGCCGCTGATAGTTTCTTCACTTAACAATTCAAATCCAATTGTTTCATTATAAGAAATTTCTTTTACCTCTCCGTCTTCTTTAATAAGTTCAACGCGAACTTTTGGTGATGTTGGCTTGCATGGAATAATAAATGGAACATATTGTTGTCCAATCACCATATTGTGTCCAGATTCGACGAGAAGATTGTCTGGATCTAAATATAAAAATTGCGTGTTAATTGGATATTTGAGATTCACTTCAAGTCTCCACTCCCCATCCACAAAAATATAAGTTGACGATGCTTTGAACTTTTCAACTTCGTTATCAAAGTTTGTCTCTGATTCATCTCTAATTGAATTATTATAGACGCAATAATATTTGCCAACATAGTCGGCTGTGATGGAGTTGAACTCTAAGTTTGATTTATAAGTATTCTTGGCTTCAGCTGACGTTGATCTGTCTACAAATGTGTTTATGTTCACATTGTCGTCGTTGTTTTGAAGGATCTAAAAATGTCGTATTAATCTTTCTGTCAAGCGGATTAGAAATTAATTTGTTGCCAAACCTCAGATATCCATACAACCGGCTTTTCTCCTCTACATTCGATTGTTTTATCTGCGCCGACTTCAATCGTTATGAAGGGATCAAATGGCTCAATTATAGGCGCTCCACGTTCCCCACGAAATGGATAATATGCTGAGGAACGTAACGAAATCATAAGTAAACATTTTATGATAAAGAAGTAAAAATGTGTAGCTTCAAGTGCCCCTTTCCGGATTTATACAATCACTTTCTTTATCGTATTGTCTGCTTTTGGATTTATGTAAATTTAATTTATTCTGTTGCGCTGCAGTTTTGATACATTTGTTCTTTTTAAAACAGAACTTCCGATAAGGAAAACGAAACGAAATTTATGTTAAAAATATTTTAAGTCGATAGCTTGAAGTTGCAACAAGACCGAAACTGGCTTTAAGAATTTGCAGAACACATGTTTTCAATTTGACATAATGGCATTGATATTGAATAAAAAACTGTTGCTTCAATTCAAGGTTTTATGGTAGTTAAAGGTCATTTCAATTTCATTTTGACTGTGATAAATTCACAGCATGTACTAAGCATCACTTTCTGATAAACATTTTAGATACAGATGGAATTTGTCAATATAGAAATTTAGTCAATTGAGTGTTTTCTATTGGATCGCTACATGGAGTGAAAATCGAAGCACTTTGTGGATTTTGTTCAAGTATCGTTATGAAAATTGAATCTCGTAATGAAATGAAATTTGGAATTACGTTGAATTCCTCAATAAATACATTTTGATGCATGATTTTGAATAATCAGCTTAATTTATTTTTCATTCATCGTGTGTTAGGCTTGACTCATCACCCATCAAATAAATTGTTCAAATCTCTAATTATGTCGTTAAGCAGTGTTTATTTATAATGAAGGCTTTGAAAATGTTTTACTACTCCAACAGATCGTCTTTCTCTGCTTGAAGAAATCTTTCTAACTAGGATAAATTGAAATCGTTTACTCACCATTCACATCACCTGCTAGCAACTGTAAGCCAATCCATATTTGTACAATGAAACATATCACAGAAACGTTCTTCATCGCTACAGATGTCCGCATTTAATTTCTCATATTTATTTTAAAACTGCAGCAACAACAACAAACTTCAACTGTTTGTTTATCACTCTTTTCATAATTGTGTGCTCACTCGTTGTTCAGAGGCTTAATTATTTTCAGTTTCACTAACACAATGTTGAAGAGCTGAAACAAAATTATCAATTTGTTTGTGTTTAATTTTATCAACAATGCATGTGCTGCGAATCGTTATTTACATTTCCCGCTACAATTAAGTCAATAGCACACTTTTAAGCCGGAAAAAGTGCGTCACTCCGAAGGCGGTGATTCAGTTTACTTTTGTTAAGTCAGTTATTGAATTCCGAAAGAATCTCACGTTTCTGTAAACAACAAGAAAATCCATTTCATTTCATGTCACTTCCTACACTCGCTTTTTTATTCATTCTTTGTAGCAACACTAGATTTTTCTATAACAATTCAAAGCATTTTCCATTTTCCAACGCGTAGTAAATATAAATAACGTATTGTTACAATATTGATTTATCTAAATTGATTCGCTGTAAAGAGCTAGAAATTTCACTTAAATTTCCGGACATTTTCCAGCACCGAATCAAGTTCTAAAAATGTACTGTTAATAACTCGCACATGTTTGATGTCTCATTCACACTAACAGTTGCTAAATAGTTTTCCTGATTTTTCCCAACACGAGAATTTCATTGAAATGTAAATATTTGATCATTAGAAGTTCTTCTTGATGTGTGTATAAGCGAATAATTATCATTGACTCATCACAAATCTTAATTCTTGAACTCTCTTAATCGATAATTGATTTGATTACACACAATTAATTCATCTTAATATTGATGATGATGCCTATTCATTAAAATGATTAATAATAATTTGTAATGTCACATAACTTAATTAAGCCATCACAAACAAGAAATTTAATAGATCGTTGTCGTTATTGTTATTGCTTCTTGTTTTTTAAAAGAAATTTAAACGTCGTTTACATAATCATAATAATGCTATTGACCGTGAGAGGCTTTCCTTTAACTTGAGCACTTAAAAACATTTCAATTTCTCGTAATGTCATTAGACACTTGAAGCTTTTGACGTTGAAATACTTTCACTTAAATTATTAGAAGTTTCACTTTTTAGCAAATTTTACGAAAATTGCTTGAGGTTTACTTCAAATGTAACGCTAAGTACCGTTGTCAATTAATACAAAGTTGATATTTTAAAATTTTCTTAATTAGGTGAGCGAGAAAACATAATTTTTGTCGATGGAAATCATGAAAGGTGAAATTTCAAACGTTTGGAATGGGAAACTGAGAAATTGTTATAAATAGCATGAAGCGCGTGTTCATCGTTTTAATAACAAGACATAGACAAGTAACATTCAGTGGCGCTATGTGATGGGTCATCGAATTATCGAAAATGTTTAAAAATAACATAAAACTTGATTTCCATTTCGATTTTCTTTTATGATTTTGATCGATGAATTTCTCTAATATTTCTTTCAATTTTCCTAGGTTTTCTTCGTTTCATATGGAAAAGAAATATGAAATTGAAATTGATTTTGAATAAAAGCACAAAAACACATTCGTTAAAATCATAACAAGCACGCAATATAATATTTGTTGTGGTCTCAATCTGACAGCGAAATTATTCATTACGAAAATTGATAATTAATTTATTAACGACGCAAATTGATGTTTGGCTTCACATATTATTGAGTCTATTAAACATTGGTAAATAAAAATCAGTAAACAACATTCATGAATAATCAATGATACGCTGACCTTTCTAACTCGTGACGAAATTTAATTAGACGTTTTTGTTTTCCATCAAAACACTTTTCACACGCAAAAAAATCTGATAAGAACGTTTGACATATAAAACGAATTTGTCTCGTGAGAGTGTCAATCAATGAAATGGTCTCAACGTATATACTTTACCACTCACTTTCATGCGATAATCATGGCAGGAGTTTACAAAGACTCTTCGGGGGTTGGTCTTTTATGCTTGCTAATTTTCTATGAGAAATCAAGTGAGAAATTGTGGGGATAAAGAAAAGGTCCATGATTACATCAAAAACATCAGCTGTTGTCTGGAACGTCGAGTCATACTAAAGGTAGTGAAAGCATTAATCTGCCTCTGCTTCAATTCTAAGTAAATAGCATGACGACAACACAAAAAAATTGCAAGGGCTATTCTAACATGTTTTATTAATTCAAATATGTCATGTGAGGTGTGTTAGGAGGTTTAAAGCTTTCAGCTTAAATATTCAAATCTCTTCCCGGAAAATTTATGTAATTTACTTAATGGGTCACGGAATGCATTTCCTCTGAAGATTTTATAGCTTTAATAATGAAAATCCTTGAAATGCTTGTTCAAGACAAGAAAATTATTCTTGGTAGGGGAAAAGCTATGTTGGAGGTCAATTGTAGTCAAAGCTTCTATTAAAGTCTTGTTATTACAATTATCGATTGTGTACTAAGGGAATTAAAAAGTTTTCTAAGAATAAACAACAGAAATGCTTTGAAACCGTAAAAGAAAAGAAAAATTTCAAAGAAAAGCTCACGTGACGTGAGAAAATCATACAAAATAAGCACGCAAGGATATTTTTGGAAAAGAAAAGTTTTATTTTTATAGTTCATCTCGTCGTTTATTAAAGTTCTGAGCTTTGAATCGTTAAACATCATCACAAGCGACTCATTTGTAATTCTTTGGAATAATTTTCACGTCATTTACTGGAGGTGAAGGAGATGACGTCATTTCAATGGTTGAACTCAGTGATTTGGAATTTCCCAACAACAATTCAGGGGGATTTATGTCGACGAAATTTTAAACGCAGCATAAAACATTTATCTATGTTTGAATACATATATTTTGGTCATCAATCAAATAAATGAATTGGAAAAACAAGACTCTCGTAACTCATGTCATGTCAAGCCATTTTTTCTTGATTTCTTCTTCTCACACTGGCAATTTATTTTTAATCAAAGCTTTTTGCTGATATCTTATCATATTGATATCTACGTATCACGTTACGTAAATGTATGGAAAAAAGCATATCGTCTAAAAGTGTAGCTCGACAGAAAAAAAAATATATTAATGGATTTCGGGTTGAGTCGTAAAATTCTTCATTCTTCTCACAATATGAAAAATTGCGTTAGAACTGTCATAAACTTTTCACATCAACAACACCAACAGTGTTCACTGATTGCGCACTTCAAACTGATAAGAAGTAAGTTTTTCTCTCTATTCATTCATTCATCCATTCATATTTAAGCTTTGAGAATTATGTTGATGGTTGTTGTTGATGTTTGAGTTAAACTTGTGATAGTTTCAACACCAATAAAGACGAATGCAAAGAATAGTAAATGACGATGATTCACACCTTAAAGAAACTTTAAAACAAAAATGATTTCACACTTTGAAAAGCGAAGCCGTTCGTAGAACGGAAACGGATATTGTATAAAAGCAATTGAAGTTGTAGAACATTTCTTGGCAGAAAAAGACAATTGAAAGAAGTCAAAGACTCAATAAAAAGTAATTTGCATATACTTGTTAAGCTTCACTTCTCTCAATCTCACATTTTGTTTTCTTTTGAATGTTCATTTAAACAGTGAATTTGTGTAGATGTGAATGATCGCCACACACAATTCGTCACATCTTATCATCGCGACGATATTGTGCAGTACTTTGAGCTTATTAATGTAATCAGTAATTGCCTTCTATCATTATAAGCAAAAAAGGAAGAAATAACTCAAGCTATGTTTGTTGTTGCCTTTATTATCATGTTTGATGTTTATTAAAATTTAAGTTAAATGTCAACATGTTGTGGGAATGTTTAACTATCTTTCATGTAGGGATTTCCAAACGATATTTGTCGCTATATTTACAAAACAACTACGAATTGCTTTGACTCTAACATATGTTGGAATTTATATCATAATTAGACTTTGCATTGCGTGATATCCAGATGTCAACACAACGGCAACAGTAATATTGAGTTTTTCACGATTTATTTTACTCCACGCTTCACTCAACCACTAAATTGATGTTTTATGGTCTAAAAAGTTTTTAAGATTGAATTGAATTGCCTTGTTCAATATTTTTAAGAAGCGAATATTTTTTTGCAGCTTCTTCAGTCACTCTTAGATCATCTCAAATGCTTCTTTTTGTATATTCACATTTTCATCGTAAATTGTTTTTTACTTAAAGCTCATTTTTTAGCTGTAGTTGTGAAGCATACATTGATGAATTTTCGTAATGTTTTACCTCGCGTAAGTGCTAAGTAGTCTTGCATACAAAATCACGATTAGCAACAAAGTTTATGACTCAGGCTATTTAATTGATTACGAGACACACATTTAGGTGTTGGTCGGCGAATTTGCTTTTCTTTTACGATATTCACTGTTCAGTTATATCAACATATCTACTAATTTTCAACTTATAGTTAACAAACATAGTTAAAGTGTTAAAACAATTCAACTTTAAATTCACAAATACAAAATATTTTGTTTCTCTTGATGTTTCAAAGTTCTTCACCTTACGACGATTCAACACTCACACACTCACACATAAAATCTTTTATGGATTTTATATCAAAATTTTAATTCTCGGTAATAAAATTATCTAGTGCTGCCGCAACGAATATTTTTATATCCAATCCACTTACGATGAATTTATTATTTTTCAATTCTATTTCTGTATTTAACAATCACAAATTATCAAAGATAAAATTTCCTTTGGGTGGAAAAATTTTGATCACACAACGATATTCAACTGTAAAGGTGATAAAACTTATAAAAAATATTTTTTTTTATATATCTATATGAACATGAAAACGACACGTCTGAATGCTTCGCGATTCTCAACTTGAATGTACTCAATGAAAAATGTTTTGCCTGTGAACTGGTTCCGCTATATGAGAGCGAGAAGCGAGAATGAACGACTTAAACCTCGCTATAAGGAAATGTTTCGATATTTTCTTAGCCTGAGCGGTTCGTTCTCATGTGTGAGTAAATATTTGTGGTATGCAGTAAGAAATAAATGTTGAATGTTGGTGAACCCCAAGCATGCTGATGATACCTGTGCTACGTCATTTCGACCGGTATATGGAATGAAAAGCAACAGCGTGGAAGGAAGTTTTCGTCATGAATGACATCATTTAAGGAAAATATTTGGTGATATGCTTTGTTATGAATGGAAGAAAAGTAAATTTTTATAGGATTTCATGGGTCGGCACCTTATTCAAGAATGTTTAACCGTTGAAAAGAATGAAAGGAAACACTTCGAAATACCTTTTAAAAGATTATTGATAAAGTGGGCTGATAACAACAATACATTCTGAAATGTTTTTGCGAAAAGAAGAAGGAACCAAGTCAGGTAATATTTGTTTAAATTTCAGAATGTACCCAAGGATCAGAATTTACAAACTTTGAAAATCTAATGTTAATTCTCATGACGAATTAAATAATTTAAAAATAATTATAAGAGATGGCAAATTTAATATTGGAAAGGTCAATGAATATAATTACTGTTGTTAATTTCATAATTTCTTGCTCTGGTGAATTTTAAATACGTTCTCATATAAATTTCGATTGTTTTTAAGCAATTTCTGCATAATCATTTATAAGCTTCAATATTTAATACTATCTAAGTAGTGCAAAATAAAAAAGCTGAAAAAATCATGATGAAAGCGAATTGCAGTGTATCAAAAAGAATGTTTATAATAATTTTTCTTTTAATTGCTTTGATTGACAAATCATTCGCATGTGTATGTATTAATTAACAGTCTAACAAATAAATTATAGTTTCAAAATGTCTTTTAAAGAATGGCTATAAACTTATTCAAAAACGCATGGAAAATTGCGACGATTCGGGTAAAGATGTTGTCAGATTTCTCTACAAGAATTCGTCTTTAACATTGAGCAATGATTGCAAACTTGTTCCAAACTTTTGCATTGCTACCCTCGGCTATAAGACTGCAATGGTATCATATAAAATATGGAAGAATGGTGTAGTTATCTTAAAAGGACAGAAGGATATGTGTGGTATGTTCAACACCGCTGGCAAAGATGCTAAAGCCATCATGAAGAAACTTGATGTTGGCGACGGTTGTCCTTTCGAACCAAAAGTAAGAAATTATTCCTTTAGATAAATAAATTAATTTAATTCAGTTAATAATGAATTTAGTTAGCAATCTGCTTTGATGAAAAGATGACATATAGTATGGACAAATTTAAACCATTTATGTCGGTAGGTCTTGGTGGTCCAATGAAGACCGAAACTAAAATTGAACATGACAATGGCCACAGCTGCTTCATATCCGAATTTGAACTTGTAAAGAAATGAATTGTAATCTTCAAATATTTGTTAGAAGATTCCATTTTTACATGAAAGGAAAACAAATAAAATATGTTATTCTTCGTAAACTGCAATTAAAAAATCAATTTTCTTTTATTAAATAAAATTATGTCGTCGTGGGCTTGTTGAGTTATTCAGGAAGCAATCAAATCTTATCTAATCTGTTTCCAATCTTAATTTTTTTTACAGAGACAACATGTTTGAAAATATTATCACAATTCTTGTCACAATCATCAAAGGTCATTTGAAATCATTAAAGTTTAAAGTTAAAGGTTTGATTTAATGGAAATATTATTCCAGTTGTTTCCGCGAAATTATAATTCACTGATTCACTGATTCCTTTAAAAGTTTGAAATACTTTTTTTTGAATGTATCATTAAGATTATGATAACAAAAATTGGTTTTAGATCAGTCAAAGTGATTACATGTCGGAAATTTTTGAATAAAAGTCGCGTTCATTTGAGTTCACGGGTCATAAAGTTTACATTTCAAAACCTTTAAAGCATCAAATGGAATACTCTGTGGGGATTTTATTATTGTGCTTGACCATCAGTAGCTTTTTGGATTATTCTCTTGCTTGTGTGAGTAAAATTTGGCATGTAAAAATATTAAAAAACTTTTAATAATTCCACATTAATCAGCAAGGATATAAATTGAAAGTTCACTACTTAAGAAATTGCGGAGACATCGAGAAAAATGTCATCAAAATTCAAGAAAACTCGACCATCAAAATAACTAAAGATTGCCAGATAGTTCCAAATTCATGTGCTGAAACTGCTGGCTTCAAGACAGCGTTAGTTAAATATCAGGTGTCGAGGAATAACATTCCAATCCTTAAGAATCAACTTGACGCTTGCGAAATGGTTACAAAAGTAACTGCGGATATGAGGAATATGATGACACTTTTTGGATTACCAAATAAATGTCCGATTGAAGCTGTGAGTAAATACTAAATTTTTTGAAATCAAAGCACAATCTAAATTTATTTTTCTTTTGAATAAATAAAACGATAAACAGATGAAGAAATGTGACGAAGGCAAAACGGCAGACATTGACAAATTCAAGAAATTCATAAGTCTTGCTGTTGGTGGACCAATAAAAATCGAACTGAAAATCGATCATGACAACGGAAAAACTTGTCTCGAATCTGAATTTGAAGTTGTGAAATAAATGAAAATCATTTCTTTTAATATACTTAGAGGAATGTTTGGTATAAAATCTGCAACAAACAATTCCTTAACAACAATAAAGAATTTTGATATTAAAATGATTTTTTATTACTCTTCACCGGAACATTACGATTAAAACAATTTTTTAAGCACATGACATTGAAATTACTTTTAAATACTTTTTTCAAAAGCTCTGCATTTACATTTCCAAATCACTCTCATTAATAATTTTTATTTAATCAACGTCGGAAGCTGTCAAAGAATAACAAAAACAAGTTTCACAAGCTTTAGTCAATATTTATATTTATCATCTTACCCTTAATCCAAATGAAAAGCCTTTCTCATTTTTACTGAAGCTCTTACAATTCGTGTTGTATTCACCTGGGCCAGGCAAGTCTAAATCCTTGGGCATAAATATCCGTCCACGAGATTGTGTTCCAAATGAGTAAGCAGGCGAAGTTTTTGTTGACTTCGCTTCCGGCCGATAATCTAAAGGAGCTGGTGTAATGTTCCGGAAAAAGTCATTCCGTCCACGCATATGATTCTTTACACCAAATGAATAAGCTGGAGTATCTTTGAATACAAATTTCTCCCATTCATATTCACCGGGCCCAGGTGTGACTGAAAACTTTCTACCCTTTGATCGATGACCGAAGGAAAAGCCTCGAGATGGTTGAAATGATCCAACATCATTTGGCATATATTTTGGACCGGGCGTAAAAGACCGCTGTGTACTTGGATGTGGCTTCGATCCAAAACTATAACCTGATCGTCTTCTCACTGGAACTTCTTCAGCTATGAAGTATTCTCCGGGACCAGGTGTGTCGTAATCTCGAACAAAATTTGTTCTTGGACGATGTCCAAATGAATAAGATTTTGTCGATGGACCCAAAGATACTTTTTCTGCATGATAATCTAAAGGTGATGGAGTGATTTGATCTTTCTCAACCGAAGCTCGAAGTCTGTGACTGAAGCCATAAGCTGGTCGACGATCCATTCCTTCAGAGAGGAAAGAATAAATCGTGTCCATTCCTAAACAATTTGTTTTTTGTTCACAGTTTAATAACTTGCTTCCGTTCACGTCAAAATATCAATCACGACTGCAAAGTGGTCGTGTAATAAACTTAAGCCGTGAAAAGGCAAAAGAAAATCAATGAGAAAAGAACTTCCTTAAAATATTCACATCATTAATTTCTTGATAAATTGCTTGCAGCCTTGTTAAGCTTTTTTCATGTTCATCTGACCTTGCAAGTTCATGTGGCGCTTTATTATAATATGTAATTGTATGCTAATCGAAATGAACTTGTAATAATCAATCTGCAATTTAAATAGACTTTTGTATGAATAATCCTAAAATCCTAAAATAAAATCATTAATTTGAGGAGTGGCCATCAAAATAAGTAAGAAGAAGGAATTTAAGTGTCGCTAATGAAAGGGGGTTTTGTATATAATTTCGTCAAAGATTCTGAATCTTTCATTATAATCAACAAATTCACTTTGATTTTCTTTTCCAAGCTGTTTTTCGAGTAAAGATGTTCAGCCAGTTTCGTATACATCTTCATTTCGATGAATTGTGAAATAACATTTCATACGTATGCGTTTAATTTAACATACATTCTTATCTTTGCAGTCAACAAGTTTGGCTCTTCTATGTATATTTATTTAAAAGCATAGCAGAGAGAATTTATTCTTTCAGTCAATAATTTTGTGTTGCGTTATGAAGTGATTTCTAGTAAAAATAGAAGATGGAAAATATTTCAAACAAACCAACGTGGATGAACGACGAATTTTTTACAACTGTTGTAAAACATCATTCATCAGATGTAAAAGCAAAGTTGATTAATTTTGTTATCAAACCAGACTTAGCACTTGGAGAGCATGGAGGTTCGTCGATGTTTCGAGGAGATATAAATTATTCGACAAGTTTCCAGCCTAACAATGTCTTATCAGTTGTGATAAAAACTGAAGCCATTCAAGGTGATCATGCTGAATCTGTTAACACTCTACCGTTATTTGAGATCGAACAGGAAATGTATGGCGGGCCTTTGATGGATATCAAAAGTCTTCTTGAATCTGTTGGTGATTTCTGTAACATCTCTCCCAAAGTCATTTATCAAGCTCAGAAACCTCATCGTGTTATTGTGTTGGAAGATTTAGGAGTTTATGGCTATGCAAAAATAACTCAACCCCTCGAGAACTTTGAAGACACCAAAATGGTTTTTCAACGTTTGGCGAAATTCCACGCTGCAAGTTATTTTCTTTTAAATGAGAAGAAAGCTGACTACAGTAATTTCAAGCTTTCAATATATCACATTGAAGAACCTTTAATTCGTTATCAGTTTTTAACTGAGCCAATCATCATCTTCATGGAGGTTCTAGAGTCATGGGGTGGTTACGAAGACTATATAAAGAAACTTAAAACGTTTTGCGAAAGTTTTATTGAGAAAGGAAAGCAATTGTATACTCCCGACATCAACGGTTATAACGTTCTGAATCATGCAGATTTTCATATCAAAAATCTGTTATTCAAGACGAATGAAGACAAAATTGAAGATTTATACATGTATGACTTTCAAATAAGTATCCTGGCAAGTCCGTGTGTGGATTTATTTTATGCTTTGTACAATGCAATCTCGGATGAAAATCGTCGTACTCGTCGGGACGAGATTATTTGCTACTATCATTCAGAATTTTCAAAAGCTTTAAAACATTTCGGTTATATTGGAAAGATTCCATCACTTCTTGATTTAAATTTAGCTTTGATGAAACATGGAGCAGTTGAAGTTGTCAAATGCATTTGTTTTAAAATATTTTTCTTTGCTAATACTGATGAAATATTTGGAACGTCAGATTCTAAGGAAATCAAAAGAAAAATATTTAATAATCCACGATATAAAGAATTCATTCTATCAGAACTACCAAGACTTGTGCACTTGGGATTTTTATAGTTTATTCATTTAATAAAATATTCAACTTTTCTGTTTTTTGTCAACTACAATAAAAAAATTTTCTTTATAATGTTTCAACTCGTTTATGCTTTCTGTAATGTCTTCCAATGCTCTATGCTTGAGAGCTTTTCGTGGTGCTGAATTGTAGACATTTCGGTTCCACCTTCCACAAAGTTCTTTTACGCTAGAGACGTCAATGATGCGATAGTGAAGATAACTGTCAGCACGTGGAAAATATTTACGTAAAAACATTCGATCCATGTATATGCTGTTCCCTGCCAAAGGAGCTGATATTGGCTCGACATAACGAGTCATAAAATTTATCATCATTTCTTCAGCCTGTTCTTCTGTAATGCTTGACTTTTTAGAAGCTTTCTCTATGTCCTTAAGGTTCTCTTTACACCAGTCATTCATATTATCCAACACATCGTCACTTTGTTTTATTACTGTTACTAATGGTTCAGGTGATATAATATTAAGATGAGCATCAGTTACAAGCATTGCTATCTGAATTACTCGATTTTTATCTAAATCGAGACCTGAAAAGAATTTTTTTAGTTATAAAATGTAGGTAAACAAAAAATTATTTATTTTACCGGTCATTTCCATGTCCATCCACACGATATTTCCACAATTTTTCACTGTTTTAGACATGTTTTTACTATAAATATTAGCAGTTTTAGAAATCAATTTAGGTAAATTCCTAAACATCAAGAATTATTTTTATGTTTCAAATAAATATTCGACGTGCTTACAATGTTACGGATTACTCTGATTTTCTTCAGGATTATATTGATTTAAACACGGGGGTAGGAAAATTCAAAACATTTATTCAGTCGTTAATAAGAAAGAGCTTTCCAAGCTTTTATAGAAAACTTTTAAGATTTATTTTCATTAATCTTTGATTATTTTCCAATTGCAATTTTAATATATGGAAACATATCGAGTTCGTTTGTTTTAATTTCGTTTTATTTAAAAAAGTTCAAGCACATACATAAGGAAAGTATCAGTAGTAATCACATGTTTATGATATTTTCGATTGTTAACTGATTTCTTAAGCAATTGTATCTTAAATTATTTGTCTAGGCACCATTAAATCAGTGTTATGTATGTATGACCGTCAAGCAGAAGAGACTTCTCGGAAATGCCCCAAATATTCAGAATGTTTAATTCCGAATGAATATGCAGGCACATGACCCAAGTTTAACTAAAATTAAAATATAATTCAAAAAAATTAAGAAAAAAACAGGAACCGAACAAAACCTACTTTCTCCGGTCGATGTGCACCAGGGCCAGGCTTTAAATTTGTATCGGACGGAATGTTATATCTTGATCCCATTGAAAATACTGGTGGCTTTTTAAGCATATAATCTAATTTGGCATCGTAAGTTCCAGGTCCTGGGAACTGAACGCATTGTGGAAGTTTTTTCTTTAATTTTCCGGTGATTGAATAAGCTGGTGCAGATCTTATTGGACCTTCTTTAGATGATCCTAATACCGTCGGAATCTTGTAGACGTTGGGGGCTAAAATAAAGCGTGATATAAAATTTTAATTTTTTTTATTCGAAATATGTTTTTCCATGAATCAGAATAAAAATATATTGTGGGTCCTTATAATTTGTATAAAAATGATGAGAACTTGATGAAAACTTACTTAGTAAAAATATAATTAATGAGAAGATCTTATCTAATTATTAGAAATTTATGCACGTTTGTGAACTACAGTTGTGACTCTTTGTGTTTTCGTGGTGCTTGTGAATTTTTTAATATCCTCTGAAACAGCGGCAAAATTTTCGTCAATGTCCACTTGCATATCAGCTAATTCAGAAGTTGGTGTGACGCTACGTGTTTCACATTCTAAAATATGAACGAGCTTTTGTGTAAAGTGCGCATTCAAGTAACTACGTGATGGTGTGCAAAACTTACCTGGTCTGTTGTTTGGATTTACCTTGATACCAAATGAATAAGCTGGTCCCGAGCTAAGTTTTACTTTTTCAGGTTGATATTCGAAGGGTCCTAAACTAGAAGATATTAATTACAAGCTTCATCTGTAAATAAAGAATATTTAACCTGGAGTGTTATTTACTCTCCTAACGTTAACTTTCATTCCGAACGAGTAAGCAGGTCCCTTATCCATTTTGACATTTACTATTTCGTAGGCTCCAGGAGCAGGCACATTATTTTGTTTTACAATATTGGTTTTGACACCAAACGAATAAGCTGGCGTCTGATCTAGATTAGCTTTCTCTGGAGAATATTGGCCAGGTGCTGGTACTCCATTTGGTTTTGAAAGATTGGTTTTCACACCAAACGAATAAGCTGGCGTTTGATCTAGATTAGCCTTTTCTGGAGAATATTGACCAGGTGCTGGAACTCCATTTGGTTTATCAATATTTGTTTTCACACCAAACGAATAAGCCGGTGTTTGATCAAAATTTATTTTTTCTGGAGAATACTGACCAGGTGCTGGTACACCATTTGGTTTCTCAACATTTGTTCTAGTACCAAAAGTGTAAGCTGGTGTTTGATCAAGATTTGCTTTTTCTGGAGAATACTGACCAGGTGCTGGAACTCCATTTGGTTTCTCAACATTTGTTCTAGTACCAAAAGTGTAAGCTGGTGTATTGTCAAGCTTTACTTTGTCAACATCATATTGACCAGGTGCTGGAACTCCATTTGGTTTTGCAAGATTAGTTTTCACACCAAACGAATAAGCAGGCGTCTGACCAAGATTAGCTTTCTCTGGAGAATACTGACCAGGAGCGGGAACTCCATTTGGTTTCTCAACATTTGTTCTAGTACCAAAAGTGTAAGCTGGTGTTTGATCAAGATTTGCTTTTTCTGGAGAATACTGACCAGGTGCTGGAACTCCATTTGGTTTCTCAACATTTGTTCTAGTACCAAAAGTGTAAGCTGGTGTTTGATCAAGATTTACTTTTTCTGGAGAATACTGACCAGGTGCTGGTACACCATTTGGTTTCTCAACATTTGTTCTAGTACCAAAAGTGTAAGCTGGTGTATTGTCAAGCTTTACTTTGTCAACATCATATTGACCAGGAGCTGGTACTCCATTTGGTTTCTCAACATTTGTTCTAGTACCAAATGAATATGATGGGGTTTGATCAAGATTAGCTTTTTCTGGAGAATACTGACCAGGTGCTGGTACACCATTTGGTTTATCAACATTGGTTCTGGTACCAAAAGTGTAAGCTGGTGTGTTATCAAGCTTTAGTTTGGCAACATCATATTGACCAGGTGCTGGTACTCCATTTGGTTTTGCAAGATTAGTTTTCACACCAAACGAATAAGCTGGCGTCTGATCTAGATTAGCTTTTTCTGGAGAATATTGGCCAGGAGCTGGAACTCCATTTGGTTTTGCCAGATTGGTTTTCACACCAAATGAATATGATGGGGTTTGATCAAGATTAGCTTTCTCTGGAGAATACTGACCAGGTGCTGGTACACCATTTGGTTTCTCGAGATTGGTTCTGGTACCAAAAGTGTAAGCTGGTGTGTTGTCAAGCTTTACTTTATCAACGTCATATTGACCAGGAGCTGGTACTCCATTTGGTTTTGCAAGATTAGTTTTCACTCCAAATGAATAAGCTGGCGTCTGATCTAGATTAGCTTTCTCTGGAGAATACTGACCAGGAGCTGGTACTCCATTCGGTTTTGAAAGATTGGTTTTCACACCAAATGAATATGATGGGGTTTGATCAAGATTAGCTTTCTCTGGAGAATACTGACCAGGTGCTGGTACACCATTTGGTTTCTCGA